GGGACTAACATGTCACTAATATAGTTTGGTGCGAGGCCATGGAGAGACTTGTACACAAGCAGAGCTGTTTTAAAGTCTATTCTCTGAGCCACAGGAAGCCAGTGCAGGGACCTGAGGACTGGACTAATGTGTTCGTACTTCCTGGTTCTAGTCAGGACTCGAGCTGCTGCATTTTGAATGTACTGCAGCTGTTTTGGACAGACCTGTGAGCAGGCCATTGCAGTAGTCTAACCTACTGGAGACAAATGCATGGATAAGAATCTCCAAGTCTGCTTTAGACACTATGTTTTTGATCCTGGCAATGTTTTTTAGATGGTAAAAAGCTGCTGATGTTACTGATTTGATGTGGCTATTAAAATTTAAGTCTGAGTCCAGTATTACCCCTAGATTTCTGACCTTGTTTGAAGGTTTTAGGGAGAGAGACTGTAGATGACAGATGACGCTCTCTCTTTGTTTCCAAAGACAATCATTTCAGTTTTGTCTGCGTTTAGCTGAAGGAAGTTGTTTTGCATCCACTCACTGATCTGTTGGATACAGTGAGTCCACTGGTCCATGTTCTCCTGCAGTCAGTGAGACATAGATCTGAGTGTCGTCTGCATAGTTGTGATAGGACACTTTGTTTCTGCGTATTAACTGACCTAACGGCAACATGTAGAGATTGAAAAGAAGAGGTCCCAGGATCGACCCCTGTGGGACTCCACAGGTCAGGGTCATATGATCTGAGACACAGTCTCCAATCTCCACAAAGTACTTCCTGTCTTCAAGGTAAGACCTAAACCAACTTAGGGCGGTGCCAGCGACTCCAACCCAGTCCTCTAATCTCTGTAAGAGGATCTCATGGTCGACGGTGTCAAAGGCAGCACTCAGATCTAACAAGATTAAGATTGAGACTTTGCCTGCGTCAGTGTTCAGCCGGATATCGTTTGTAACCTTGACAAGAGCAGTCTCAGTGCTGTGGTGGGGTCTAAAGCCGGACTGAAACATATCAAATGAGTTGTTAATTATAAGAAATCTAGTAAGCTGTAGGTAGACAACTTTTTCAAGGACTTTCCCCATAAATGGCAGATTTGAGATGGGACGATAGTTGTTAAAGTGGTTCTCACCCCCGCTCCTCGGAGCTTACGTTACTCACATTTCCTGTTCAAATCTTCCTCTAAATGGGCGTAGCCTGGAGGACTAAAGGGGGCGTGAACGAGACTGGGCCGTTTACATTGCTCTGGGCGGGGGGCTGCTGACGTCAGGTCCAACTTGCAGACGTCAGGTCCAACTTCTGTGCCAGTGTTGGCGCCAGATTCAAAATTCAAATGTAGTAATACAGGTCGCCAGCAGATGGCGCCTCACAGACGGTTTTAGGCAGAAAGTCTAACTTTCAACTAATTTGCACCAAAGTGACAAGATTATGACCAGGATATGTACACAACACTATTGGACACTCATTTATACCGTTTATCAGCAAAAAAAAGTGGATTTGAGGGTGAGTTGTCCTTTAAGTACCGTGGTATCCAGACTGCTCTTTTTTAGCAGGGGCCTGATGACTGCAGTTTTCAGGGCCTTTGGGAATATTCCAGAATTAAAGGCATATAGGAGGATGTTCCCAAATTTTTTGAAAAGAACCGCCCTCTCCACTTTTTGAACAGAGCTCACTGTTCTTATTGGACGAGCACGTATCACCAGAATGATAGACAATTGAGAGGACCAATAGTCTTAATGATCCACCCGGAAGTAAAAAATCCTCCTATATACCTTTAAGGGACATGTTTACTATCTGTGTGAGTGAAGGTAACAGACTGCTCAGAACAGACTTTAGAAATCTAGTGGGTAGTACATCCAGGCTGCATGTGGAGGAGCTCAAACTGGAGATTATCTCTTGGACAGTTTGATCATTTACAGGTGCAAAGTAAGTTAGCTCAAAGAGCCTTTCTGGCTGTTGGATTGTTATCTGTGGATTGGAGACAATGGCGTTTTTGATGCCTTGAACCTTGTCATTGAAAAAATGTGCAAACTCATTACATTTACGTTTGGAAGTTAGCTCTAATGGCATTTGAACAGGGGGGTTTGTTAATCTATTAACTGTTGAAAACAGAACACGCAGATTGTTGCTGCAGCCTTCAATCATTTCAGAAAAATACCTTTCTCTCGTACTACGTAGCACCTGGTTAGACTCGCACAACTTATATTTGAAGATCTTGTAATCAACCTGGAGGTTGGACTTGCGCCACTTCCGCTCGGCCCTCCGGCACTCTCTCTTTTGTGCCCTGACCGAGTCTGCTTTAGCCCACGGCGCCTTCTGCTTATTTGTCACTATTTTAACCTTCACAGGGGCAACGGTATCCAGAACATTCAAAACACTAGAGGTGACAGAGTTAAACAGTTCATCTACAGTAGAATACGATGCATTCTCAGTTTGTCATTCCCATAAATAGTTCACCCGTATTTTCATTTATGTGTCTTCTTCGTACAGTTGCAGAGTCCACTGGTGGTTTGTTAGTGAAACACATGTCAAAAAATATACAAAAATGATCCGAAAGCGCAACATCGACCACGTTTACATTAGAAATGTTCACCCCCTTTGTAACTAACAGGTCTAGAGTGTGCCCTCTGCTGTGGGTGGGGCCACTCACGTGCTGAGTGAGACCAAAAGATTCAAGAACAGAACTCAGCTCTTTAGCATTTCTGTCATCAACATTATCCACATGAATATTAAAATCACCTGTAATAACTAAACTATCAAAATCTGTGCATACAACTGAAAGCAACTCTGTAAAATTATCAATAAAACTGTGATATGACTGCGGTGGCTTGTATAGGACAACGAAAAGTATTGGAGGAGATTGTTTTTGTTGTATTTTAAAAGACACATATTCAAAAGACGGAAAATTCCCAAGAGACATTCTATGGGAGACAAAGTGGTCTCTGAAAATGGCAGCTAAGCCTCCTCCTTTTTTGTTTTTTTTGTTTTCCTGATTCTTACACGGAACAAGAATTAGATTTTCCTGAGAACATGCAAATTCCACTCATAAAGGCCCTGTTCCGACCAAGATATGAACCCATGATCATCCATCCATCCATTTTCTTCCAATTCATCCGTTTCCGGGTCGCGGGGGCAGCTACATGAACCCATGACCTTCTATTTAAAATACAATTTAAAGCTGCTATCATCAGAAGCATCAAAACCAGATAAATCCATTGTTATGTAATGGATTGTTTTTGCTGTAATTGTTCTTAGCTCTCCCCAAATATAATGTCTGTATAACACTCATGGATCTATAATAATAACACTTTGTTTAGATGTATGGCAGGTTTTAGATTTTTATGGTTTTAGACATTTTGGAAATCATCCCGTGACCTGCAGCTAATGTCTTGCGACCCCCACTTTGAGAACTGCTGTCCTAGATATTCTTTAAAAAAATAAATAAAATAAATTCTTTGGTTAATAGTCAATAACAAAAATCAGATCCAAACTCTGACTATTTTGAAGTTTCTCAGATATGGGGTTTATTTTCCCCATATCATTTTCATGTTTAATTATTTCATCATACAATCCAATAATTTGACATTTGGATGAAATAGGTGTATAATATTTGGCAACATGGGCTCTCCGTGGCTAAAAAGTGCTGATTTGCTGTTTTGGCTTGTGGTCAAGGCGCTCCTCGCTCTCACACTATTGTTGGATCATTGCGAGTTGGAAGAGGCATGTCTCAAGGGTGATGGGAGGTGTTTGTGGTCCCTGTCTCTCTATAAGACAGCCAGGTAACTTACAGTCGCTCACTTAGTCCCACATATTCAGACATTTATTAAAACTAGTTTTTAGTGTTTGAAGCCTGATCTAGCACAAGTAGGAGAGCATCTTTACCGAGTTGCCACGGTGACAAGAGTATTCACTTGCAAATCTGGGGTATGTACTGCAGCCCGGCTTTTCTCTCATTCTTTGTGTAATTTTTCATAATTTTTAAACTGTTTTTATTGGGATTTTGTCACAGATATTGTTTAAAGCTGGAGAACCATTTTCAAACAATACACATTTAAACTGCATGCATTTTAAAAACTTCTGCGTCACATCTTTAGATCAGCTTTTTCAGCCAATCACCTCAGAGCCCAAACTGTCAGTGACTCACATGTGCCCGCCCACTTCCTGGTTCCACGAATAAAAAATAAAAAAACATTATACAAGGATTTTCCGATGGAATAATGCAATGTATTAATCTTTTTTTTTTATATTTATGGTATTTTTGTGATGCTTTAAATTTTAAATCTCAAACATGTTTTGCAAAATGTTATGTTTTAATTTTGTTTTTGAGAAGAAAACCACAAAAATATGTTGTTACCACACGTCTCGTTAACTAGCTTCTGTGTATTAAAAATTCTAGATATTTGGATTTTTAAAAACGTAAACAAATTTTTGAATGACAAAACATATTTCCAGAACGCGAGTGGACAGCTCCATAGATAAAATGTTTCCTAATAAGATCGTTAAGTCTAAGTCAAGTTTATTCGTTTAACGCAGAGAGGAAGCAGAGAGTCAAGTTTATTTATATCGCACGCACTCTTCACCAAATATTACTTTTGCAAGACTTTCTGTTGGGACAAACAAAATGTACTATTCATGAAGGAACCCGCCTTTAATTGTTACTTTTAATGTTTTAGATACAGTTGTCAGTTGTTTTATATTTGACAAACATGGGAGATACAACAATATGTCACATTACCTAACATATTTCAATTATAATCATCAAAGTCATCATGTGAGCACCAGTGACCTACAAATAGCCAGAGAATGGTTTTTCATTCATTCTCTCATCTCCTTAAACAGAATCTGATTCATGCTAACTGCTATTTACGCCACTCCCGGACTCTTTCTGCTGCCTGATAATTCAGACACATGTGACTCAGGAGTTGAGCTGATGTATCGTATTTGTCATTGAATATGTGCCGTTGCTATGGATATTAAAAACGCCATATCTTTCTTACAGAGCATATGAACATAGACGAATACATTGAAGATGATGAAGAACCGCCTTGGCTGCTCTGCTCTGGTCCTTCTCACGGTAAAAACTAAAACTGTTCTTTACAAAATGACCAAAATGACTTCTATTGTCTGCAAATACATCATGTAGTAACTAATCACAAGTTAAACAGATGTGGTCAAAATACACTCTTTGAACAAAATCCTAATATTTTCATGGAATAATAGGGTTTTGTTCAAATTTAAGCGGCAATAGAAAAAATGGTGTGTTTTTTTCCATCAAACAAAATGTTGTACACATTATTTCTTTGATGTAGTGAGGATGGGAGGATCAGAATAGCAGCATAGTCGCAGTTATTCTCGCCTCTCAACAGAAAGGGTCTGGGGGTTGGATGTCAGGTCTTTCTCAGTGGGGTCTGGGGGGGTTTCTTTGGGCACACTTGTGTTTGAAGGACAAGGACAATAAACTTCATTGTATAAAGCATATACCTCATAAATACACTGCAAAAAGTGAGGAAAAAAATATTGCTGAAATTTCTGAAAATGTGTCTTAGTTTGAGCACAATTTGACAAAACAATTTTATTATAATGCATTGGTTTTTATATAGTGCTTTTTTGGAAGCTCAAAGACTCTTCACGTTATTCATTCACTCCATGCGCGGTGGTGATTAACTACTACTGTAGCCACAGCTGCCCTGGGGCACACTGACAGAAGTTCACATAACAGAGCAGTAATCCAGTCAGTCTCATTAAATATAATCTCCACATTCCGAGGAGTGACTGCTGCAAGTCCTCAGACCAAACAGACAAAGACACAATATTGGGACATCATGACGTTCTTTTCATGTGTAAATGTTTGTGTTGTGCAGGTGTTTGGCTGTGGTGGGGCTGCAGCGGTGCAGTGTCGGTGGGGAGAGGGCTGTATCTGTCTCCAGTGCCCTCCTGGACAGCAGCCTTCCAAAGTAACTTTCTTTAATATGCTACAACACTATGAAAGTTGTAAATGTATTGTATGGATTCCTGCTCACATTATGCCATAAGAGAGCGCTCACATGGATCTATAATTCAAATATATAATTGTTCATAGGCGTGTGCAGAGATCCAGTCTCCAGTTGAAGACGTGAGCTGCCGGGCATGTCCAGCGGGGACCTTTTCCGACGCCCTGGACTCTGAGCTTTGCCATCCACACCTGTCCTGTCACCTGATTGGTCGAAGCGTTGGGGCCGTGGGCTCTGTGAGCTCAGATGCACAGTGTGGAGACTGTTTGCCAGGGTCAGTCTTCCACCGCTCGCCTTCATGTCCTCAGTTGAATATACATTCATAGGGTCTCTTGAATATACATACTGTATATTCAAGAGACTCTATTTCAAACATACAGTACATGTCTAATCAGGGTGTTTCCTTTACCATTCTGTGTTCATATACAAATGGCTAAGCTAATGATCTATTTCAATAAGATAGCTGGTTAGAATAAACTTAGCTACCTGCTGGTGAGATCGCCCCATTGGTGTTTTGTCAAAAGAAAATTGGACTCTATAGGCCTCTCATCTCATTTCGAGCAACTTAGCAGTCTTTGCATGGTTTTATTCATGCGTTAGAGCGTTTAAAACAGTATTCCCCAACCTTTTTGAGCCGTGACACACTGTTTTCATTGAAAAGAATCACACAACACACTATCAACTGAAATTGATACAAACATAAAACTCTGCAGCCTTTATTAACAATGCAAAGTCCTTCTCCCCTCTCAAAGTGTGTCAGACAAGCACAAAAAGGTCTTTCCAATCTTCTCACAATATTCTCGTCTCTAATGATTTTGACCAATGATGTGATTAGGCCTGGGAACCTCAGGGTACCTCACGATACGATACACGATACAAAGCTCACGATAACGATTTTATCACGGTTTGACGATTATCAATATATTGGTCAGAAATATACTGTTATAGAAATCTTTTAGTAAAGCAATCTTATCTAAGTAAACACAAAATAGTTATAAGTGTAAGTGTTATTAACTAATTCTCAACTCTGGATTCAAATACTGCACATATTGGCATAAATAAAAGAAAAATGTTAAGTGAACAAATACTTTATTTCATGATAAATGGAATGGAGATGCGTAATGTAGCGTATATTAAGTATTGATACTAATTTTAAAAGAAAAAATATACAAAAAAAAAATATAATATATATAAACTATTATAATTTTTTTTAAATCGATACTTGGCAAAAGCATTATGATAATCGATCGCGTGAGAAAGTATCACGATACATCACGATATCGATATATCGTCACACTCCTAGATGTGATATTATCTTCTTTCCAAAGGCACACGCCACACAACCTCTCAAGGCACACACAGGTTGAAAAACACTGGTTTATATAAAAATTAGGGCTGGGCGATAAAACGATAACGATATATATCGCGATAGACATGTGTTCGATATCAATGGAGAATGGGGTCGATAGAGTGTTCGATAGTTTAACTTAACTCCGTCAGGAAAAACGGGAAGAAAACACCGGAAGTAAAGCCGACTCATAAGCGCATGGCATTGTGGGGGATGTAGGCAGAGGCTTCTCGACCAATAACAGCCGAGCAGGAACCGCAAAACTTTCTGGGAAATGCAAAAACACCAACAACCGCAGCATGCGTGGCGTCCATGGATCTATAGCTTGTGTTTCAATGGCGTGTCAATGGTTATGCACGTACGTGCGCGGAATAACATGTGCGGCGGCAGAGGCAGTGGACAGACCCGATGTATTCGGCGAAAGCAAGAGATTAACTTTTTCCTCGGGAAGCATGTGCGGCACAGAGCCGCACGGAGCGGTCACGGGGACACAAGACCCTCAAACAGCTAAACCAGGAACTAAACCAGGAATAAAAAACCAGGATTAAACCAGGACTAACAACGAGGGACACAGTGTGAACATATTCCTCCAGCCTCATCGCCCCGTGACTGTAAACAAGGCTGCTAAGGTTAAAAAAAAAAAAAACTCAATATATATCGTATAGACCGATATGAATGACTTATATCGTGATATAGTTTTCAGCCATATCGCCCAGCCCTAATAAAAATTCAGATTCATTAGTTTATTGTCATAGTCACAAGAAACAGCAAAATGACATTCAGAGCCTCATTCTAACGTCAGCATATATTAGAAAACACAAAATGTACGCAGAATGTAAAACATACTGTACATGGGGAGGTTCATTCACAATTATACTCAAGACACGCCATTCAAACTTTTTTTTCTTTCCAGGTTATTCTCAACAGAAGCATCCAATCACAGTCCATGTGTTGAAAGTATGTATGATTCTGAATTAATCCACAAATATTGCATAGTGTCATAACTGTAAAACTTTTGTCTTGTTCTTACCCAGAGCCCACGCATCTGCGACCCGTGCGTACAGTCGCTAAGGCCGCCTTGACCGGCTCGGGAGGACCGGTCAACGGAACAGTGGTCCGCAGCGCTGAGGAGAAGACCGCAGAGTATGCTGTTTTTGCATTGGTGCCTATTTTCTGCGTTATGGGCCTCCTGGGCATCCTGATCTGCAATATTCTCAAGAAAAAGGGCTACAACTGCACGGCTGAAAAGGAAGGAGGGGACGCTGAAATGGCCTCCCCACAGAAAGACGGTAAGACAAAACCAAAGCCAGTACAATACAGAACAATAGAGCGCAGGAATCCCCATCGACGCACTGTGGCGGCGTGTCCATTATGATATTCCATGTTGTTTTAACACTTTGACCGGCTGTGTGTGGAGGCAGGCAGTGTTGCTTTTGTCATTTTGCGATTTTCAAAGCGGTAAAAAAGCTTTCCCATCAGCCTCTAGGTCTGTGACGTGAAACCATCGAGCTAAAACTACATCAAGACTACTTCATTGATACTGTTATTGAGGTACAAATACAACATTTATAGAAGAGACAGCAACTGGAAGTTTGATGGTTGTTTGATTTTCAACAAAGATTGGATTTTCCACACATATTTTTGTAGAGAAGTGGACTTTTGGATCTTTTAGCCATGTTACAACAATATTACCTCGTCTTGTCACACCCTCTGGTGAATCTTGCCAATCAGCAAACGTTTTTGTTGGGCTTTAATAACTTCAGTTATTTTCTCCAGATTTTATTGATCTTCATCATTACAACATGCTTACTGAAATGCTTGTCCTACAATGTTCATTTCGGTATATATTGTTGAATGTGATTCCCTGGAGATTTCATGGTCATATGTTTCTTTGCTCTGTTCAGGTCATCCATGTTGCATTCACAGTAAAACAGGTACATTCTGCACATGTATTCATCCTAGCTCTAGTCCCAGTCTTGTGAACCCCCCCAGACTCATGAGGCCGTGTAGAGACCCACACACATCTTTTATGTAAGCAAACGTCAACTGGCTGCCTCTTATATAATGGTCACTCTAATAATACCGCTATAACCATATGGAACTTTATAGAGGTCACTTTTTGAAGGTCCCTGACTAAATAAACTTTAGAATATATAAATATCTTGAACATTCTGAGAATTTAACTGCAGTAATTCAGACAAACACATAAAACCTTAGTCAGAGCTTATTGTAATTAAGCAGCTTGCTACAGAACCCTGGTAGAGCGAGAGCCCAGAGGACTCCGAGTATAATGATGCATTCTGTGCGTTTGTTCCATCATGATTGAATCTCAACAGTATGTAACACATATTTTCATATTGTGTGTGATTTATACTTGTAACTTGGCCTTAGGGCAACTCTTGCTTGACTCTACTCTGCCCTACTGTAGCACTAAAACAAAGAGCACATTGGTTTACCTTTGTTAATTAAAGAAGATGCAAATGTGTGCATTTGGGTCAAAGATAATTGCCTTCGATGGTGCGAGTGTCATGACTTTTGCTGTTGTGTGGTGCGTAGGTTAAAGTGCTTTAATGGATAAGCTGGCTTTCCCCTCTCCACCTGATACTCAGGCTCAGGGAGCAGCTGTCTGACACAGACTGTCACAGACTGTCACAGACTGTCACAGACTGTCACAGACTGTCACAGACTGTCACAGACTGTCACAGACTGTCACAGACTGTCACACAGACTGTCACAGACTGTCACAGACTGTCACAGACTGTCACAGACTGTCACAGACTGTCACAGACTGTCACAGACTGTCACAGACTGTCACAGACTGTCACAGACTGTCACAGACTGTCACAGACTGTCACAGACTGTCACAGACTGTCACAGACTGTCACAGACTGTCACAGACTGTCACAGACTGTCACAGACTGTCACAGACTGTCACAGACTGTCACAGACTGTCACAGACAGTCACAGACAGTCACAGACAGTCACAGACAGTCACAGACAGTCACAGACAGTCACAGACAGTCACAGACAGTCACAGACAGTCACAGACAGTCACAGACAGTCACAGACAGTCACAGACAGTCACAGACAGTCACAGACAGTCACAGACAGTCACAGACAGTCACAGACAGTCACAGACAGTCACAGACAGTCACAGACAGTCACAGACAGTCACAGACAGTCACAGACAGTCACAGACAGTCACAGACAGTCACAGACAGTCACAGACAGTCACAGACAGTCAGACGTCAGAGAGCCGTCGTTATGTTATTTTCACTTATGACATCTAAGAATTTGTGAACTTCATACAATACAATTATTGTCTTTCATTTGCACCAGAAATTATGATTTTATTGCTGATCACAATTTAAATGTTTGTTTAAAGGTACTACAGATTTTTTTTTTTTTTAAACTATGTCCAGTGAAGGAAGTCTCTTTGTTGTGAAATGTAAGAGGAATGAGCAGCAAGGGAAACTCCCCGAAACCAACCCTGCTCCTGTGCTTCAGTCTCAGGTCTTGTTCTTTGACTCTGTCCTTCTCTCTGCTTGAACATGAGACCGTACATCCAGCTCTGCTTTCCCAGCAGCTTCAATAATTCACATTCTGATAGTGTCCACTTTCGGTGCCTTAAACATTCTACTGAGTGTGCATTTGTTGTGCATTATTATCCCGGTCTGACTGTTGCCCCAGAGAGTGGAGAGTGACACACGTCTTACTCCAGCATTTTCTGTTCATCAGTCATGAGGAACTCCCATGGGGGCAATTAGCGGAGAGAATATCAGGCTGACTATGTGGAGCTGCAGACACCTCTCAGGGAGGATAGTTACCAGGCAGCAAGTAGAACAAGACAGGGACAAGTGCAGAGTCCAGCTTTTATAACAGACAGATACACATAGATTGGATGATATTGTGGTTGCAGAGAGGGTTCAGCACACACACATGCAAAAAAATATGAGGTAATATTTGCTTAAATCGAGTGGTTTTTTATCTTAATTTGAGTACATTCTGACTTTCTTAAAACATGGTTTGCCAATAGGACAAGCCATTTAGTCTCATTTCAAGAACTGTTGCATTCTCATTCCAAGGGAGACATTTCTTGTATCTAACAATTTTGCTTGTCCCATTGGAAAATCTTGTTTTAAGGCAGTCAAAATGTGCAACTTTTACTTGTTTTTCGTCACTTTCTGCAGTGTATCCAGCATTATTATAGAATGTATTTTATCATTAAAGTGAAGGTCAGTCACTTTTCACATTTTAAGACAGTTGAAGTTGCATCACCTTAGTTTCAGATCGTGTTCGAGTCATTATTGCGTTTACTGCAATGTTAGCAGTAAATTCGGGTTGCTTGGTCTTTCCCAAAGTCACAATAACTAACACAAGGTCAAACAGACATTTGATTTCATTATGCAAATGCAAAGAACAGTTGCTTTATCTTGTGTTACAGCTACATTGTCTGACATGCATCCAGCCAAATGTTTAAATAGATTCTTCCGTCCTTGGTGTGACCAGGGATCTATTGTCCTGTCCTAACAATAGCCTAACACTTCTTATGCAAGAGACTGGCATCTACATGAGAAAGATATGTAAATAATTCAAATAATCTCCTCTAATGTATTCATACAAACATAAACCACTCAAAAACATTTGTAATTCATTGTTATTTTGTTTGGCCTATTATTCGGTCTCCACACAATAAAAACCTCCATTTGAAGCTGCTGAGTTTTAACATTTGGTATTCACTCTCTCTCTCTTTGTGCTCCTCTATCTTGGGATGGGTCGCTGTGGTTGTTATGGGAGCCGCTCTCTACTCTCCAGTCCCACGTCCATCCTTATCAGTGCCATCGTGTACCGAGACACTATATGTGACAGCGTGAAAAGTTGGACAATGTGTGTCCTTATTTACGGCAGCGAGCTCATTGTCTGTTCTGCTGAAGCTGTAATGAAGACTATGGCCCTGGTCTGTCTCACACTATATGCAACAGGCAAAGATTTGTCCTCCTCTGTTTCATAATAGAAACAGCGTAATGAACTAGAGTCAGAAAACCAAAAAACATTGAAAAAATTTGACTGAAAATGATTAATAAGCACTTCCTCATTTTCCATCCTTTTGAACCCCAGACTTCCATTAGTTACTTTTGACTGTTTCTTTTTGTAGATTTGTTTTAAAGAATAGTGATTTTTGATTTGGATAAATCAAGTTCTCTGAGTTCCATTCCACTTCCAGACAAGGCCTTTCTGTGTGGAGTTTGCATGTTCTCCCCGTGTCTGCATAGGTTCCCCCTCTGTGCACTGAATTCCCCTAGCACTAAAAACATGTATAATAAGTCCGGGATGTGCCATTTGTGCACAGGCGACTTGCTCACCTACTTACTTACTTACTTACATCTTAGTTACATACTTACTTACTTACTGACTTTCTCTGTGTTGCAGGAAACACTGGGCCCTATATCTCTGATGATATTCTGAATGAAGACACCATCAGTGTGCTGGTGCGTCTCATCACAGAGAAGAAAGGTAAGGGTGATGTAAGTGTGATCAGAGTATCACTGGAGGAACAGGAGAGAGGAACAGGAGAACCTCCACGTCATGGACCGAAGCCCTGTTTCCATGACCGCTAAACCAACACAAGTACCTGGGCTAGCTTTGACCTTTTTCCAAAACAAACACAAGATTTGGCATTTCTATATTTTGTTATTATACTATTTTGTCTCATTATTAGGTGTGAAGAAGATGACATAGTCTGGGATCGCGTCTTTCATTCAGACAGAAGACATGTTTTATTGTCAATGGTAGAGACAGCACGATCAAAGCACACGAACACAGATACAACAGAATGCAAGTGTATTATACAGAGCGGAGGCATGGAGACCTCCAATCAGCAGCTTCCACAGTGTGCTTGTAGCTTGGCCTTCAGATAGACAAAACAAGGGAAAAGTACTGGCTTCTGCACATTGATAGAATGATGAGTTTAACTTTAACAAAAGTTGCTTAAAAGTGTTAAAAGTGAAATCTCATATTCCCCCCTCTGGTCATACATTCACGTGTGACCATCAGGATCGATAAACAGCAACATAACATCATAACTCAATACTTAAACTCGGTACTTCACTCGGTACTTCAAAAAACTCAGAACTCGGAATACTTCAAAAACTCATAAAACATGTTCAGATCTTTCATAAAACTTGTCAACAATCTTCAGTAAAATACCAAACTTCATCAGTCGATGGTTCCAGATATTGCTTTGAAAACAGTCTCTCCCACTTCTCTGTGTTGATTCTTTCAGGCTGCATTTGTGTCGAGCCATGAATTCTTCTGTGGCGTGTCTTTCAATCACACGTTTCAGCTTCAGTGTCCAGATTCAGCAATTCAATTCAGTCCAAATTATGTCCAAATTCAGAAATCCAGATTGTTCCAAATTATGTCCATGCAAAAGAGGACGCTGGTATTGTCCATGTCTCAGCAGCTCACAGCCTGACTGGAATCAGGGGCTGTGCAGATTGTCCAAGTGTGCTGGTCCAGATGCATTCTCTTGAGGTTTCTCAGTTTTGGCTTGAAAAAAAAAAAAACACTTTTTGTGTAAAAAAAAAAGTCTTCTGTTCTCTAGATGTTAAAGACAAGGCCCGCATCCTTCCACCACCTGAAGAAGATGTACCAAGTCTGGGATCGCGTCTTTCATTCAGACAGAAGACATGTTTTATTGTCAATGGTAGAGACAGCACGATCAAAGCACACGATCACAGAAACAATAGAATGCAAGTGTATTATACAGAGCGGAGGCATGGAGACCTCCAATCAGCAGCTTCCACGGTGTGCTTGTAGCTTGGCCTTCAGATAGACAAAACAAGGGAAAAGTACTGGCTTCTGCACATTGATAGAATGATGAGTTTAACTTTAACAAAAGTTGCTTAAAAGTGTTATGAAATCTGGTTATGTAGGCACAACTTTCTAATGTCGAATCTTTCCAAATTCACATCCTGATGTACGCAGGAAGCGTTTCGGATTTTACTTTATGAGCGTCTATGAAGCTCGTTAACTCCTCGCTGCATTAGACTACAAACCACCTAAACCATCGTACAGTGGCATGTGACACAGCAATGGCCAAGTATCGTATATAGTCATACCTTTTTGCTTTCTGTATCTCTGATAATAAATATATTATTTCTAATGATGTCTACACTAATGTTTTTGCAGACATAAACGTGGTCTACAGCAAAAAATCTCAGCGTTACCGTGTGCATTACTGTGCGAAGGAGAATAAAGACTAAGCTCATCCCAGAGCTGCCAAACAAAGAATATTAACCAGGCCTCAGCTCTGCTGGGGGACTCCCAAAAGGAGAGCATTCAGCCAAATGACCCTAGAGCCCTGGGTCCTCTGTCGGCATCATCCTCCTCCTTCAGCCGAATTGGTGCACAGACACAATTACGGAGAGGACAGGTGTGTTGAGATTCAAAAGAAGAAAAAGTCTCAAATGTATTAATGTATTTGTTCTTTCTTTTTTCTAGACTTGATATCTGGAGTCCATAAACCGAGCGGACAGCAACTCAAAGATGAAACACACACTTTTATTATATTATGTCAACTATTCTTTTTTTTTCCACAATGATGTAATAAAAGACAGGATGTATATTTGATGTCGTCATTCGTTGCCATGTAGTTTATGCGAAAGGGGGCTTCCTTATAACAACCATAACCCAAATGGGTCAGGGATTTCTCTCTTATCTCCATACACAACAGGAGGGATATACCGTCTATTTCCAGCGCCCGACGTCCATGTTGCCAAATGGTGAACTGTCTATTAAGCTCAGTAGCGATACTCCAGGTTATCACTTCAGGGTATTGGCTGGTCACCCAGAGCCAAAACATCATTCCACGTCTGCCGAGCCAATCGAAAGATGCCTTCATTCCAACAGAAAAGGTTCATATGTACACGTCGGCTCAGAACCCTTCTGGATCCTGTCCTCCCGCACTTATTTTCCAGGTCTGTAGGCTTAAGTCGGCAATTGTCGGCAGGTGCACCAAGTGGCTGATCTGGTTGATGGATGGTCCTGGTATGGCCTGGGCGTGGCCCCCCCCTGGTTTAAAGGTCCCATTTTCAAATAGGGGGGGGGATGTGTGGTATTTATTTTTCCCCAATTAACACCCTGGCAGACGTGTATACTCCATTTGTAGGAGTTCATTCTTTCTCCTCTTCACTTAGTTGTGTGCAATGTGCTGAAAAAAGCATGAGGATTTGTTTTATATTCTTCATCGAGGTATGACATACATTAGTTTATGTACTATATAGCAACCTGTAACTTCTGATATTCTGGCGCAGGACAGCTGAGCAACCCTTTGTCTGTCTTCTTCTTCGATAGGTCAGGTCCTGGCTCTTCTCACTCTAGCCTTGACTCTCCCCTGGCTGTCTTCCAGTTCTAGTCCTCCCCTGGTGCCTCCTCTTCTTGCTCCTCTGCTTTGCTCCTCTGCTTGCTCCTAGCTTGCTCCTCTGCTTGCTTCCTCTCCCCATTCGGGAGTCACTGCTCTCAGTAACTGGAGATTCAATTGGACTCGAGGTCTAGAAGGAAAAAACCAAAAAGGTTTAGAGGTCACCATACGAAATGTATGTTTGTGTTACAGGCTTCATGATGAAAGCCATTAAAAATATATCTTGAAAATTTACCTGAAAAGTTATATAGTGTTTTATACCTACAGACAAACTTGTGTCGTATTAGTAGCAACTATCGTGTCAGTAATACAGTAATTGTGCTATCCATACAAAAAGCTAACATTGGTAACTGCTGTTATTCTCATAGGTACATAATGTTGCTCGTGTTAGCTTCTCTTGGCCCACTAAATAATAGTGACTTCACCTGATCGTTTGCTACGTTTAACCTATGGCCATATAAATAGAAAGATTTCACTAGCAGCGTTCATACTAATATTTTCTTTCAGTATTATAATTAATTAATTAATATAATTTTAATTAGGCTTACATTATACATCAAAGTTTAGGAGAACATTGTTCACTGGACATTTTTGCTCCGGTTTCATATGTAATTCTTTCAGTGTATTTATTATTTTGGCTTCACAACTTTGCTTTACATTCAGTAAGCAAGTATCACTTCTTGGAAATGTTACACTACAATGATTTGGTCCTAAATATGATAAAAACAGTAATTTGTCTTACCTCTGTTGAAAGTCATCGCCGCAAGTTGTTAAAATGACGGGGACAGTAATCTTTCATTAGCGTGTTGTTTGTGTTATTTTCCTCGTGAAACGCGCATCTACTCAAGGCTTGCAGTAACACTCTGGCCAGAGTGCAGGAGGGGGCTTTGCTGAGCACAAAATGTCAAAGTCCGCAAACGCTCCTTTAAGATTGTATGATTCAACTCTCTATAATCGTTTGCGAAATTAACTTTTGTATTTGACCAAACTTAAATAGTTGAAGCCACAGGTTGTAAAAGTTTGAGTTCACCCATTAAACATTGTACTTGTTCCAACTCTCTAGAATGCGTTGGAATGAATTAATGATTTGATATTTGAACGCCAGACAGGTTGGTCAGTCACTTTTCTTAGTTGGTGATTTAAAATGTGTATTCCCTTGTATTTATTGAGATAAGTGGGAATTTAAACACAACAGGACATTTCCCAACTTACTCCTTTAACCCTCTAGCGCCACGGTCGACTAAGTCGACAAGATGCTGGTACTGTTATAAAAACGGCCCGAGGAGTGGACCAACTGAGTGTCAAATTCATTCATTACTCCCTGCCACTAGTTGGCCAGACCTATCGTCAGACTACCTCCTGGCCCCAAAAACGTCATGGTCCCTATACAAAATATTCGAGGCAAGGACGAGTTTGAACAGTGCGGAATTCATAGCGAAGCGATTGCAGCTGCGGGCAGCCGCGAGTTAACACACCACTAACCAAACAGCTCCAACAGCTCTGTGGGAGCTTGGCCCAGACTGTAGAACAATGATCTTTTTTCAAGATGTCCATATTTTATGACCTATCAGTGAATTTTGGGATTATAATTTGTGAAGTGGAGCAAGGTGAGTCGCATTGCTCTAAAATAGGATTAAAAAAAACATTGTGTCACAAGGGCAGAATGTCACACGTCTTCTTCTCATATTGTTCGATCACTTTGCAATTATTTTCTGTAAGCCACAGGTTTTTTAAAAGTTGTTTCTTGCAGATGCCTGAGGGTCTAAGATGATCCAGGACATTTATCAACATTTATAACAATTCTCTATGGATCAATGGCGCCTATGTGTTGTTGTAATAATAATAACAGTGATTTGGTTTTTGATTTAGGGCTATACAAAAATGAATGTTATTGAATATAATGTCATGTACCAGCAACATCATTGTCTTTCCATCTTACAAACGGTAATTAATAGTCATTTAATAATAATAATGAACAAAACAAGACAGATGCAGAGAAATACATTGAATATTGAGTTTTATGCCAACCAGAAAGTTATTATGAAACTACTTTTTGTATAGTCTGTATCACCCCCATTCAACATTTTGACAAATAGTTCAAGGCTCCGAGCACGTTGTGGCCTGCGAGATAAATGTGTAGAAACATGTTGGTGTGTTTAATCCTTAGCACCACTTACAGCCACAACAACATGCTTCCTCTGCAGCAGAATGAAGACACTTTGAAGCTGCTCACTCTCACACACTAATGTAAGTAACAGACTTTGTGGCACTTATTGCTGCGTAGACGTTGTAGAAGATCATTGCATCGTGAAAGAGTTCATGTTAATCTTTGATGGGTTTTATTCTGTGTCGTGAGCCACCAAACTCATTTAAATCATGGTATAACTTCAATGGTTAAACTTGGTGTGCATGGTCCCTTTTGAGTACATTTAAAATGCATACGGTATGTCTTAAAACTGTATGTATTTAAAGCATTTGATGTGTCTTTTGTATTTGTTTAACTTTGCAAATGCAAGTTCAAACCAATCCTATGTGTATGGACTATTTGTGCACAGATGGCAAATAAACCTTTTGCATCCGGACTAAACGACTGACCAAAGAAATGCGTGTGTTAAGGGATGGTAGCAGCTGTGTTTGGGCTGGAGCTGGAGCTATTTCAATTTGGTGAATTTCTTTAGATGCCAACAGTTAAGATGTCTGAGGGCTATGCTTTGATATTATCCGCTAAGCAATAGTTGTCATAGTCTGAGTAAATAGACTTCAGAACGAGCCTCACAAGTTTCACCTGTCTGCAGATATATATAATAAACATATTTAAAGAGTACACTGCAGACACATGCAAGCTCAAGGTAGAGATTTATACACTATACGGTCTTGCTTAATGGCACAATGGCAGCATATTTATATAAATGAGACCTTAAAACTACAGCAAAACTGTATGTAGGCTTTTTCTAACAAAATCACGCCGAATAAACTTGTTTTGACTTCCATTGAATTTCTTTACGTACAGTAATAGCCGGTCCGGTAAGCTCTAATTTGATAGTGTAGCTTCCAACTGAAGAGGGAATTGTCACGACACACCTCTTTTATAAGGTCAAATGTCTAAATACTGTATGTATTTTTTTTTATTATGTGTCTTTGGTATTTGGTTAACTTTGCAAATGCAAGTTCAAACAAATCCAATGTGTATGGACTATTTGTGCACAGATGGCAAATAAACCTTTTGCATCTGGACTAAAAGACTAACCAAAGAAGGGATTGTAGCAGCTGTATTTGGACTGGAGCTGGGGATATTTCAGTTTGGTGAATTTCCTTAAATGCCAACAGTTAAGATGTCTGAGCGCTATGCTTTTATATTATCTACAAAGCAATAGTTGTCATAGTCGGCTGTTATCACATTGCGTCACCATGTACTGCAAATGAAGTACCTGGGTGAAACCGGACAGATGCCTTCTATGTCAGTACGGTGATGATGTTAAGCCTAGCGTACATCGGACTGGCAACTGATTATATCCGTAGCATATGAGTTCCTGCCCCGCACACATCGACAATCTGACGAAAACGGGCAACTCCCAGTAGCAGACCAGTCTCGGGAATAACAGCGCGTACATCGACAGCAACTGGCCTCAACTACAGTGTGTTTTCTGACATAAACTGTTGCGGGCTCGCAATACACACATGTTGTCGGAGCGGCGCATGGAGCGCGCACATCGGGTCATATCTCCGAAACTGAGGACAACTAGTTGCCGAAAAGTAGAACACAGGCAACTGACTGAAACTGGAGACCGACTGTTCATCTCCAGTTGTAAGAGCGCGCACATCGACCGATTTCAGCAACTGATCATCTCCACCTACTCTCAGTTGCCAAAAGCCGCCTTGCAACTAGTTGTCCCCAGTTTCTCTGTCGATGTACGCTAGGCTTCAGAGGAGTGACAGAAAAATGTGAATTTTTTTATTGCACTGAAACATTTTGAAAAACATGTCCTTATTGTGAGTGAGCTTGCATGTCCACAAACCTGACTCGGTTCCTGGAGTTCCTGCTCACGCTTGTTGATCTTTTCGCTATAATCTTCCAAAGTATGGCATCAAATCTCATGCACTGTAAATTTCATAAATACATTTTGTCCATCCCAACAGAAAAAAAGTTGTTTAAGTAAAATCTTTTTAACAAATCAGATCACATGAAGCTGACTTTATCAGAAAGCACTTTATCTTATACACTGCAAACATTTTTTAAATTTGGCAAAATGTATCCTTCATTTGAGCACATTTTGACTGCCTTAAAACAAGACTATCCATTAAGACAAGCAAAATTATCTTGTTTTAAAAAAGATACAAGAAACACTCACTCCCTTGGAAGGAAATTGGCAAATCTTGTTTAAAGACAGTCAGAATGTACTCAAATTAAGATTAAAAACCACTGGATTCAAGCATTTACTACCATTTTATCATTTGTTTCAGTGAACAAACTTAGAGCTGAGATACATGCGTGTGAAAACTAATGATAGAGCCGGTTTTGAGAGCTACATGTTTGAACTATAGTTACATAGATGGTATTGTACATATCATTTGTGATTTTGTTAGGTACTCCAGCTTAAGACATTTTATACAATGACATTTGTTTTTTTGTAGGCCCTTGATTTACTATTATGAAAAATGCAGAAATGTGTCAGATTTTTTAATATATTTTTTTCTTTCATTTTGTATTTACAGGTGTTCCAACAGCCACAATGAGCAGTCTGAATAACTTCACACTCGCAAATACCTCCAGTAGATATTTATGCGAATTCCAAGAAGATTTTAAGTACATTCTCCTTCCTGTCAGCTACGCCCTGGTGTTTGTGGTGGGACTGGCTCTCAACGCCACTGCTCTGTACGTGATCATATTTCGGACCAAGAGATGGAAGCCCACCACCATCTACATGCTCAACCTGACCGTGTGCGACACTCTCTACATATTCACCCTCCCTTTCCTCGTCTACTACTACGCTGAAAAGAACGACTGGCCCTTCAGCGAACCCTTCTGCAAGATCATACGCTTCTTGTTCTACGCCAACTTATACGGTGAGGAAGATTTATCCACAGATGGTACTCAGAAAATCAACTTATGATGTGAAACTAATATGTGAGATAAGATAAGAGATCCTTTATTTGTCCCACACTGGTGAAATTTCACTGTTGCAGCACATGTAGTGTGGACTTATATACCATACATATAGGCAGGATAATAAGTAGATAAAGCAAAGTGACATTGTTCAGTGGACATTCTGAAGTTATTGCACATTGCACATGATTTTAGTATTTACTTGTTTACAGAAAAAATACATTTACAGGCTCAGCAGTTCTCGTTGTACAGTCTGACAGCAGCAGGAATGAAAGACCTGCGGAACCTCTCCTTCACTCAGCGAGGGTGAATAAGTCTGTCACTGAAGCTGCTCTCCAGAGCAGAGAGAGTGTCCTGCAGGGGGTGACAGTCAAGGTCCAGCATAGATGTTAGTTGATGTTAGATGATGACCTTGTCCAGCTTCTTCCTGTCCCTCTCTGTGATACTGCTGCTCCAGCAGACCACACCGTACAAGATGGCTGATGCCACCACAGAGTCATAGAAGGTCTTCAGGAGTGGCCCCTGCACTCCAAAAGACCTGAGCCTTCTCAGCAGGTAGAGCCGGCTCTGGCCCTTCTTGAGGAGGGCGTCTGTGTTATGAGTCCAGTCCAGTTTGGGGTTCAGATGAACACCCAGGTACTTGTAAGAGTCCACTCTCTCATGATATTAATAACAGTAAAAATAATGCATAGATATTATAAAGCGGACACTGGGCACTCAAAGACGCTTCACATGTAAATATTCTTTCATTCTATACACAGTGGTGAAAAACTACTTCAGGAGCCACAGCTGCCCAGAGGCACACTGACAGATATAGGTTCATGATATGCAAAGCCTAACTGGATATGGTCTTGTTCCGACAAAAGCTTAAACTTTTATTGGCATCCAGTGAATTTCTTTACGTAATCAATCAATCAATCAAATTTTATTTATAAAGCGCTTTTCATACAAAAAGTGTAACACAAAGTGCTTTACAGTTTAGTTAAAAACAATCCAACACTAAAACAATACAATAATACAATAGAAAGTAGAACAATAGAATGTGAAAATAAAAAGAAAAATGGCAGCTGCCTAATATAATAACAATAGTAAATGGGTAGATACAATAAATAATTAAAAATAGTAAATAATAAAAATAAATAAAAATATAATCCGTCTAAAAACATAAATAGATGTACTAAAAAGCAATAAAGGGCGGCACGGTGGCTGAGTGGATAGCACTCTTGCCTCTCAGCAAGAAGGTCCTGGGTTCGAATCCCGGCCGGACCAGGGCCTTTCTGAGTGGAGTTTGCATGTTCTCCCCGTGTCTGCGTAGGTTTCCTCCGGGTACTCCGGTTTCCCCTACCACTAAAAATATGTACAATAGGTCTGGCATGCGCCTCCTGTTCGGCGACCCCGCTCCCATCTCTGTGTGGAGTGAGAGGACAAGTGCCCAAAAATAACAATTGTAAACCGCTTTGTGACTCTGGTCTGTGAAAGGCGGTATATAAATAAAGATTACTTACTTACTACTTACAATAATAGATAATAAATACTAATCAAAAGCTGCTCTAAAAAGGTGCGTCTTGAGCCTACTCTTAAAAATATGAACGTTCTCTGCGGCCCTGAGCTCCTCCGGCAGACTGTTCCAGAGACGGGGGCCGTAGTGCTGGAAAGATGCCTCGCCGTGAGTGTGTGTCCTGACTTTGGGGATGGTTAGGAGTCTGCTGCCGGAGGAGCGCAGGGGCCGGGAAGGCTCATAGGATAAAAGCAAATCTGAAAGATAAGAAGGCCCAAGACCATTAAGACATTTAAAGACCATTAAAAGAACCTTAAAATCGATCCTGAAACACACGGGGAGCCAATGCAGCGATTTTAAAACCGGTGTAATGTGGTCCCGCCCCCTGGTCTTAGTCAGGAGACACGTGCGGCCGAGTTTTGAAGTAATTGTAAACCTGAAATGTTCTTTTTGGGAAGACCAGAGAGCAGGGCATTACAGTAGTCAATGCGACTGGTGATAAAAGCATGCATCAGCGTCTCCGTGTTGGCCCGAGAGAGAATGGGCCATAGCCGGTAATAGCCGGTCCGGTAAGCTCTAATTTGATAGTGTAGCTTCCAACTGAAGCGGGAATTGTCACGACACCTCTTTTATAAGGTCAAATCAGTCAACAGAAGCTTTGATTTTCAAGATGTTTATCCAACATACCTGGACTCAAAATCTGACTCCTTGCCGGTGGTGGTGTACCCGAAAACAGAATTATCCAATGTATTCTTTCAAAGCATTTTTTTCTTTCAAAAACATATACGGTAAGTGATGACACATAAGTTTCAATGGCGGGGATTCGTTAATATTTACAGTCCATGAGCAAAACCTGTTACTGGTGGAGTTACAACAAAATGTTATGAACAAAAATACTTAGAGAAGAGCAGGAGAGGGGAACATGGAGCCATCATTGAGCCACCGTTAATCTAAACCTGGTCATACCTTCATGTGAAAGCTAGATCCCGTTATTCCTCTGAAGCTGGGCAGTGCAAGGCCTGGATAATACTGAGATGGGAGACATCTGAGAACACCCGGGGTCCCCAGTGGCTACAATAGTAGTTTATCACCACCGCTCATTGCTATATAAAACTGATGTGTTATTATTATTCTAAACAAGCAACAGGCTGAGGTTAACAGCTGCAAGGTTCCGGGGGCCATATGGAAACGTGAAAGGGGTTGTATGTGGCCCCCAGCTCTGCCATATAGGGTTAGACCATTAATCTGAGTGTATGTGTTTGTATGTATTCTTGTGCAGGTTCCATATTGTTCCTGTGCTGCATCAGCCTGCATCGTTTCGTGGGCATCTGCTACCCAGTGCGCTCTCTTAACTGGGTCAGTCCACGCAGGGCCAAGCTGGTGTCTGTAGCAGTTTGGGCTTGTGTTTTACTCTGCCAAGCCCCCATCCTCTACTTCTCCAGAACCAGGTAATCACATCCTATCGTCAAATCTAATCAAACCCTGCTTCCATTGCTTCCATTGCTCTCAAAGTGTCTGTAATTGTGTTAACCCACTTAGAACTGATTGTATCTAGGGCGCTTCACTTCTTTTTCTTCTTCACAGCAGATTTTTTCCATAGGATTTTTTAAACTGGTTGTTTTATAGGTGAAACTTGGATAATCAGAATATTGTTCAAAAGTTAATTTGGTAATTCAACCTGTATTCAGAATGTGTATACAGTATTTTATCTAGGATTATGTACAGCTTTTGTATTAAGATGTCTATTGTATTTCTTGTTTTGCATAACACATAATCTGTGGCTATAAGTGCTGCATAATGTAGACATGTTGAAAGTTTACACCCTCAGCCAGAGATTTACCTTTTTGCCATATTTTGTAGATTACGAATAACACAACATTTTATTTCTCTGTATATTTGGAATGCTTATGCGAAGCCAATTATTGACAAATATATGTGTTTTCTATTTAAAATGATCTGGGGAAATGTGCAGCTTATGCAAAATGACCCAGGAATTTACAGAAACTGGAGGTTTTTTGGACATTTGTTAACATTTCTGGACATTTTTCATCAAGATTGGGCAACTTTAGCATCAGAGAGGATAAAGTCCCTCATCCACAACTACTATCAAAGACTCAAGGGTGTCAGTGCTGTTAGACGAGCAATAAATGCCATTGGGAACTGGTGAATGGAAACTCTAATTAAGATTATTTAAAATTAGAAAACATGTTTAAAACCAGTGATGTTATAAAACCACACAGTAGTGAGTTCCGAGGACAGCCAAGTCGTCAACAGAGGGACACCATCCGCAGTTCAGGCCATAAGTAATGCCAGGTCGTGGGTGTGTCCTCGGTTGTGTGTTGGCTGTTCAGACGTGTTGGGTTAAAATCCTGTAATTAAGTACAATCTAAGAAATCTAGGGTAAATTTGTCAGTGGGATTGTCATTGTGTAGTTAAAATCACGGTTAAATTATCATATTGTTAAGAATTGAGTAAATGTGATAAAAACGCTGAGAATTCAATATAAAAAGGCTGCACTTTTTTAGGTGGCACTATAAAATATTACTGTTAAATTTTTGGGGTTGCTAAAAAACAAGAGAGTTGATTCTCTAAACTTGAGTATTGGGTTAAAAAACAATAGGTTTGGTGGCCAGGGTGTTACGCATATTGAGGTTGTGCCGCCACCCATCTCTTTCTTCTCTTGTTTTAAAAGCAAAGTTAAAATTGGGGGGGAGGCATCTGTCAGAATCAGACGGAGCTCCGGACCAGCCAGGTTCTCACGTTAAAAACATACTCCATCCAAGCTCGTGTTCTAAAATCAAATCATTAACAGTAAAAAGTCTTATTTAAAAAGGGAGGTACTCATGTCCGTACTGTCCCTTCTACACGTCTCGATAGACGGACACGGGACAGCATAGCAGCTGGTCTCAGCGTTCTGCCGTTTGCACCACAGCTGCATGATGCCTGTGCTGAGGAGAGGCCGTCGTCACTCGCTGCACTGTGGTGTGTGCGGTCCTGTTGGTTCAGAAAGACTGTTATTTATATTTTTGAACACTTTTCATTATTATTTTATCGATCAGCAGCGTCACTCCAAGAAAATATACTGTCAACAAACCAACCACTCACTGTTTGTGTCTCCATTAATGCATCCCGTGTGGAGCTCCGGCTCAGTTGAGTTGGATGAGGTGTGTGAACGTGCGTCGAGAGTGGCGAGGGACTGGAGCATGCTCAGGAGACTGTTGGAGGCAGGGAACTGGAGGTACTTCTCTGGGACATAGCCGACTTTGCCTGTTTTATTGCGAGCCTAAAGAAACAAAGTCGTTGGTTATTTTGATTCAAGCACATGTACAATTCTACCAAAAAAGTATGTGAGATATTGCAAGATTAAAATTAAGAGATAATTTATTTCTCCCACAGTGGGGAAATTGCAGTGTTAAGGTAAATGAATAACTCTATACTAAAATAAAATAAAATCTTTAGCATGATGAAGAAGGGAGGACTCATGTACAAAACCCTTGACTTTAGCATAATAAGGAGCAAATAGTAATAGTAAGTTGTTGAGAAAATGAAAAGAAGCTAATTATTAAAGTTTTTCTATCTATTTATAACCCATGTAGTTTGTAACAGAAAGTCTTGTAAAACTATAATGCTGTTAACAAATCAGACTGTGACATGCTGTCTAACAAAACATGTTATCTTAAAAAGGTATGCAACCTTTTAGAAAGAGCCATGTGCGTCACTATTGGACTTATTTCACAGGGCTGAGAGCTGATTGGCTGAGTGAGGGCGGTCCTCTCGTTATCACTTCACTGTCTGTAAAGGCTGATCTAAAATACATGCATGTGACAACTAGCTATTGATCCAAACTATTTTGAGAGCAAAGATTTAGTGAGATGGTTGTAAATGCATATTTGTTGTGGTTTGAAAGTGAGATACCCCAGCTTTAATCCAAGTAATTTTTGGCAATGTACTCAATCAGGCAAGAAACAAAATCAATCATTGCAAGGCTTTTTGTCATTTGATCTAGTTCCCCAAATATTTCACATGTAATCATGCAGCGAAGATTAAGATTAAAAGATCGTTTATTCGTCCGACAGTGGGGAAATTTCAGTGTTGCATCACCGGTTACAGAACAGTAGGAATGGGGAGCACACACCACAATATAAATGATTATATAATTTCTAGCTTTAGCATAATAAGGAAGCAAATCTAAAATCTCCAACTGTAGCTTAATGAAGTAGCAAGAAGTAACTACAACATCTCTGACTTTAGCATAATGAAGAAAATAAGTATAAAATCTCTAACTTTAGCATAATAAAGGAGAAAGTCTCACCTTGACCCAGTCCTCCATGTCCCCATCCTCAATGACCTCCAACATCTCCTGCTCATCGATGGTCAGTTCATCCGGCTGCGATGCCTTTAGAAAAATCGTATTCTTATTTGTGGATGTCTCTTTCTTGTTCCAGTAGATAATTGCCCTCTGTTTGCTTTACCTTGTATGAGTAGAGCACTTTGCAGGTAAGTGGGTAGTTGCGAAGTGTTCCCGATGGACTGGAGCTGCTGTCATCAAACACTTCCATGTTTTCTTCGCACTCTTCTCCGTCCTCTCGGTCTAAGTCCACGGTGCCCTGTTAAATGAACACACAAACACAGATTCAGGGCTTTGATCACTCCAAGGGCAAAAGGACAACAATCGCCACAGTCAAACACGTCATTTATTCCATAGTTTGATGTTTGATTTCCAGACTCACTTCTGGTCTGAGCTGGTCTGAGTCTGAGCTAGAACTTTTGAAAGCAGGTGTAGCGAGAGTAGTGTTTCAAACGTCCCCTCCCTCTTTTGTTCAATCTGAATTTCAATGGTCATGTGATGAAGGCAGTAGAAAGATCCATCACACAGTAAACTGACCCCACCATAACAAAGGATTTTAGGTTGTAGTGTTTTGTCATGTCAAGTTTCTGATGACACACAAAACATATGAAGGCAATCTCAAATTCCAGCATGATTGGCATTTGCTTTGGATTCTAATTAATAGTAATCAAAAGCTGCTATAATTCATATATGTCAATTCACGGAAAAAAACATGATAGAGGGACAAGGAACAGGTAAATGGAGCAAGAGCAAAGGTTTAGACTGGAAGACTCAAATTTCTTGCAATAGACGTGATACAAATGGTTTAAATACAATCCTTCCATCACTATACGCCTGCACCTCAGCCCCAGCTCGTGCAGTCACCCTCCTCCTCCCCGTCCCCTCCAACCATGGGACAATCTCAGTTTATGACTTCGGCTTCACCGCCACCTGGATTGTGACCCCGGGGGATTTCATTTTCATACTAAATATTTGAATTCCCTCCTGTATAAACTGTAAAATATTTAAATGCCAAAACTATAATCCAACATGTCATGTGCCATCGTCAATAAACACAATCTATTATGTGCCAAAACTTGTGAGGGTAGAATACACGTTGTTTTCATTTTTCATTTACATGGGGAAATGAGATCGATGCCCCATTGTCAGTGCAGAATTTAATTACAGCCGAATAGAATAGTTTGGGCGCCGCACTCTGCTCTCTGCTTGTCTGTGCTTTTCTTCTAATCACCATTTTTCTCTCTTTTTGCCGTCAGGTACAATCTGACCTGCAAATAATCAGCAAGCAAATCTCTGCCTTCTAATTCAGCATTTATTTGCTTTTATAGTTCTGGACTTTGTAATTAGAGTCATTTTTATGAGCCTATTTTCACTGAGTAAACCTTGTAATTGTGCTCTTGCATCAGATTCATGCTGCTAAAATCTGGAACAGTCTTCCTAAAGATGTGAGACAGGCCTCCTCTCTGAAAATGTTTAAAACCAGGTTAAAGACAGTTCTGTTTAGCTGTGCATACAACTGAGGGATTTTATATTTTTATCTTTTTTTAAAAAAAATTTAATGTACTGTGATTATTTATGATTTTAATGCTTTCTTGTTTTGTTCAGCACTTTGAGTTGCCTTGTGTATGAATTGTGCTATACAAATAAACTTGCCTTGCCTTGCCTAGTCTCACACAACTTTCTCTAATTTGCATAAGTAGCCACTTCCAATTGTGAAAAATGACAAGACATATCATCTTTCTCTCTTTGTCTCCTTTTAACAAAGTCTCTACTTCTTCTCGCCACCATCTTAACCAGCCTTCTTCATTGTTCTCATCTCTCTGCTGTGGCACTAAAAGCCATATTTTTGTGTGTGTTATGGTATTTGCGCAGAATGTGTTTATATGGATGGAATGTATCTTGTTCCAAAGGTATTCAATATTATATAGTTACATATAATGGTAGATTTTTCATGTTTAGATTTTTCATATATTTTTAGGACATTATAGGAATGTAAAAAAAATATAATTTGGACTTTAATAACATTTAATCTTCAATTATATACATATTAATGCATCAATGGACTGAATTGTATGTTATTGTTGAGAAATATATCGTATAGAATCGATATACTGTATGTATTATATCGCAGGTTCTGAAAGTTACCATCCCTTTAACAGTGGTAGAGTTTTAAACAGAGCTGGCCGACCGGTCAGAACCCTTTTCAGCATCAGCTTTTTTGAAAAAGAAATGCCAATATTCAACACCAAAGACATTATTGATGTCAGTTGACACCAAGTCGATGTCTCGCCCATAGGGACCCCATATCAAAATTAGATTCATAATCAAGTTAAACTCTTCAAATTGAAATTAAACACAAAGGAACAAGCAATACCAAATGGTGGTAAGCTTGAATATGAGTTGTGAAACAGGATTACAAAAAATGTGTCAAACAATCACTAGTTGTTGAAAAACTGATATTATACATAAAGTACAAGTACTAGTACATAAAACACAGTCAGGGAATTCTTTACGACAGTGAGGGATCATGGGGTGTGAAGTTTGCCCAACGCTCATTTTCCTAGCTCCTCCATCACCTACAGCATGCGCAGACACAGTGAGCAATTAGGAATGATCTAAAAGGTGAAGCATTCAGACAAATGGGACGCACACATGCAAAAGACCGAGGGAGTTCACTGACCTGGTTCATAGCACTCTTCAGCACGTGTCCACCGCCACACCCACCTGCCGCAGGAGGTCCAGCCGAGCCTCAGCTTTTAACTTTACAGTCATTTAAAAACAAAAATGTATTATTTCTTTGTATGAGACTTCTAATTAAAGAATGAAGTGTTCATATTGTGCGAGCATAATTAGGATCTGTCTACAATGGATAGCTTTACACTTTGAGAACAGTTGCTGTGTTACGTGGTTTGGGATGTATTCTTTCATTTGTTGTGTTCATTCCTAACAATACCACATGTTGAGGCTCTAACCAGCAGCAGGAAACCCCCAAGGATTTACATTGAATCCATGCGGGTTCTACACTGCCTTTTATCTCCTATCTTTTTCTTTCTTGTGCTGACAGGACAGAGGGAAATCTGATACGTCCCATTGACAGCTCTGAAAGACATCTGCTGTCAAGACTTCTGGCTCTTTGATCCACGAAACTGGCATATTTTAAGTGCTTTGTATTTGCTTGATCCACTCAAGACAGTAGAAACAGTACAAGGCTCAATCTGCTCTTGAGAGACAAAGGCAGACAGAAAAGTTGAACCCAGTTACAACCTCATATTATGAGCAAACACTGTGCAATATGATTTAACTTTAAACGAGTTATAACAAAACTAATTTTAACGTGAAGATATTGATAAGCAGAGCACAGGCATTTCCATCCACCCACTTAAATTGTTTAATATAGAGTGAGAGCCTCCTTCCACAGCTCATTAGTTCTGTTTTCAATTGTCATCTTCTAAAAGTGACGCAAAAGTGGAGGGGAAAAAACAAAAGAGCAATGCAATTTCCTGTGAATTTGTTTAATCCTCAAGTAAACCAACATTTAAAAATACAGCAATTAATGATAACTATATTTAAAACTATATAATGTGAAAACATCCATCCATCCATTTTATACCCTTTAATCCATTTCTGGGTCAGGGGGGTGGCAGTCAGAGATGCCACCCAAGTCGCATAGCACCAGCCCCTCACTGACCCTCTGCAGGTGGTGAGTCCACAGGAGGACGGCTGCTCTCTGAGTGTGAGCATAGCCTTGTTCTTTCAGTGGGGGCTTTTGGGCAAAGTGGGGTTAAGTGTCTTGCCCAAGGGACACAACGACAGCAGTCATCAGTGGGAGTCGGTGGAGAAGGTGTGGAGGTGGGTGGGAATTGAACCCACGACCTTCAGGCCTGAAGGCCAATGCTCTACTAAACTGAGCCACTGTCAAAACAACAATGTGAAAACAATTAAACCTAATGGAAGAATACAGATGTGGCAAACAATTTTGGTGGTGCAAAATATTTGACTGTTATAAAACCACAAAAACATATTTCTAAAGCTCAAGGGCACATTAAATGCAAACATAATCTTAAGCCAAGTTTAGAATGGTGCAAAATGAGATTATCTGCATTGCATTCATGCAAATGCGTAACCTGGATAATATCCCTGTACTGCCATCATTCGCTCAATACGTCTCTGATAGTTGCTTGGAAAGCCAGCAGGCTATGGCTTCTCTTAGGATGAATAGAGACAAAGTGAGAAGAGATGAGCCAGGTGGAAGTCAGGGCAGGACAGACACGTGGACAACACGATTAGGGCTTTCACTCATACATGAAAAGAGCGGTGGAAATTAGTATCTTTTGATAACAATGTGCAGGTGATCATGTGGTCATCAAGCCATCAGAATTGTGTTTCATGTTTTACTTCTAATCAAATATGCTTCTGTAACTGTTTTTTTTAAATAAAAAACAATATACAATTGAATGTATTTGCTCTTTCAACATCATGACCAGGGAACAGGATGTGTTGTATTAAATTGCGTTGTCCCCTTTGAAATAAATAAAACTAAAATAACTATAAACGATCTATAATCTATTCCCCATCCTTATCCAGAAAGTGTTTCAGAGAAGGAAAGTCTATTTCTCCTGAGAGGGCAGAATATGTTAAAATGCCCAATGTACGAGTACATTATAAAATGCCTTGTGTTTCAGTAGTTGACGTAAATGTTCACAGCAAAAAATGATCAAATATGAGGTGATAATTGCTTGGATCGAGGGTTTTTTTTATTTTAATTTGAGTACATTCTGACTGTCTTAAATCAAGACTTGCCATGGGAAAAAACCATTTAGGCAAGGCAAGTTTATTTATATAGCACAATTCATACACAAGGCAATTCAAAGTGCTGAACAAAACAAGAAAGCATTAAAATCATAAATAATCACAGAACATTAAAAAGAAAGATAAAAATATAAAATCCCTCAGTTGTATGCACAGCTAAACAGAACTGTCTTTAACCTGGTTTTAAACATTGTCAGAGAGGAGGCCTGTCTCACATCTTCAGGAAGACTGTTCCAGATTTTAGCAGCATGAATCTGAAAAGCAGCCTCCCCATGTTTAGTTCTGACTCTGGGCACTAACAGGAGTCCCTTCCCTGTGCTCCTCAGAGTCCGGGCTGGTTCATATGGGACTAACATGTCACTAATATATTTTGGTGCGAGGCCATGGAGAGATTTGTACACAAGCAGAGCTGTTTTAAAGTCTGTTCTCTGAGCCACAGGAAGCCAGTGCAGAGACCTGAGGACCGGACTAATGTGGTCGTACTTCCTGGTTCTAGTCAGGACTCGAGCTGCTGCATTTTGAATGTACTGCAGCTGTTTTACAGCCTGTTTGGACAGACCTGTGAGCAGGCCATTGCAGTAGTCTAACCTACTGGAGACAAATGCATGGATAAGAATCTCCAAGTCTGCCTTAGACACTATGTTTTTGATCCTGGCAATGTTTTTTAGATGGTAAAAAGCTGCTGATGTTACTGATTTGATGTGGCTATTAAAATTTAAGTCTGAGTCCAGTATTACCAGTAGAGAGACTGTAGGTGACAGATGACGCTCTCTCTTTGTTTCTGGGGACCAAAGACAATCATTTCAGTTTTGTCTGCGTTTAGTTGAAGGAAGTTGTTTTGCATCCACTCACTGATCTGTTGGATACAGTGAAGGAGTGAGTCCACTGGTCCATGTTCTCCTGCAGTCAGTGAGACATAGATCTGAGTGTCGTCTGCATAGTTATGATAGGACACTTCGTTTCTGCGTATTAACTGACCTAACGGCAGCATGTAGAGATTGAACAGAAGAGGTCCCAGGATCGACCCCTGTGGGACTCCACAGGTCAGGGCCATATGATCTGAGACACAGTTTCCAATCTCCACAAAGTACTTCCTGTCCTCAAGGTAAGACCTAAACCAACTTAGGGCGGTGCCAGCGACTCCGACCCATTTCCTGTGGCTTTTTAGAACAAGATAACTTTGAGTTGTCCCATTGGCAAATCTTGTTTAAAAGACAATAAGAATGTGCTGAAATAAAGATACATTTTGCCAAATATGAGCAATTTTTCACATAATTTTCATCACTTTTTGCAGTGTACTTGGCTGTAGATTTAAAAGAATGCAGACCTTTAAGACTTCACTTAAGAAGATATTATCCAAAAGTATGTTCATTGTGAATGCTTATGGCAGAAAATTGTCAACAATGTCTTATTTTTGTGTGTGGCAGCAACTTCAGTTCAAGATGTAAACTAAAGGGCAGGTGTTTAAAAGCTCTAGTTCCTGCTTATTCCTTTTATATCTTGAAATTGTCATCAGAAATTTCTGAAACGTGTATCTACAAATCAATCATCAATTGAAATATTATCAATTCAAGTTTGAATATTTCCCACCTCTCCATGGAAGTACACAGTATACTGTACGTGTATGTTGTGGAGTGGTGTAAAGGATTTTTTGAAAGCGTGTCAACAGGGGTGCTAAAAATGATGAAAGCTACATGAGACTGACTCAATGTGATATACAGTACAGTTGGAAAGAACACGACAAAGTATTATAATAGAGAGGAGTCTAAATCAAAAGAGAATGCATCCACTCGAACAGGATGCATTAATATGAGATTCTCTGCAGCTGTCTGTGCAAGTCGATGCTTGTGTGATAGATATCTCTGTGGGAGTATATGGCTGTGGTGGCGTCAGGATAATGAGACACAGTGAGAACAATGACGGTATGTATGGAATCTGCTCTAAATAAAAAATGTTCTTAAACATCTCTTCCTTCTTGTGTAGCTAACACTTAGTATTGCAGTCTCCCACCATCAATCCTCATTCCCCGGGTGTTTTTCACAGCACATCTGCTGCTGCACAACAAAAACTTTGTTCATGAGATTTTGGCAAACTTTAAAGTCACAAACCTCTGATTTGCGAATGCATTCTTTGGTGTCCTCCATTTTTATCTCTAAATCGGCGCGACCTTGCTCTGTAGTGGGAAGTCCGTGGGTCTCACAGTCGTCTAAAGACTAAAACAAACAAATGTGATCATGATTAGAGCAGTTCATGACAAATTAAATGTATGTGATTTCTGTCCATACGTACTTCAGTTCATGAGTTTAACAACAAGTATATGAGTTATAAACAATATAAATCCAAAAAAGACATTAGAACTGGTGTCACAATACTATATTTATTTAATTCTCAATTTCAGTACTCAATAACAAATGTGATACTACTGTAATTATTTGTAAAGGTTCTTTTTGGGCCAAACATTTGAATGTTTAACTCAAAATACTTGTTATGGAGCAATAATGTTACATACAAATTATTCTGATGTATTTTAAAATTGAACAAGAAACTCTCAAGAAATGTCAAATTTTGTCTCATTTATGTAAAAATCTGTTAGTTTCAATTCTTGCTCAACTGAGTATCTAGTTCCGATACTGGCTTTAGAACTCAATAGTAAACAGAACACTTGTTGCATTTGCAAGCTGTAACGATAACCACATGTGCTTGGAACAGTGTGTTCAAGCAGCTAAACAGGAAGAGCCTCTTACTTTTTTGTAGTGTATGATATTCTTATGTTCCCGGGCGACCCTGGTGGCCCACTTCCTGGCCTCTTTGTTCAGACTGTGCTCCTCCGTGGTCCCCGTCTCGGACTCCAGCTGCCGGCTCTGTCACAAATGGAAGCACATATTATTCAACGACACAAAGTCAGGCTTCAGTGGCCGAGACTGGAGCTGTTAATTAAAGCTAACGGGGCTGTGAGGGAGCTGCTTCCTCTGCACATAATGAATACGGCTCTACTGTTTTCATCCTTTGCTCTTATTAGAACCACATGAGAATAGGCATGACTGTGGGAGATCATGTGAGATCCTGGCATCCCCCGCGTTTACATAATAACAATATGGTGACTTTAAAGGAGTCTGCGTGACATTTGACATCCATTATAAGCATATGCCTTGTCATTATTCATCCATTTTACAGATAATTAAATTCATACACACACACTAATCATATGGGCAGCTCTTGCTTCGCTCTAATTGCCAACAGTATAAACAAAACACCTGCGCAATTTTGAAACAAGAAAGAATTCTGACTGAGTAAAAATAAAATATGTATTGCATGTATTGTAGATTTGTGTTCACCAGACTGAAGCTAGCATTCCCATAATCTGATAATGAAAGAGTGCTGAAAAAACTAAGTATGCACTTTTGTAATTTTACGTTTCTATGCACAGGAAATCCATTAATTATGAGCTGTTCCAATGACAGAAAGGCATAAATCCCGTTAAGTATATGCGCAAAGAGAACACATTACACAGGAGATTTACAGCTTAATTATATCTTCACTCAACTCAGAGGCATCAGAGGAGAAAAAGACCTCAATCTTGAATCAACTTTAGAATGATTAACTGTTTATTTGGAAAGTAAATGTTTTTGGTTTCAGGCAGGCAGGAAAAGTGACACTAGTAAAGTTTTGATAATCTTAAACACATTGGCATCTACTTCATGTCACAGCAACTAAAACTACTGAGCCTTACCAGAGTCAATAACTGTAATAATGTAGATTGTTTGTGGCCACAATAAAAGGTTCTTATCATTTGGTTGAATAGGCAAAGTCAAAAAGTTATCACAAAAAACTATAAGTTTTCTGTTTGGTCAGGGATGTTGGCCATTGGTCAGGGATGTTGGGAGTGGGGCGGGTTGAGTGGGGGCTATTACCTTCTCTCGACTGGCTCATTCTACCCACTGTTTTTAATGCACTGCTCTATGTAGGGTCCACATACATAACTATGTTAACATTAAATAAACAGCTTTGGGTAAAAATGGCAACAAGTGACAAGTGACAACAAGACCTAAGAACATCATTGGTGCGAAATCAGCATTTAAAATTACTATTCATGGAGACGAGTGTAAATTGTATATCTGAGAGAAATATGCCTGTATTTGAACTCCTGTAAAGAGAAAAGTTTGTAACAAGGGGTAGGAAGCATAAGTTTCACTTCTACCTACTCCTTTTCGAATTGTGCTTATATATGTTTATATGTTTCTTCTTTTTGTTTTGTTTTGTATTGCGCATGTAATTCGAAATAAACACTACTACTACTAACTACTAGACTACTAGATAAGTGGTTTAGAATTGAAAAACAAAGTTCAACACAGGTCCACGTAATGTAGTAGAAATAATCTAAGGTAGATTGTTAGCATAGTTATTGTTATCAGCCTGATTTTGGCATTTTTTAGTATGAGAAATGAATGTATCTTTCATACAGTAATAATAAAAATGCACTGCACTACATTTGAGAGTGAATAATTGCAATATTTACCCACAGTCTCCTTTGTGTATGAGCTGAAACAACATGTTTTGTGTAGAAAGTGGGTTGCTAATCTTGTCAAGTGTTCTTTGTCACACTGAACTTTACTGAGTGTATTAACTTTAAGGTGACAGTGTTCTTAGGGACAGATAAACCCGGCATAGTTTGTTTGCATATTAGCAATGGTTTATTTATAGGAGGGTGATTCATACTAAATAGGCTGCGTTCATGTGACATCACAGCATTCCGAATAGTAATAGAAGTGTCTAATATGCAAAAAACATGCATGAGAATTTTGTTTCAACATGTGTTTACTGGCACCTGGCCTCCAAATGAAATACATTTATGAACATGAACGCAACCTATTGATAATAAATATTAACCTGAATCAATAATGACATGCAGATACCATTAAAATGCTTTAGGAACAAAAGTTAGATGCACTCAGTATGGTTCTTTATTAAATGGACTGTGTGTTGGTCGTGGAATTTCTATCAATGGGGAGGACTACCTGTGCCAGGGTCATTCTCATGGCACTGACGGGCGACGGCTCTATGTCCACCAACTGCGGCACGGAGCTCAGAGTCTAGTCACATACACGCACATACACGCACACACACAGATACACGCATGTACACACAGCCAGGCACACACAAACGCGCACATATATCCACAGCCAGGCACACAAACACACATACACGCATGCACCACACAAGCACACACACACATGTATCACAGCCAGGCACACATGCACGCACGCACACACGCACACACACACGCATATATCCACAACCGGGCACATATACACACACACACACACACATTCGCGTAGATCCCCATCCATGCACATACACACATACGGACAACCACGCCCAGCCACGCACAGCACCGGGGCACACAACATCACAAGGAGGGTTAGTGGAAAAGAGGATCGGAGAGGAGTTAGCCAAAGCTGAACAGGCTAAATAAAAAGACGATAGGAAGTGTTAGAGTCTAAGTTAGATCTTGCACCTGATGCACAACAGAAAGGAAATGGCACAAGGCAAGGGTGAGAGCAAAACCACGACAGAAGACAGGACCAGGTAAAGGAATGACAGTAGAACTCATGTCCATGTGCATGCAGAAAGTTTCTCATGCATGAATATGACACTAAATGCTACAGTGTGACACTAAAAGCTGGGGTACCAAACTTTCAAACCATAAAAGATTAAACTCTCAAAACTAGTTTGCGTCTATCACTAGTTTTTCTGTCACATCTTTAGATTGAGTTTATCAGACCAGATATTGGAAAAGGGAGGACCATCTTCACTCAGCCAATCAGCTCTCAGCCCAAAGCGTCAACTCCCAAAGCTCTTTTTACAAGGAAGGAAAAGATCAAATTTTCCAAAGAAATAAAGATTGCATGATGGGGTCTGACAACAGGGATTATTTATCAATTAAAAAAGTTAGGTACTCCAGCTTCAATCAAAACAGGAAAATGCTGAACTCTGAACTGATGTTTGAATCATATTTGATATTAAAGAAAGAAAGGTTCATAGACACTTAACAGACATTTTTCTCTTTCTTGACTTGAAACAATAGTAGATAAGGCTCACACAGAAACATGTGCACACATACAAAGAACTATTCCTCGTTAAATCATCCATAAAACATCTACAAATGTTAAGTGGATTTATTTTGAAGTAAGAAGATTCATGCAGCTTTTGTCATGCTGTAACTAGACAGCTGTTAACTACAGGGGTCTGTCTTGAATAGTTACCACATGGCAACTCAAAAAACTCAAAACAAAGAGCTACTGATGAGAAGGATCAGAGCATTGGATTTCAGGTTTCCAAGCTGTCCATTCAAAAGACTATTGATGGGATTCCATAAAATATTAAAGATGAGAAATGCCAGACAAACAAGAAACCCTCTAGTGATTAGACAAACACATGTGGGAAAACAAAGAAGTCTTGAATGCTAGTAGAAAAAAGAACAACCTTGCAAAATAGACTTTTACAAGGTTTGGCTCTACGCTGATATCTCCAGCCACTTGAAGATGGTGCGACGGCAAATCTCAATGTTCAAATTGTGTTTTAGAATATGTACTGTTTGATAAAGGGCAATTAATACTTGTACAGAGACAGAACATGTGTTTGCCTTGAGACAGTGAGATGAGTGAAAGCATGTCCTGCAGCGTGAACAGGTTTTTATGCAAACAACAATGTGAATGCGGCAAAATCACACTGTGCATGCATTTATGCAGCGCTGTGTCCTCACCGTGTCATATTCACTGGGCTGGAACTGGAAGTCTTGTGCTTTATGGAATACGGGGTTCTCCTGCATGAATAACTGCTGGTTGTATTCTTGTATTAGCTGCAGGACAGACAAAGACACAGGATATACAGTAAATCTTCTCTTGTGGAAAAAGAATGTCAGAAAAATAAAAGGTGAGTAATAATTGAGTAATTTAGAGTTATGCTTAATTCTGTCTCATCTTTAAAATATTAATTTCCTTTGTGTACAACTATAGCCCTAGCTAAACAGATTTTCAATATAACTCTTCTCAGGTATAACAATACTAAGATATACACAATCCTCTATATTCCAATAATAGTAGTATGAATATTGTCCACTTCATATTTGTCTTTAGGGAAGGAATCTCACTGTGGCCAAATTAGGTTTCCTCATTTCTACCGTGAGCTGCGATCATTCTAGAGACAGCCCAGTAGAAGATTCACTCAGTCCATCCTCACCCTGGTGGATTTCTCGAGAAGAAACTGAAAGGTGTTGTGTGTGGCTTGGGAGGCTTCTAGTTCAGTCCGACAGAGTGACACCAGATAATCTTTTGCATGCTCATAGATGCTGCCATCCAAGGCCTGAAACAAGAAGGCAATAATTGGCATTATGTTATGTTAATTATGTTATGCACATACTTAAGTGAATATGACTGATCATCTAACCTGAACAAACTGATATATTTCAAGAACTTCTGCCGTAAAAACATGAGCACATGATGTATTTCTATGAGCCTCGCCATCATAAATATTAGGTGCATTTTAAAGGAGTGAGGTCAAAGAAATTCCTTCGAAAAAGTTTCTCGGTCACACAGTGGAACAAGTCACATGTCACACAGAAGAACTTGTCAGACAACCTTAAACTTACATATTTTAAAAAAAGAAAGAGCTATATGCGACGGTGGCGTTATTATTGGCTTCATCGTATGTGGTCCTATATCAGTGAGTACACCTCTAAATTAGGTCTCCTTCCTGTAATATAGACATTGCGATCATAAATAGATGCAGAAATGATGGATTCTGTTGCTCCACAGTGTTAGCTTCAGCCAAAAACGATTTGAAAATGAATCTTAAAAAACTGCTAAAGCAAGTTGAAAGCTAAATCAAATATTTTATAGTATATTCTAACTCTTCTCATTAGTTTACTTACTAACAAAATGCAGAAACAACTGGTTCTGATCTCCGTGCCTTGACAAAATGCAGCTGCTTTCTGCTACACATAGGCTCATAAAGAGTATTGGCTTGTGAAAGACAGACACAGAGGAAAACTTAAGAACATTTGTGTGAGGGTGCATTCTTTGGATTTTCTCGGACTGGGAAAGAAGGAAACAGGACTTAATTTCTGAGTTTATAAATATACTAAAAGACCCCAGTCAAACACAATTGTAAGTTCATGGTGTGCAGAGTAAACTAGTACGTTACACCTTCAGCACACATTACTCAGACTAAGGCAAAACATCCTTAAAAACAATAGGATAGACTGGGAAATGATGTCACTAGGGGCGGTTTGTTGGCTGTGCTTTTACTGAACATTCCCTCATCATTCTTCTCATTTCCTCCTTCGCCTTTTTATCCATTTACGGTAGTGCTTAAAAGGAGTGAGTCAGCTTCCAGAAAAAGCTCCCTGTCTCGTGGTCGTCTGTGTGTGTAGAATGATTTCATCAGATTGAGCACAGTGGACTGTAATGTATATAAATGTCTACTAAGTGGGGTTTTTAAATGGGCAGAGGAAACAGGGTGGACAGCAGGGGGAGGTACGGAGCAACAGAGAGGCACTGTCCTTTCACTCACATTGACGCATAGACAAGGAGAGCGCCAGGTAGAGCAGCATCTTGCAGCCTCAGCCACAATGTGTCATTATTTATAACGCTGGCACCCTCACTTGCCTTCACTGCTCATCAATAACAGCGGCATAAGATAGGTGGTGAAACATGTCATTACAAACACTTACAGTAAAGTTATCGGAGAAAAGAAAGAAGCAATATTTGAAAGAAAATGACCATAAAAACTAAGGAGTTACCATGTTTAACAGGAAAGATTTTTCAGCTGTACTCAACTTATAATTTGAACTATATAATTCTCACTTGACCCTATTGATTAGACTGACTGGGTGGTTGTGCTTGTTGGATGTTGAGATACGGTTCCCAATTGTGGCTCTAGTTTCTGCTTATCTTAGACCCGCCCTGCATAGCCTGCTCAAACCATATTTCTATTTGGCTGAATTCACCTATAATGTTTATTCAATAAGACCCGTTGGGGAAAAAAGCAGTAACATCACTAACCCTCACCTCAGACGCAAAAACGTTCAGTAATTTGGTAAATAATAGCTTTATGAGACAAGCAGATTGATTCCCTTAAGCTATGCCCTGTATCTGTGCAGTCTTGCCCTTCTGTCGCACTACCAATCTAATATTAAAAAGTGAATTATAGCCAAAAGAAAGAAAAACAAAACAACAAAAAAGCAGTTGGAAACAGATAATAAATATTTGTTTTGAATTATTTTGGAGTGACAAAAACCACTTCAGTTTGATTTGAGATTGACATTGATATTACCTGTATACACTGCAGTAAGTCGGTGTGGTAGTATCGGTCTTGGTGAGCGTTGGCAGCGGCGAGCATTAGTAAGTAGTCATTTCGAGCCTGTGTTGCTTTGGAGTTGCAGTCACTTCTTTTAGCTTTTAACTGAAATAAGAATAATAATAAAAACTGTAAAGAGGAAATAAAATGTAGTTTTGGTAGCAGTTTTTGGAAACGCTTTCTTACCTTTACGCTTGCTTTCTGTAAACTAATTCTGGACTGAAAAAGCCCCAATTTAGACCTACAAAATATACAATAAAATGAAAGTATATACCAACAGCTTTAGAGCAACTTAAACATCTTAATCACTGAATGGACATTTTAGTTATAATCTTAAAGAAGAGGAGTATGATCAATAATAAAAAAGCAATCTGTAGAATTGAAATGAATGCTTTGTAAATGTACAATCTACTGTCTTTAAACTGATTGAGTTCATGATGGACAGTTTGGACAGCGTGTAAATGTTCTAATGGATTGCGTCTGCACATGTACATTCAAAAAGCATCAGGACGGTGTTAGAATGTAGATTGTTTGTCTAAGAGGAAGAGGAGACGTTTCTTCTTGCATGTTTTCTGAGCCTTACAATGACTATTCTTCCTTTGCTAAGGCACGTGTATTTACCATTCGAGCTCAATTCTGAAAATGTTTCATATGAGGTGAGAACGGGCAGGGCTTACTTGGCTTCTATATCAGCCTTTTCTCGTACTGCATGGGCAACCTGCTCACTGTCGTTGTATTTTTTCTTTGCTTTGGCCAGCTCCTTCACAGAGTCCTGCAGCTCTGCTTGAATGCCACTCAGCTGATCTATGGTCTGTGAAGGGAAAGACAAACATGGAGCATGTTTGAGAAAGAGAAGGTCTGTGTGTGTCAGAATACAGCAGAATGTGATGGTGAGAGAGGAATGAGAGCTCACCTTTTTGAGCTGCTGCTCCTTGTACAGTCTCAGGGTCTTGGCGGGCTCTGATACTTGGCTTTTGTAGTTGTCGCACACGTTTAGTCTAGACTGACTAACTTGTATTGTGCCTTCTAAATAAGATCTCCAGACAGCATAAACATTCCTGCAGAGGAAAACACAGCTAAGTCTTTTCTAGGCGAGAGGCTGAATTTCAAACACTATGAAATGACAACAATAAAATAAAACATATTTTTGCGTAGTCATCACGCAGAGAATGGCACTGTGGGTATCATGTACAGGTTTGGTTCCCAGCAGTGCCTTATCAGTGACATTTTTGTCTTGGTGTCTGAAACCGTGATGTCACACCAGTGTTTTTAGAATACCAACCTATAGTCTGTCCTCTGGTCGTCAGGGTCAATTCCGGCCAGTCTCTTTTTAAGTACTGACTCGCTAACTTCTGTAGTGCCTAAAAAAAATAACAAATGAAATATTAACACCTTTTTTAAAATTGATGAGGAGAGTTGATAAGCCGGTCATAAGGATGTTGTAACAGCCCATGCTCTAAGTGAGTTCAAACCAAGTGCTACAGGAAAGAAAAGGGTAACCTACATTTTATTTACTAGGTCACTGTGTTACTGTAACATCGAACACCATTAATGGGAACGCATTTCCAAAAGGACCCTGCAGCTGATATAATCTCTGAAATCTGAGTGCATAAACCTTTCTTTAAAAAAAGATGTGTCAGAACGGGCTGACAAGTGCTCAGCTGTAGACGTGTGGGGGTCACACACAGAAGCAGAGTGTGTGTGTGTGTGTGTCTGTGTCTGTGTCTGTGTCTGTGTGTGTGTGTGTGTGTGTGTGTGTGTGTGTGTGTGTGTGTGTCTGTGTGTGTCTGTGTGTCTGTGTGTCTGTGTGTGTGTGTGTGTGTGTGTGTGTGTGTGTGTGTGTGTGTGTGTGTGTGCGTGCGTGCGTGTGTGTGCATGCGTGCGTGCGTGTTGTGTGTGCGTGCGTGTGTGACTCCCAGTCTGTAATTAGAACAGCCTCATATGGGCAAAAGTCAAAGGTTAACAGTTTGTAACAGTGTTACGCTGCTCTTGTCTCAGCCTCCCCTTTCACTTGTGACGATTGATAACTAAAATAAATCACTTAAATGAAGCTCTTTGAGGACATATAATGTCAGTCTTTATGCTTTTCTCATAAACAAATACCTAAAGAGACACATTCAAACAACTAAAATTGGGAATCCATTGTCCAATAGAGTGGGGGCTGGTTGCTAAGCAACCACCATTTCTAAGGTGAACAGACAGTGGGAATGTGGAAGACACTAAAAGCCTGCAAGGGCCAGCAGCCTGCAGGAGAGCAGCAGGATATTTGCATCTACTTGAACTGGACAATAACTTCTGATGCTGCAGTGGATATTTGCAATATCAATCAATATTGGCTCTTAAACTTTATTATCATAAGTATCTTTACTTGGGTATTTCATGTTTTAGAACCAAAAAAGAAAGCCTGTATAGATAAGTCACAAGACAGAACCAATACTGGCATCACCTGGTGATTGTAAGAAATTAGAACCCTTATTGTAAACCTATATACCCCTGACCCAGAAATGGATTAAAGGGTAGAAAATGGATGGATTGTAAACCTAAATGTTTCATAACGATTCATATGCGGCACAGCATAGTCACAACTCAAACACCTCTCACTGCCACTGTGGTGGCATTTGGTTTGATCAAACACAAAAATAACACAACCCTGCAGTTACATCCATGTGAAGCTATTTATAAAGGCTACTGCCCATGCGGCCGTTGTCTCATATTCTTACAATGTACAAGGAAAAATTCAATGTTAAATTTATCAAGAAGCGCATATTACAAAGCACTTTTGGTGAAGTGACCTTCCTCCATTTTAAAAAATCCCTTAAAAAGGACACTTCTCAAGGGACTGTGGCTGCAGGAGGAGCCTCAAGTCAGAGTGAGGCAGAGGGAAGAGGCAGAGTTGCCCTTTTTCCTACTCCCATTTAATCAGTGTGTTCATATATGACAATTACAGTCCTCCATAGAATGAAGCAGAGGTAGTTGTCCTAGATTGATATATAAAATTAAATGACATGTTTTGTAATAACCTTGACTTAAATCCCCATTGAAGAGATTCTAGTCTTGAGTTTTCAATGACATAATGACACTGTGGTTGGTGGTTAATGTCCACCATGAAACATCATTTCAAGATCTGGTGCGTAGTCCCTCTCCAGTTGTCCTTTCTTCAGACTGTAGCTCCTACAATGAAAAAACAACCAAAACACAAGTAATAAGCGTCAATAATATAACAGCATGCCACCAGGTGTATTGTAGTCGAAAGTGAAAGTGAAATTAAAGCAGAGGTTAAGACTAGAACTATGTGTGCACAAGCTCACTGCTCCCAGTCTTCCCCCTGTTTCTGCGCCACAACAGCAATCTGTCAATCACAGAAAGCTTCGGGCTTTGGGTAGAAAGCTTTCATTTTTGCAGCAGCTTTCATTCGTGCAGCAACCCTCCTCCTTCCCATCACTGCCTCCTCAGCCAAATTTTAAATTAGTCATGCAGTGGGTTTTTCTGTTCCATCTATAGTGACAGTTTATATGCCAAACAATACTTTAAATTCTAAAAAAGCCCTCTTGCCTGTTTGAGTCTCTCCAGATTGAAGTGATCTATCACTGCAGCTCTAAACTAAATTTTCAAAAGACTCACCCCATGTACATTTGATTTAGTCAATTCTAACAAAGTAGGATAAGGGCTATTCCACTAGCCACCACTGAGCATGGTCAATGTGTCACAGCAGATCCTAGGGTCACATGTTTGACCCCTCCCCCAGTAGGTCAACACACTCACCCTCCCTTAACATACACAAGGCCTCGTTGGGCGCAGTAGGCAGCGCGTCAGTCTCATAATCTGAAGGTCGTGAGTTCGAGCCTCACACGGGGCAAGTCTTTTAGGAGAAATATGAACCTCATTGTCTATAGTTGAAATAGATTCAAGATTAGCAGCATATCATACATAAATACCTTTATGTCTTTTAAACCAGATCAAACAATGGCATTTATTTTGTAATTGTAAATATGTTACAAGTCAACATTATAGCCTTTTCTTTTTATTGCTATAAACAATTGTCCCATCCTACAACTCACACAAAAATAATTAGTGGACAATAGTTATGGTAAATGGTAAAAAGCACTCACAGAGACAACTTCCAGCAGTTGCATTCCTTGAGTTATAACTTGCTAACAGACAGACTCACAAACAAACCTTTGTGAAAACATAACCTCTTGGTGGAGGTAATAATACTGTAGTAATATTAATAAATACAGTAGCATATCCCTCTCTGATTCACTACTTACTACTTTAGAACACGTTTATGCTGTCATCCGGTTCCCTTTTACATAATGCATTCCTAGTTCTGTTCACATCTGTTTAAAAAAAATGGCAAATGCCAATTTAACATGTTTTGAAACCACACCTAGTTCTATATTTAGAGTCGAACCAACAAGATGAATTAATTGCTCAACTGATTACATCAACAGTCGACCACTTAGGGAGTTTCCAGAAACAGTGGTCAAAAATAGTTGATTTTCCGTAATGTATTGGATAAAACACCAAGATAGTCTGAGATGCTATAGTAGCTTTAACAACTAGGTGAAAAGCTTAAAGGTTGGCAGACCGGCTCAAAGGGCTTGCACAGACTGTATCTTAAATGTTTGTGTTAGGATTTATTCATCCGGACCACTGGGGCTGAATGTTTGCTCATAATAAGAAGAAAAAAAGAACTCAGACAGTGCAGACCTCTGCCAAGACGGGCTTCATTGGAAAAAACCCCATTTCTCAGGTTTACTGAAGATGTCTAAATTATCTGCCAATAACAGGCCAACAACCCTGCTCAAAACATCACTCACTGGTGGAGGCAAAACACTACATTTATATCTATCACATGTAAAAAAAACAAAATACTTAGGTTCATGCAGCATTCATATACTGATTTAAATGTACACTGAATGGTATTTAAGTATCAGACAAGCTGTGTTAGCTGTGGACTGAGATTTTAGTATGAGGATTTAGAAAGATTGAGGGCACGAAGAGTCCACTAACTTGACATGGTCGCCCCTCTTATCTCTCTGCGGATCCTCCCACAGGATGCACCCAATCATTTCTATTCAATCTGTTACATCGCCTTTTTTATGTTTGCGCAACATGTGGGAAAATAATATTACATTATCGATTAAAGATTGACTCTGGATTAATAAGCCTATATAACCCACGAGCAGCTTTTGAGCTTTAAGAGTTAAAAAATATGCAAATCCAAATCTACCTCAGCCTGGGTCAAACACATATCTTGTATTCCACTTTTTCCTTAGGTCCTACTATTGGTTGTTGGGCTTGATGAACAGCATGTCACAAACAAACTTTCCTTGTCTTTGAATTTGGCAAAACACTTCAGGTCTCAAGTATCTTCAGCAGCTGCATTCGATGGCAGTCAACTAAAATTGCGCAAAAATAGACTGCTGTTTGGTTTGGGTGACCCTGTTTTCTGTAGTTTGTGAAGTTAATTGTTTAATCTAATATTTAAATAGTTGTCATAATTTGGTAATTGAATAATCGTCTGAACCATACACAGACTAAAACATGCTGTGAAGAGATTTTATGACGCATACAGAGCTGTACTTACTGCAGAATAAATGTGTTTTGTAACAGCTCGTCTTTAAAACGATCTCTTTAGTTTTGTCTGGGTCAAATTTATAGGAGAAAAATACATATTCACTGCCTTTTATGATCCAAACAATCAATAGCAGATTAGATAATAAAACCATAACTCCAGCAGTTATGAAGTATAGTCACACAAATTCCCGATACTAAGAGTAAGTAACAGCAAATAAGTCAAAGCCGATGACCAGAGCCAACATCGATGAAAACATTGGCACCCTTTCTCGCTCAAGGACACTCCATATAAGCGCAGCACCAGACCTCAATGATGAAGTCACCCTCTTAACAACCTTTACGCCACCAATATGACATGAGCAAAATATGATTACAGTGCATTTTCAAAGTTTTACAGAGTGCCATTTAGCTCCATGCCTCAAAGACTAAAAGAAGGTTGAATGTTAAGCGACTCTCCCTTCCTCCCGCAAGTGTGACCAGAGTCTTGTCTGAGCGCCAAAACCCAAAGCTTCAAGGCAATCTGCTCTTAAACAGCTGGATCGGCCCCCAAGAGTGAGAAGGGGATAGAGCAATAGATAGAGATGGAAGAGAGATACAAATGAAAGAAGTGAAATGGAAGCTGAGGAGCAGAAGGGGTTTTGCTGTCATAAATAATCAACGCTTAGTCAACAGAGAAGCTACCCGGGTTTCCTCTTGTTGCTGAAGCGCACACGTCACGGAGCTATTTAAAAGCAATAGAAAGTGTGAGTGATGGAGTAAGAGATAGAAACAGACTGAGAGGGAGAGGAAAAGAGATTTACAGCAGGAAATCCTGTCATCCGTTTGTTCATCATAAAAAAATAAAACAAATCAACGGAACTACAGGAGTCTTTTTTCTTCCTAGCACGTTCCAAACACTGTTAATTATTGCTTTTTTTAGCCGTGGGGGTGTGAACGTGTGGTTACCTCATGTCCTCCAGCAGGTCACATTCAGTCTGGTGCTTAAAGTGCAGTCTTGTCATCTGCTCCGTGTGGGTGTTCTTCAGCTCCTGGGTCACTTTGACCTGGGCACAACAGGGCACACTTAAAGTCCATGGACAATCTCATGAAAACACATTCACTTAATCACAAGTTAAAGCTACACAACAAGCCATGGCGATGTTATAGCCTAAAAATCAAAATATCTAAGTCAGGGGTGCCCAAACCTTTTTCCGTAAGAGGGTCACTTTAGTTGATTAGAGATGTCTAAGAGCTGACGACATGGATTGTAAAACTGTTCATGATGTATGACGTGACCATATTTTGTCAGAGCTGAAGTTGGCTGAATGACAAATGCTTACCCTCTCACCAGCTACAATAGCCCTATCTGCATAATGCGGTGACTAAAGATAAAAATGTCAGTATATTCAATTACTGAAATCTAAAGGTTCTGAGCTTTACAACAAGATATACCATGCTTATGTTGGTTGAGCTGCAGTTGGCTGGATGACACTGTAAACTGGTGTTTATGATCTCAACGACTACTATGTGTTAGCAAAGCAGAGGGCCACATGAAATGACACAGATGGCCGCAATTAGCCCGTGAGCCTTAGTTTGAACATTCCTGAACTAGTAAGTAAAAATGCTATCTCCAAAGGTATTGGAGTGAACAGGTGGAAATCAAAGTTTTTCAATGCTACTAGTTGTTAAGAATACAGATTGATACTGAAGACTCAACTCAAAAGACCACAATCCGCTTCATGTGTCGATGATAAATCTATCGGGCGCCTGACTTCCTGACGAGTCCGGCTTGTACAGGCCAGACTAAAAGGGAGTGCACATAAAGATCTACTCATCCATTAGTTATCCATCAATGTAAGGGATTGGTTGGATTGTACTGTGGCAAAATAGACTATTGGGAGTTTACAAATGATAGAAGACAAGCCTGCCCTGTAGTGAAAAAATATTGTATTATGACAGTTTTTAAATGGTATTAGGAAAAACGGTATACTAAAACTAGCACATACAGTATTCACTTCTTCTCGTGCCAACACGTTCAGAGTCAGTGAAGGTATTGTTGAGTGGATTTCATAGGACATTTGAAACCAACAGTGTGCAAATTCATGACACTTGTAAGATACAGTAAATTTAGGAGAGAAAAAAATGGTATTCAGCATTGATTTTTGTTTTTCAAATGTTAAAACTTGAAAGAACAAAACAAGCAAAAGTCTGTGGGTAATTATGAGAGGAGTCTTGTGCAGTGATTTTTATAATTTGGTGCAGGTTAGGTCCTGCTGTTCCTTTTCACATGCCTTGGTTTACTTTAGTCCTGATTGTAAACCACTCCTAGGCTTATGTTAGAGCACATACAGCAAGAAAGTTGTCATAAGAGTAAGAAGTCATTGATGCTGATGTGCTTAAAGAGATTGTTTATTCTTTTCTTCAACAGCCAATCCAGGTCTGGCAGCAATACCTCAGATGTGTGCCAACTGAACTGGCAAAGGGAAGAAAGCAAGTCCCAAATAAACACCTTGCGAAATTAACAAAATTTGATTTAGAGCAACTGGAACCTTACACTATATATGATCCACTCTAGTATTAAATGGCACTGGTTTTGGGACGTCTATAGGTAAAGAGGATGTGTTCAAGCATGTATTTAAGAGGCATGATATGGCATGTTCTGGCTAAGTCTACCCATATAACATCCCTGAGCTAAAAATGGCACCATGGGGATACAGTATGTGTTAATTGGGAGTAGGGCACCATGCAGAGGTTCACAAACAAGTCTCCACGGTCTAATTGAAAAGTGCACATATTTATTTAATCTTTAATTCAGACACACAAAGGGTCCATATAAAACAAACACAACAATAAGAGAGACAAACAACACACATACATTAGATGTGACAGAATTCTACACAGACAGTTTCTCCAATGCCTCCAGAGATCAGAGGTGTGCCGAACACTGCTCTGTACAGTAAAAACATACATTATTACATTTAAAGAGTCCTCAGAGCATTTCATGAACTTATAAATACATTATTATACACTCCCACATACGTAGACACACTTACAGTATCAACCTGCTATTTTTCAAGCAACACACCTCTTGATTGATCTACTGAATCAATCAAGTCAGTGACAAACCACATCCTCCCATCACATCTCCTGTGTTAGTAGCTTTTGACAGCACCCTCTTGATGGGAAGTGTGACCCTGGCAGACTGGAGCCGGTCTCCAATTCACAACACCGTGGACAGCTTTTTTATGTCGTCTACTACTTTACTTACAGCCTGGTACAATGCATGTAATAAAATATTGTTATAGTCACCAATATTAAGTCAACATGTAACAGCTATTTTTTTTTACCTAGCTAGCTACCCTGCAGGGCTAACACAGAGGTCCGATAATGAATTACAGTAGGTATGTTATGTGTTAAAGTCGTGCTATTATAAACCACTCTTTTAACAAACTATGTGCAATTATTTTGAATTTGCACATTATTTTTAGTGCACATGTTTGTCCGAGTAGCACATAAGCTAGTATTATTCTTTTCTTTAGCTAGTACCAATATTTGACATCTGACGGCTGGCATATCATATTAATGTCACTGGATTACAAACTAACCAAGCTAGCACACGTTAGCTAAGTCTGCTAACACGTAATTATGTTGTTGCATTTAGAGTAAAAACGGGTTTATTGTGTGGGGAGCAGACGGGTGTTAAAATATAATCTAATCTGTCATTGTGTATGGAGCCGGGCTAAAGATAACGGGATGCACACTCACCTTCCTCGGTGGCGGCTGCATGGTGGAGTATTGACATGAATGGGGTTTTCCCTTGTGAAATGTACTGTAATCCGAAAAATCTCCGAGGGGGGATAATATTTGTATTTCCTCAGAAGGAATCCTGCCCTGACAGGGAGGAAAGACGCAAGTCAGATTTGTACTCCGGCCGCCATGATTGAAGGTAAACGTTTATGAAGAAACGAGGAGCACACGGTGTTTATGGGCTGCTGCTGCTGCTGCTGCTGCTGCTGCTGCTGTCAGGGCTGGTGTAGTACAGTGTGGTACAGTGTTGTGAATGTGAGCTGAACACTGAAGGCAGGGGCAGACCATGGGGCAGACAGGCGGGGAAGAACGCCACATGAAGGGGATGGGGTGAGAGGCTGGCTATTTAAAGGCTAGAGGACGCATCGCCATAGCAACCAAGACGCGCGAGGCCACCAGCCATGTTTTGACTTATAATTTACTCTATTGATTCACTAAAACGTCAGAGCAAAAACTGAAACGACTATTATAAATGGGTACTGTTAAATTGTACTATTGAAACAGTGGCAGTCTTCCGGGGTACGGAAAGGAAAAGGACGCTGAAGACATGACGGTGACAAAATAACTATGCATTTACTACTATCCTCAGCGCGCTTGTTTGAGCACAAAAACATACATTTGTTCTCTCTTGTTTCTACTGCTGAAAAAAAATGCGTGTATTTCTTTTTTTAATTTGTGGAACCAAAAAGAGGTCGGAAATTATAACTAAAGTTTAATGTATTGTGCCTCAGCTAAGATCACTTTTCAATTGAGATTTGGGCTAATTCAGTAAATATTACAGATATTTTCATTTTTGCTTTAATTATCTTCTTTTAGTCCTGGCCCTAATCTACTCTACTGGTTCTATCAAAGTTCTATGGGTACTAGTTTATTTTGGGTAGGTTTCCAGGTTTGTACCATGGCTCTATAATAATAACATGTTGGTACCAGATACTAAATCAGGTAGCGTAGAGTAGAGTAGGGCCAAGTAGAGCTGGTGATAACGGGGCTTATGGTTATTTATTTATTTTTCCAACTGTATGATGGCCGCCACCATTGCGACGATAGAAGTATGTATAATTCCTCTAGGTTTATTTATCCTATCCGTGATGATTTTGAACGGGGATCCCCTGATGCTGCGCAGCCCAACAGCGCCATCGAGTGGTTGTGAACAGCATTAAGCGCGTTGATTTGAAAAACACGTAGAAGAGCATCATTGTTTAGCTACCGGGTTTTTGTTACATCTCTTTGCAAAGAAATGCACAGCCTCTCAAAGTAAGTCATGAAATTAGAATGGATTTGATGTGTATTGAAGTAAACCACGAGGAAACCTTTCTTAGTTTTTGCTGACAACGTGCGGGACCACTTTCTCAAGGAGACAGTCAAGATGCTTCTCCCTGCAGACCTGCATAGCAACAAGAAGGGGCAGTCGATCAAGGAAAGATCGATAGGGACAAATCGACTGGACTTGAGGGCGATGCAAAATATGGTCATAAGACTAAACAGCAAACACAAGAAGAAGGATATTATTTATTATTGATTTACCCTAATGATGTATTTGATTTGTATGTTTTTATATTTTTATTTACTTGAATTGTTTGAATGACAATAATTCAAAAAAATTCAGAATTTGAATCATTTTCAAAACTAAAATAATACAAAGTCTAAATCTGTCATCTGTTCTCATGATCTTAGGATCCAATGCAGCCTATAAGGGAAAAAAGCAAGTGTATTTGTGCGTAACGAAAATAAGTAGAAACAATCATACACTAGCATTCAAATCCTAAATAATCACAGTACATTATAGACTCTGAAGACACAATCCCTCAGTTGTATGCATAACTAAACAGATAAATGTTTAACCTGGATTTGAACATTGTCAGAGAAGAAGCCTGTTGCACATTTTCAGGAAGACTGTTTCTGATTTTAGCTGCATAAAGGTGAAAATGCTGCCTCCTGCTGGTGCCCAGAGTCACATGAGGAGGCAGCATTTCACCTTTATGCAGCTAAAATCAGAAACAGTCTTCCTGAAAATGTGCAACAGGCTTCTTCTCTGACAATGTTCAAATCCAGGTTAAACATTTATCTGTTTAGTTATGCATACAACTGAGGGATTGTGTCTTCAGAGTCTATAATGTACTGTGATTATTTAGGATTTGAATGCTAGTGTATGATTGTTTCTACTTATTTTCGTTACGCACAAATACACTTGCTTTTTTCCCTTATAGGCTGCATTGGATCCTAAGATCATGAGAACAGATGACAGATTTAGACTTTGTATTATTTTAGTTTTGAAAATGATTCAAATTCTGAATTTTTTTGAATTATTGTCATTCAAACAATTCAAGTAAATAAAAATATAAAAACATACAAATCAAATACATCATTAGGGTAAATCAATAATAAATAATATCCTTCTTCTTGTGTTTGCTGTTTAGTCTTATGACCATATTTTGCATCGCCCTCAAGTCCAGTCGATTTGTCCTATCGATCTTTCCTTGATCGACTGCCCCTTCTTGTTGCTATGCAGGTCTGCAGGGAGAAGCATCTTGACTGTCTCCTTGAGAAAGTGGTCCCGCACGTTGTCAGCAAAAACTAAGAAAGGTTTCCTCGTGGTTTACTTCAATACACATCAAATCCATTCTAATTTCATGACTTACTTTGAGAGGCTGTGCATTTCTTTGCAAAGAGATGTAACAAAAACCCGGTAGCTAAACAATGATGCTCTTCTACGTGTTTTTCAAATCAACGCGCTTAATGCTGTTCACAACCACTCGATGGCGCTGTTGGGCTGCGCAGCATCAGGGGATCCCCGTTCAAAATCATCACGGATAGGATAAATAAACCTAGAGGAATTATACATACTTCTATCGTCGCAATGGTGGCGGCCATCATACAGTTGGAAAAATAAATAAATAACCATAAGCCCCGTTATCACCAGCTCTACTTGGCCCTACTCTACTCTACGCTACCTGATTTAGTATCTGGTACCAACATGTTATTATTATAGAGCCATGGTACAAACCTGGAAACCTACCCAAAATAAACTAGTACCCATAGAACTTTGATAGAACCAGTAGAGTAGATTAGGGCCAGGACTAAAAGAAGATAATTAAAGCAAAAATGAAAATATCTGTAATATTTACTGAATTAGCCCAAATCTCAATTGAAAAGTGATCTTAGCTGAGGCACAATACATTAAACTTTAGTTATAATTTCCGACCTCTTTTTGGTTCCACAAATTAAAAAAAGAAATACACGCATTTTTTTTCAGCAGTAGAAACAAGAGAGAACAAATGTATGTTTTTGTGCTCAAACAAGCGCGCTGAGGATAGTAGTAAATGCATAGTTATTTTGTCACCGTCATGTCTTCAGCGTCCTTTTCCTTTCCGTACCCCGGAAGACTGCCACTGTTTCAATAGTACAATTTAACAGTACCCATTTATAATAGTCGTTTCAGTTTTTGCTCTGACGTTTTAGTGAATCAATAGAGTAAATTATAAGTCAAAACATGGCTGGTGGCCTCGCGCGTCTTGGTTGCTATGGCGATGCGTCCTCTAGCCTTTAAATAGCCAGCCTCTCACCCCATCCCCTTCATGTGGCGTTCTTCCCCGCCTGTCTGCCCCATGGTCTGCCCCTGCCTTCAGTGTTCAGCTCACATTCACAACACTGTACCACACTGTACTACACCAGCCCTGACAGCAGCAGCAGCAGCAGCAGCAGCAGCAGCAGCCCATAAACACCGTGTGCTCCTCGTTTCTTCATAAACGTTTACCTTCAATCATGGCGGCCGGAGTACAAATCTGACTTGCGTCTTTCCTCCCTGTCAGGGCAGGATTCCTTCTGAGGAAATACAAATATTATCCCCCCTCGGAGATTTTTCGGATTACAGTACATTTCACAAGGGAAAACCCCATTCATGTCAATACTCCACCATGCAGCCGCCACCGAGGAAGGTGAGTGTGCATCCCGTTATCTTTAGCCCGGCTCCATACACAATGACAGATTAGATTATATTTTATACACAGCGTCTGCTCCCACACAATAAACCCGTTTTTACTCTAAATGCAACAACATAATTACGTGTTAGCAGACATTAGCTAACGTGTGCTAGCTTGGTTAGTTTGTAATCCAGTGACATTAATATGCATATGTCCAGCCGTCAGATGTCAAATATTGGTACTAGCTAAAGAAAAGAATAATACTAGCTTATGTGCTACTCGGACAAACATGTGCACTAAAAATAATGTGCAAATTCAAAATAATTGCACATAGTTTGTTAAAAGAGTGGTTTATAATAGCACGACTTTAACAATAACATACCTACTGTAATTCATTATCGGACCTCTGTGTTAGCCCTGCAGGGTAGCTAGCTAGGTAAAAAAAAATAGCTGTTACATGTTGACTTAATATTGGTGACTATAACAATATTATTACATGCATTGTACCAGGCTGTAAGTAAAGTAGTAGACGACATAAAAAAGCTGTCCACGGTGTTGTGAATTGGAGACCGGCTCCAGTCTGCCAGGGTCACACTTCCATCAAGAGGGTGCTGTCAAAAGCTACTAACACAGGAGATGTGATGGGAGGATGTGGTTTGTCACTGACTTGATTGATTCAGTAGATCAATCAAGAGGTGTGTTGCTTGAAAAATAGCAGGTTGATACTGTAAGTGTGTCTACGTATGTGGGAGTGTATAATAATGTATTTATAAGTTCATGAAATGCTCTGAGGACTCTTTAAATGTAATAATGTATGTTTTTACTGTACAGAGCAGTGTTCGGCACACCTCTGATCTCTGGAGGCATTGGAGAAACTGTCTGTGTAGAATTCTGTCACATCTAATGTATGTGTGTTGTTTGTCTCTCTTATTGTTGTGTTTGTTTTATATGGACCCTTTGTGTGTCTGAATTAAAGATTAAATAAATATGTGCACTTTTCAATTAGACCGTGGAGACTTGTTTGTGAACCTCTGCATGGTGCCCTACTCCCAATTAACACATACTGTATCCCCATGGTGCCATTTTTAGCTCAGGGATGTTATGGGTAGACTTAGCCAGAACATGCCATATCATGCCTCTTAAATACATGCTTGAACACATCCTCTTTACCTATAGACGTCCCAAAACCAGTGCCATTTAATACTAGAGTGGATCATATATAGTGTAAGGTTCCAGTTGCTCTAAATCAAATTTTGTTAATTTCGCAAGGTGTTTATTTGGGACTTGCTTTCTTCCCTTTGCCAGTTCAGTTGGCACACATCTGAGGTATTGCTGCCAGACCTGGATTGGCTGTTGAAGAAAAGAATAAACAATCTCTTTAAGCACATCAGCATCAATGACTTCTTACTCTTATGACAACTTTCTTGCTGTATGTGCTCTAACATAAGCCTAGGAGTGGTTTACAATCAGGACTAAAGTAAACCAAGGCATGTGAAAAGGAACAGCAGGACCTAACCTGCACCAAATTATAAAAATCACTGCACAAGACTCCTCTCATAATTACCCACAGACTTTTGCTTGTTTTGTTCTTTCAAGTTTTAACATTTGAAAAACAAAAATCAATGCTGAATACCATTTTTTTCTCTCCTAAATTTACTGTATCTTACAAGTGTCATGAATTTGCACACTGTTGGTTTCAAATGTCCTATGAAATCCACTCAACAATACCTTCACTGACTCTGAACGTGTTGGCACGAGAAGAAGTGAATACTGTATGTGCTAGTTTTAGTATACCGTTTTTCCTAATACCATTTAAAAACTGTCATAATACAATATTTTTTCACTACAGGGCAGGCTTGTCTTCTATCATTTGTAAACTCCCAATAGTCTATTTTGCCACAGTACAATCCAACCAATCCCTTACATTGATGGATAACTAATGGATGAGTAGATCTTTATGTGCACTCCCTTTTAGTCTGGCCTGTACAAGCCGGACTCGTCAGGAAGTCAGGCGCCCGATAGATTTATCATCGACACATGAAGCGGATTGTGGTCTTTTGAGTTGAGTCTTCAGTATCAATCTGTATTCTTAACATTGAAAAACTTTGATTTCCACCTGTTCACTCCAATACCTTTGGAGATAGCATTTTTACTTACTAGTTCAGGAATGTTCAAACTAAGGCTCACGGGCTAATTGCGGCCATCTGTGTCATTTCATGTGGCCCTCTGCTTTGCTAACACATAGTAGTCGTTGAGATCATAAACACCAGTTTACAGTGTCATCCAGCCAACTGCAGCTCAACCAACATAAGCATGGTATATCTTGTTGTAAAGCTCAGAACCTTTAGATTTCAGTAATTGAATATACTGACATTTTTATCTTTAGTCACCGCATTATGCAGATAGGGCTATTGTAGCTGGTGAGAGGGTAAGCATTTGTCATTCAGCCAACTTCAGCTCTGACAAAATATGGTCACGTCATACATCATGAACAGTTTTACAATCCATGTCGTCAGCTCTTAGACATCTCTAATCAACTAAAGTGACCCTCTTACGGAAAAAGGTTTGGGCACCCCTGACTTAGATATTTTGATTTTTAGGCTATAACATCGCCATGGCTTGTTGTGTAGCTTTAACTTGTGATTAAGTGAATGTGTTTTCATGAGATTGTCCATGGACTTTAAGTGTGCCCTGTTGTGCCCAGGTCAAAGTGACCCAGGAGCTGAAGAACACCCACACGGAGCAGATGACAAGACTGCACTTTAAGCACCAGACTGAATGTGACCTGCTGGAGGACATGAGGTAACCACACGTTCACACCCCCACGGCTAAAAAAAGCAATAATTAACAGTGTTTGGAACGTGCTAGGAAGAAAAAAGACTCCTGTAGTTCCGTTGATTTGTTTTATTTTTTTTATGATGAACAAACGGATGACAGGATTTCCTGCTGTAAATCTCTTTTCCTCTCCCTCTCAGTCTGTTTCTATCTCTTACTCCATCACTCACACTTTCTATTGCTTTTAAATAGCTCCGTGACGTGTGCGCTTCAGCAACAAGAGGAAACCCGGGTAGCTTCTCTGTTGACTAAGCGTTGATTATTTATGACAGCAAAACCCCTTCTGCTCCTCAGCTTCCATTTCACTTCTTTCATTTGTATCTCTCTTCCATCTCTATCTATTGCTCTATCCCCTTCTCACTCTTGGGGGCCGATCCAGCTGTTTAAGAGCAGATTGCCTTGAAGCTTTGGGTTTTGGCGCTCAGACAAGACTCTGGTCACACTTGCGGGAGGAAGGGAGAGTCGCTTAACATTCAACCTTCTTTTAGTCTTTGAGGCATGGAGCTAAATGGCACTCTGTAAAACTTTGAAAATGCACTGTAATCATATTTTGCTCATGTCATATTGGTGGCGTAAAGGTTGTTAAGAGGGTGACTTCATCATTGAGGTCTGGTGCTGCGCTTATATGGAGTGTCCTTGAGCGAGAAAGGGTGCCAATGTTTTCATCGATGTTGGCTCTGGTCATCGGCTTTGACTTATTTGCTGTTACTTACTCTTAGTATCGGGAATTTGTGTGACTATACTTCATAACTGCTGGAGTTATGGTTTTATTATCTAATCTGCTATTGATTGTTTGGATCATAAAAGGCAGTGAATATGTATTTTTCTCCTATAAATTTGACCCAGACAAAACTAAAGAGATCGTTTTAAAGACGAGCTGTTACAAAACACATTTATTCTGCAGTAAGTACAGCTCTGTATGCGTCATAAAATCTCTTCACAGCATGTTTTAGTCTGTGTATGGTTCAGACGATTATTCAATTACCAAATTATGACAACTATTTAAATATTAGATTAAACAATTAACTTCACAAACTACAGAAAACAGGGTCACCCAAACCAAACAGCAGTCTATTTTTGCGCAATTTTAGTTGACTGCCATCGAATGCAGCTGCTGAAGATACTTGAGACCTGAAGTGTTTTGCCAAATTCAAAGACAAGGAAAGTTTGTTTGTGACATGCTGTTCATCAAGCCCAACAACCAATAGTAGGACCTAAGGAAAAAGTGGAATACAAGATATGTGTTTGACCCAGGCTGAGGTAGATTTGGATTTGCATATTTTTTAACTCTTAAAGCTCAAAAGCTGCTCGTGGGTTATATAGGCTTATTAATCCAGAGTCAATCTTTAATCGATAATGTAATATTATTTTCCCACATGTTGCGCAAACATAAAAAAGGCGATGTAACAGATTGAATAGAAATGATTGGGTGCATCCTGTGGGAGGATCCGCAGAGAGATAAGAGGGGCGACCATGTCAAGTTAGTGGACTCTTCGTGCCCTCAATCTTTCTAAATCCTCATACTAAAATCTCAGTCCACAGCTAACACAGCTTGTCTGATACTTAAATACCATTCAGTGTACATTTAAATCAGTATATGAATGCTGCATGAACCTAAGTATTTTGTTTTTTTTACATGTGATAGATATAAATGTAGTGTTTTGCCTCCACCAGTGAGTGATGTTTTGAGCAGGGTTGTTGGCCTGTTATTGGCAGATAATTTAGACATCTTCAGTAAACCTGAGAAATGGGGTTTTTTCCAATGAAGCCCGTCTTGGCAGAGGTCTGCACTGTCTGAGTTCTTTTTTTCTTCTTATTATGAGCAAACATTCAGCCCCAGTGGTCCGGATGAATAAATCCTAACACAAACATTTAAGATACAGTCTGTGCAAGCCCTTTGAGCCGGTCTGCCAACCTTTAAGCTTTTCACCTAGTTGTTAAAGCTACTATAGCATCTCAGACTATCTTGGTGTTTTATCCAATACATTACGGAAAATCAACTATTTTTGACCACTGTTTCTGGAAACTCCCTAAGTGGTCGACTGTTGATGTAATCAGTTGAGCAATTAATTCATCTTGTTGGTTCGACTCTAAATATAGAACTAGGTGTGGTTTCAAAACATGTTAAATTGGCATTTGCCATTTTTTTTAAACAGATGTGAACAGAACTAGGAATGCATTATGTAAAAGGGAACCGGATGACAGCATAAACGTGTTCTAAAGTAGTAAGTAGTGAATCAGAGAGGGATATGCTACTGTATTTATTAATATTACTACAGTATTATTACCTCCACCAAGAGGTTATGTTTTCACAAAGGTTTGTTTGTGAGTCTGTCTGTTAGCAAGTTATAACTCAAGGAATGCAACTGCTGGAAGTTGTCTCTGTGAGTGCTTTTTACCATTTACCATAACTATTGTCCACTAATTATTTTTGTGTGAGTTGTAGGATGGGACAATTGTTTATAGCAATAAAAAGAAAAGGCTATAATGTTGACTTGTAACATATTTACAATTACAAAATAAATGCCATTGTTTGATCTGGTTTAAAAGACATAAAGGTATTTATGTATGATATGCTGCTAATCTTGAATCTATTTCAACTATAGACAATGAGGTTCATATTTCTCCTAAAAGACTTGCCCCGTGTGAGGCTCGAACTCACGACCTTCAGATTATGAGACTGACGCGCTGCCTACTGCGCCAACGAGGCCTTGTGTATGTTAAGGGAGGGTGAGTGTGTTGACCTACTGGGGGAGGGGTCAAACATGTGACCCTAGGATCTGCTGTGACACATTGACCATGCTCAGTGGTGGCTAGTGGAATAGCCCTTATCCTACTTTGTTAGAATTGACTAAATCAAATGTACATGGGGTGAGTCTTTTGAAAATTTAGTTTAGAGCTGCAGTGATAGATCACTTCAATCTGGAGAGACTCAAACAGGCAAGAGGGCTTTTTTAGAATTTAAAGTATTGTTTGGCATATAAACTGTCACTATAGATGGAACAGAAAAACCCACTGCATGACTAATTTAAAATTTGGCTGAGGAGGCAGTGATGGGAAGGAGGAGGGTTGCTGCACGAATGAAAGCTGCTGCAAAAATGAAAGCTTTCTACCCAAAGCCCGAAGCTTTCTGTGATTGACAGATTGCTGTTGTGGCGCAGAAACAGGGGGAAGACTGGGAGCAGTGAGCTTGTGCACACATAGTTCTAGTCTTAACCTCTGCTTTAATTTCACTTTCACTTTCGACTACAATACACCTGGTGGCATGCTGTTATATTATTGACGCTTATTACTTGTGTTTTGGTTGTTTTTTCATTGTAGGAGCTACAGTCTGAAGAAAGGACAACTGGAGAGGGACTACGCACAGGTGAGATCTTGAAATGATGTTTCATGGTGGACATTAACCACCAACCACAGTGTCATTATGTCATTGAAAACTCAAGACTAGAATCTCTTCAATGGGGATTTAAGTCAAGGTTATTACAAAACATGTCATTTAATTTTATATATCAATCTAGGACAACTACCTCTGCTTCATTCTATGGAGGACTGTAATTGTCATATATGAACACACTGGTGGATTAAATGGGAGTAGGAAAAAGGGCTGCATTTTCACTCTGCCTCTTCCCTCTGCCTCACTCTGACTTGAGGCCACTCCTCCTGCAGCCACAGTCCCTGCCTGAGAAGTGTCCTTTTTAAGGGATTTTTTAAAATGTGTTTGGAGGAAGGTCACTTCACCAAAAGTGCTTTGTATCTGCTTTGCAAAACTCGAGAGGGACTATGCGCTTCTTGAATCAAATTTAACATTGAATTTTTCCTTGTACATTGTAAGAATATGAGACAACGGCCGCATGGGCAGTAGCCTTTATAAATAGCTTCACATGGATGTAACTGCAGGGTTGTGTTATTTTTGTGTTTGATCAAACCAAATGCCACCACAGTGGCAGTGAGAGGTGTTTGAGTTGTGACTATGCTGTGCCGCATATGAATCGTTATGAACATTTAGGTTTACAATCCATCCATTTTCTACCCTTTAATCCATTTCTGGGTCAGGGGTATATAGGTTTACAATAAGGGTTCTAATTCTTACAATCACCAGGTGATGCCAGTATTGGTTCTGTCTTGTGACTTATCTATACAGGCTTTCTTTTTTGGTTCTAAAACATGAAATACCCAAGTAAAGATACTTATGATAATAAAGTTTAAGAGCCAATATTGATTGATATTGCAAATATCCACTGCAGCATCAGAAGTTATTGTCCAGTTCAAGTAGATGCAAATATCCTGCTGCTCTCCTGCAGGCTGCTGGCCCTTGCAGGCTTTTAGTGTCTTCCACATTCCCACTGTCTGTTCACCTTAGAAATGGTGGTTGCTTAGCAACCAGCCCCCACTCTATTGGACAATGGATTCCCAATTTTAGTTGTTTGAATGTGTCTCTTTAGGTATTTGTTTATGAGAAAAGCATAAAGACTGACATTATATGTCCTCAAAGAGCTTCATTTAAGTGATTTATTTTAGTTATCAATCGTCACAAGTGAAAGGGGAGGCTGAGACAAGAGCAGCGTAACACTGTTACAAACTGTTAACCTTTGACTTTTGCCCATATGAGGCTGTTCTAATTACAGACTGGGAGTCACACACGCACGCACACACACGCACGCACGCATGCACACACACGCACGCACGCACACACACACACACACACACACACACACACACACACACACACACACACACACACACACAGACACACAGACACACACAGACACACACACACACACACACACACACACACACACACACACACACAGACACAGACACAGACACACACACACACACACACTCTGCTTCTGTGTGTGACCCCCACACGTCTACAGCTGAGCACTTGTCAGCCCGTTCTGACACATCTTTTTTTAAAGAAAGGTTTATGCACTCAGATTTCAGAGATTATATCAGCTGCAGGGTCCTTTTGGAAATGCGTTCCCATTAATGGTGTTCGATGTTACAGTAACACAGTGACCTAGTAAATAAAATGTAGGTTACCCTTTTCTTTCCTGTAGCACTTGGTTTGAACTCACTTAGAGCATGGGCTGTTACAACATCCTTATGACCGGCTTATCAACTCTCCTCATCAATTTTAAAAAAGGTGTTAATATTTCATTTGTTATTTTTTTTAGGCACTACAGAAGTTAGCGAGTCAGTACTTAAAAAGAGACTGGCCCGGAATTGACCCTGACGACCAGAGGACAGACTATAGGTTGGTATTCTAAAAACACTGGTGTGACATCACGGTTTCAGACACCAAGACAAAAATGTCACTGATAAGGCACTGCTGGGAACCAAACCTGTACATGATACCCACAGTGCCATTCTCTGCGTGATGACTACGCAAAAATATGTTTTATTTTATTGTTGTCATTTCATAGTGTTTGAAATTCAGCCTCTCGCCTAGAAAAGACTTAGCTTGTGTTTTCCTCTGCAGGAATGTTTATGCTGTCTGGAGATCTTATTTAGAAGGCACAATACAAGTTAGTCAGTCTAGACTAAACGTGTGCGACAACTACAAAAGCCAAGTATCAGAGCCCGCCAAGACCCTGAGACTGTACAAGGAGCAGCAGCTCAAAAAGGTGAGCTCTCATTCCTCTCTCACCATCACATTCTGCTGTATTCTGACACACACAGACCTTCTCTTTCTCAAACATGCTCCATGTTTGTCTTTCCCTTCACAGACCATAGATCAGCTGAGTGGCATTCAAGCAGAGCTGCAGGACTCTGTGAAGGAGCTGGCCAAAGCAAAGAAAAAATACAACGACAGTGAGCAGGTTGCCCATGCAGTACGAGAAAAGGCTGATATAGAAGCCAAGTAAGCCCTGCCCGTTCTCACCTCATATGAAACATTTTCAGAATTGAGCTCGAATGGTAAATACACGTGCCTTAGCAAAGGAAGAATAGTCATTGTAAGGCTCAGAAAACATGCAAGAAGAAACGTCTCCTCTTCCTCTTAGACAAACAATCTACATTCTAACACCGTCCTGATGCTTTTTGAATGTACATGTGCAGACGCAATCCATTAGAACATTTACACGCTGTCCAAACTGTCCATCATGAACTCAATCAGTTTAAAGACAGTAGATTGTACATTTACAAAGCATTCATTTCAATTCTACAGATTGCTTTTTTATTATTGATCATACTCCTCTTCTTTAAGATTATAACTAAAATGTCCATTCAGTGATTAAGATGTTTAAGTGCTCTAAAGCTGTTGGTATATACTTTCATTTTATTGTATATTTTGTAGGTCTAAATTGGGGCTTTTTCAGTCCAGAATTAGTTTACAGAAAGCAAGCGTAAAGGTAAGAAAGCGTTTCCAAAAACTGCTACCAAAACTACATTTTATTTCCTTTACAGTTTTTATTATTATTCTTATTTCAGTTAAAAGCTAAAAGAAGTGACTGCAACTCCAAAGCAACACAGGCTCGAAATGACTACTTACTAATGCTCGCCGCTGCCAACGCTCACCAAGACCGATACTACCACACCGACTTACTGCAGTGTATACAGGTAATATCAATGTCAATCTCAAATCAAACTGAAGTGGTTTTTGTCACTCCAAAATAATTCAAAACAAATATTTATTATCTGTTTCCAACTGCTTTTTTGTTGTTTTGTTTTTCTTTCTTTTGGCTATAATTCACTTTTTAATAATAGATTGGTAGTGCGACAGAAGGGCAAGACTGCACAGATACAGGGCATAGCTTAAGGGAATCAATCTGCTTGTCCTCATAAAGCTATTATTTACCAAATTACTGAACGTTTTTGCGTCTGAGGTGAGGGTTAGTGATGTTACTGCTTTTTTCCCCAACGGGTCTTATTGAATAAACATTATAGGTGAATTCAGCCAAATAGAAATATGGTTTGAGCAGGCTATGCAGGGCGGGTCTAAGATAAGCAGAAACTAGAGCCACAATTGGGAACCGTATCTCAACATCCAACAAGCACAACCACCCAGTCAGTCTAATCAATAGGGTCAAGTGAGAATTATATAGTTCAAATTATAAGTTGAGTACAGCTGAAAAATCTTTCCTGTTAAACATGGTAACTCCTTAGTTTTTATGGTCATTTTCTTTCAAATATTGCTTCTTTCTTTTCTCCGATAACTTTACTGTAAGTGTTTGTAATGACATGTTTCACCACCTATCTTATGCCGCTGTTATTGATGAGCAGTGAAGGCAAGTGAGGGTGCCAGCGTTATAAATAATGACACATTGTGGCTGAGGCTGCAAGATGCTGCTCTACCTGGCGCTCTCCTTGTCTATGCGTCAATGTGAGTGAAAGGACAGTGCCTCTCTGTTGCTCCGTACCTCCCCCTGCTGTCCACCCTGTTTCCTCTGCCCATTTAAAAACCCCACTTAGTAGACATTTATATACATTACAGTCCACTGTGCTCAATCTGATGAAATCATTCTACACACACAGACGACCACGAGACAGGGAGCTTTTTCTGGAAGCTGACTCACTCCTTTTAAGCACTACCGTAAATGGATAAAAAGGCGAAGGAGGAAATGAGAAGAATGATGAGGGAATGTTCAGTAAAAGCACAGCCAACAAACCGCCCCTAGTGACATCATTTCCCAGTCTATCCTATTGTTTTTAAGGATGTTTTGCCTTAGTCTGAGTAATGTGTGCTGAAGGTGTAACGTACTAGTTTACTCTGCACACCATGAACTTACAATTGTGTTTGACTGGGGTCTTTTAGTATATTTATAAACTCAGAAATTAAGTCCTGTTTCCTTCTTTCCCAGTCCGAGAAAATCCAAAGAATGCACCCTCACACAAATGTTCTTAAGTTTTCCTCTGTGTCTGTCTTTCACAAGCCAATACTCTTTATGAGCCTATGTGTAGCAGAAAGCAGCTGCATTTTGTCAAGGCACGGAGATCAGAACCAGTTGTTTCTGCATTTTGTTAGTAAGTAAACTAATGAGAAGAAATCCATCATTTTCTCTGCATCTATTTTCCTTCTTTAGCTCACTGATATAGGAACCCAGCGATGAAGCCAATAATAACGCCACCGTCGCATATAGCTCTTTCTTTTTTTAAAATATGTAAGTTTAAGGTTGTCTGACAAGTTCTTCTGTGTGACATGTGACTTGTTCCACTGTGTGACCGAGAAACTTTTTCGAAGGAATTTCTTTGACCTCACTCCTTTAAAATGCACCTAATATTTATGATGGCAGAGGCTCATAGAAATACATCATGTGCTCATGTTTTTACGGGCAGAAGTTCTTGAAATATATCAGTTTGTTCAGGTTAGATGATCAGTCATATTCACTTAAGTATGTGCATAACATAATTAACATAACATAATGCCAATTATTGCCTTCTTGTTTCAGGCCTTGGATGGCAGCATCTATGAGCATGCAAAAGATTATCTGGTGTCACTCTGTCGGACTGAACTAGAAGCCTCCCAAGCCACACACAACACCTTTCAGTTTCTTCTCGAGAAATCCACCAGGGTGAGGATGGACTGAGTGAATCTTCTACTGGGCTGTCTCTAGAATGAATCGCAGCTCACGGTAGAAATGAGGAAACCTAATTTGGCCACAGTGAGATTCCTTCCCCTAAAGACAAATATGAAGTGGACAATATTCATACTACTATTATTGGAATATAGACAAGGATTGTGTATATCTTAGTATTGTTATACCTGAGAAGAGTTATATTGAAAATCTGTTTAGCTAGGCTATAGTTGTACACAAAGGAAATTAATATTTTAAAGATGAGACAGAATTAAGCATAACTCTAAATTACTCAATTATTACTCACCTTTTATTTTTCTGACATTCTTTTTCCACAAGAGAAGATTTACTGTATATCCTGTGTCTTTTGTCTGTCCCTGCAGCTAATACAAGAATACAACCAGCAGTTATTCATGCAGGAGAACCCCGTATTCCATAAAGCACAAGACTTCCAGTTCCAGCCCAGTGAATATGACACGGTGAGGACACAGCGCTGCATAAATGCATGCACAGTGTGATTTTGCCGCATTCACATTGTTGTTTGCATAAAAACCTGTTCACGCTGCAGGACATGCTTTCACTCATCTCACTGTCTCAAGGCAAACACATGTTCTGATCTCTGTACAAGTATTAATTGCCCTTTATCAAACAGTACATATTCTAAAACACAATTTGAACATTGAGATTTGCCGTCGCACCATCTTCAAGTGGCTGGAGATATCAGCGTAGAGCCAAACCTTGTAAAAGTCTATTTGTGCAAGGTTGTTCTTTTTTCTACTAGCATTCAAGACTTCTTTGTTTTCCCACATGTGTTTGTCTAATCACTAGAGGGGTTTCTTGTTTGTCTGGCATTTCTCATCTTTAATATTTTATGGAATCCCATCAATAGTCTTTTGAATGGACAGCTTGGAAACCTGAAATCCAATGCTCTGATCCTTCTCATCAGTAGCTCTTTGTTTTGAGTTTTTTGAGTTGCCATGTGGTAACTATTCAAGACAGACCCCTGTAGTTAACAGCTGTCTAGTTACAGCATGACAAAAGCTGCATGAATCTTCTTACTTCAAAATAAATCCACTTAACATTTGTAGATGTTTTATGGATGATTTAACGAGGAATAGTTTCTTTGTATGTGTGCACATGTTTCTGTGTGAGCCTTATCTACTATTGTTTCAAGTCAAGAAAGAGAAAAATGTCTGTTAAGTGTCTATGAACCTTTCTTTCTTTAATATCAAATATGATTCAAACATCAGTTCAGAGTTCAGCATTTTCCTGTTTTGATTGAAGCTGGAGTACCTAACTTTTTTAATTGATAAATAATCCCTGTTGTCAGACCCCATCATGCAATCTTTATTTCTTTGGAAAATTTGATCTTTTCCTTCCTTGTAAAAAAGAGCTTTGGGAGTTGACGCTTTGGGCTGAGAGCTGATTGGCTGAGTGAAGATGGTCCTCCCTTTTCCAATATCTGGTCTGATAAACTCAATCTAAAGATGTGACCAGAAAAACTAGTGATAGACGCAAACTAGTTTTGAGAGTTTAATCTTTTATGGTTTGAAAGTTTAGTAGTACCCCAGCTTTTAGTGTCACACTGTAGCATTTAGTGTCATATTCATGCATGAGAAACTTTCTGCATGCACATGGACATGAGTTCTACTGTCATTCCTTTACCCTGGTCCTGTCTTCTGTCGTGGTTTTGCTCTCACCCTTGCCTTGTGCCATTTCCTTTCTGTTGTGCATCAGGTGCAAGATCTAACTTAGACTCTAACACTTCCTATCGTCTTTTTATTCTAGCCCTGTTCAGCTTTGGCTAACTCCTCTCCGATCCTCTTTTCCACTAACCCTCCTTGTGATGTTGTGTGCCCCGGTGCTGTGCGTGGCTGGGCGTGGTTGTCCGTATGTGTGTATGTGCATGGATGGGGATCTACGCGAATGTGTGTGTGTGTGTGTGTATATGTGCCCGGTTGTGGATATATGCGTGTGGTGTGTGTGCGTGTGTGCGTGCGTGCATGTGTGCCTGGCTGTGATACATGTGTGTGTGTGCTTGTGTGGTGCATGCGTGTATGTGTGTTTGTGTGCCTGGCTGTGGATATATGTGCGCGTTTGTGTGTGCCTGGCTGTGTGTACCATGCGTGTATCTGTGTGTGTGCGTGTATGTGCGTGTATGTGACTAGACTCTGAGCTCCGTGCCGCAGTTGGTGGACATAGAGCCGTCGCCCGTCAGTGCCATGAGAATGACCTGGCACAGGTAGTCCTCCCCATTGATAGAAATTCCACGACCAACACACAGTCCATTTAATTAAAGAACCATACTGAGTGCATCTAACTTTTGTTCCTAAAGCATTTTAATGGTATCTGCATGTCATTATTGATTCAGGTTAATATTTATTATCAATAGGTTGCGTTCATGTTCATAAATGTATTTCATTTGGAGGCCAGGTGCCAGTAAACACATGTTGAAACAAAATTCTCATGCATGTTTTTTGCAAATTAGACACTTCTATTACTATTCGGAATGCTGTGATGTCACATGAACGCAGCCTATTTAGTATGAATCACCCTCCTATAAATAAACCATTGCTAATATGCAAACAAACTATGCCGGGTTTATCTGTCCCTAAGAACACTGTCACCTTAAAGTTAATACACTCAGTAAAGTTCAGTGTGACAAAGAACACTTGACAAGATTAGCAACCCACTTTCTACACAAAACATGTTGTTTCAGCTCATACACAAAGGAGACTGTGGGTAAAATATTGCAATTATTCACTCTCAAATGTAGTGCAGTGCATTTTTATTATTACTGTATGAAAGTTTTTCAATTCTAAACCACTTATCATTAGTAGTCTAGTAGTAGTAGTAGTAGTGTTTATTTCGAATTACATGCGCAATACAAAACAAAACAAAAAGAAGAAACATATAAACATATATAAGCACAATTCGAAAAGGAGTAGGTAGAAGTGAAACTTATGCTTCCTACCCCTTGTTACAAACTTTTCTCTTTACAGGAGTTCAAATACAGGCATATTTCTCTCAGATATACAATTTACACTCGTCTCCATGAATAGTAATTTTAAATGCTGATTTCGCACCAATGATGTTCTTAGGTCTTGTTGTCACTTGTCACTTGTTGCCATTTTTACCCAAAGCTGTTTATTTAATGTTAACATAGTTATGTATGTGGACCCTACATAGAGCAGTGCATTAAAAACAGTGGGTAGAATGAGCCAGTCGAGAGAAGGTAATAGCCCCCACTCAACCCGCCCCACTCCCAACCTCCCTGACCAATGGCCAACATCCCTGACCAAACAGAAAACTTATAGTTTTTTGTGATAACTTTTTGACTTTGCCTATTCAACCAAATGATAAGAACCTTTTATTGTGGCCACAAACAATCTACATTATTACAGTTATTGACTCTGGTAAGGCTCAGTAGTTTTAGTTGCTGTGACATGAAGTAGATGCCAATGTGTTTAAGATTATCAAAACTTTACTAGTGTCACTTTTCCTGCCTGCCTGAAACCAAAAACATTTACTTTCCAAATAAACAGTTAATCATTCTAAAGTTGATTCAAGATTGAGGTCTTTTTCTCCTCTGATGCCTCTGAGTTGAGTGAAGATATAATTAAGCTGTAAATCTCCTGTGTAATGTGTTCTCTTTGCGCATATACTTAACGGGATTTATGCCTTTCTGTCATTGGAACAGCTCATAATTAATGGATTTCCTGTGCATAGAAACGTAAAATTACAAAAGTGCATACTTAGTTTTTTCAGCACTCTTTCATTATCAGATTATGGGAATGCTAGCTTCAGTCTGGTGAACACAAATCTACAATACATGCAATACATATTTTATTTTTACTCAGTCAGAATTCTTTCTTGTTTCAAAATTGCGCAGGTGTTTTGTTTATACTGTTGGCAATTAGAGCGAAGCAAGAGCTGCCCATATGATTAGTGTGTGTGTATGAATTTAATTATCTGTAAAATGGATGAATAATGACAAGGCATATGCTTATAATGGATGTCAAATGTCACGCAGACTCCTTTAAAGTCACCATATTGTTATTATGTAAACGCGGGGGATGCCAGGATCTCACATGATCTCCCACAGTCATGCCTATTCTCATGTGGTTCTAATAAGAGCAAAGGATGAAAACAGTAGAGCCGTATTCATTATGTGCAGAGGAAGCAGCTCCCTCACAGCCCCGTTAGCTTTAATTAACAGCTCCAGTCTCGGCCACTGAAGCCTGACTTTGTGTCGTTGAATAATATGTGCTTCCATTTGTGACAGAGCCGGCAGCTGGAGTCCGAGACGGGGACCACGGAGGAGCACAGTCTGAACAAAGAGGCCAGGAAGTGGGCCACCAGGGTCGCCCGGAACATAAGAATATCATACACTACAAAAAAGTAAGAGGCTCTTCCTGTTTAGCTGCTTGAACACACTGTTCCAAGCACATGTGGTTATCGTTACAGCTTGCAAATGCAACAAGTGTTCTGTTTACTATTGAGTTCTAAAGCCAGTATCGGAACTAGATACTCAGTTGAGCAAGAATTGAAACTAACAGATTTTTACATAAATGAGACAAAATTTGACATTTCTTGAGAGTTTCTTGTTCAATTTTAAAATACATCAGAATAATTTGTATGTAACATTATTGCTCCATAACAAGTATTTTGAGTTAAACATTCAAATGTTTGGCCCAAAAAGAACCTTTACAAATAATTACAGTAGTATCACATTTGTTATTGAGTACTGAAATTGAGAATTAAATAAATATAGTATTGTGACACCAGTTCTAATGTCTTTTTTGGATTTATATTGTTTATAACTCATATACTTGTTGTTAAACTCATGAACTGAAGTACGTATGGACAGAAATCACATACATTTAATTTGTCATGAACTGCTCTAATCATGATCACATTTGTTTGTTTTAGTCTTTAGACGACTGTGAGACCCACGGACTTCCCACTACAGAGCAAGGTCGCGCCGATTTAGAGATAAAAATGGAGGACACCAAAGAATGCATTCGCAAATCAGAGGTTTGTGACTTTAAAGTTTGCCAAAATCTCATGAACAAAGTTTTTGTTGTGCAGCAGCAGATGTGCTGTGAAAAACACCCGGGGAATGAGGATTGATGGTGGGAGACTGCAATACTAAGTGTTAGCTACACAAGAAGGAAGAGATGTTTAAGAACATTTTTTATTTAGAGCAGATTCCATACATACCGTCATTGTTCTCACTGTGTCTCATTATCCTGACGCCACCACAGCCATATACTCCCACAGAGATATCTATCACACAAGCATCGACTTGCACAGACAGCTGCAGAGAATCTCATATTAATGCATCCTGTTCGAGTGGATGCATTCTCTTTTGATTTAGACTCCTCTCTATTATAATACTTTGTCGTGTTCTTTCCAACTGTACTGTATATCACATTGAGTCAGTCTCATGTAGCTTTCATCATTTTTAGCACCCCTGTTGACACGCTTTCAAAAAATCCTTTACACCACTCCACAACATACACGTACAGTATACTGTGTACTTCCATGGAGAGGTGGGAAATATTCAAACTTGAATTGATAATATTTCAATTGATGATTGATTTGTAGATACACGTTTCAGAAATTTCTGATGACAATTTCAAGATATAAAAGGAATAAGCAGGAACTAGAGCTTTTAAACACCTGCCCTTTAGTTTACATCTTGAACTGAAGTTGCTGCCACACACAAAAATAAGACATTGTTGACAATTTTCTGCCATAAGCATTCACAATGAACATACTTTTGGATAATATCTTCTTAAGTGAAGTCTTAAAGGTCTGCATTCTTTTAAATCTACAGCCAAGTACACTGCAAAAAGTGATGAAAATTATGTGAAAAATTGCTCATATTTGGCAAAATGTATCTTTATTTCAGCACATTCTTATTGTCTTTAAACAAGATTTGCCAATGGGACAACTCAAAGTTATCTTGTTCTAAAAAGCCACAGGAAATGGGTCGGAGTCGCTGGCACCGCCCTAAGTTGGTTTAGGTCTTACCTTGAGGACAGGAAGTACTTTGTGGAGATTGGAAACTGTGTCTCAGATCATATGGCCCTGACCTGTGGAGTCCCACAGGGGTCGATCCTGGGACCTCTTCTGTTCAATCTCTACATGCTGCCGTTAGGTCAGTTAATACGCAGAAACGAAGTGTCCTATCATAACTATGCAGACGACACTCAGATCTATGTCTCACTGACTGCAGGAGAACATGGACCAGTGGACTCACTCCTTCACTGTATCCAACAGATCAGTGAGTGGATGCAAAACAACTTCCTTCAACTAAACGCAGACAAAACTGAAATGATTGTCTTTGGTCCCCAGAAACAAAGAGAGAGCGTCATCTGTCACCTACAGTCTCTCTACTGGTAATACTGGACTCAGACTTAAATTTTAATAGCCACATCAAATCAGTAACATCAGCAGCTTTTTACCATCTAAAAAACATTGCCAGGATCAAAAACATAGTGTCTAAGGCAGACTTGGAGATTCTTATCCATGCATTTGTCTCCAGTAGGTTAGACTACTGCAATGGCCTGCTCACAGGTCTGTCCAAACAGGCTGTAAAACAGCTGCAGTACATTCAAAATGCAGCAGCTCGAGTCCTGACTAGAACCAGGAAGTACGACCACATTAGTCCGGTCCTCAGGTCTCTGCACTGGCTTCCTGTGGCTCAGAGAACAGACTTTAAAACAGCTCTGCTTGTGTACAAATCTCTCCATGGCCTCGCACCAAAATATATTAGTGACATGTTAGTCCCATATGAACCAGCCCGGACTCTGAGGAGCACAGGGAAGGGACTCCTGTTAGTGCCCAGAGTCAGAACTAAACATGGGGAGGCTGCTTTTCAGATTCATGCTGCTAAAATCTGGAACAGTCTTCCTGAAGATGTGAGACAGGCCTCCTCTCTGACAATGTTTAAAACCAGGTTAAAGACAGTTCTGTTTAGCTGTGCATACAACTGAGGGATTTTATATTTTTATCTTTCTTTTTAATGTTCTGTGATTATTTATGATTTTAATGCTTTCTTGTTTTGTTCAGCACTTTGAATTGCCTTGTGTATGAATTGTGCTATATAAATAAACTTGCCTTGCCTAAATGGTTTTTTCCCATTGGCAAGTCTTGATTTAAGACAGTCAGAATGTACTCAAATTAAAATAAAAAAAACCCTCGATCCAAGCAATTATCACCTCATATTTGATCATTTTTTGCTGTGAACATTTACGTCAACTACTGAAACACAAGGCATTTTATAATGTACTCGTACATTGGGCATTTTAACATATTCTGCCCTCTCAGGAGAAATAGACTTTCCTTCTCTGAAACACTTTCTGGATAAGGATGGGGAATAGATTATAGATCGTTTATAGTTATTTTAGTTTTATTTATTTCAAAGGGGACAACGCAATTTAATACAACACATCCTGTTCCCTGGTCATGATGTTGAAAGAGCAAATACATTCAATTGTATATTGTTTTTTATTTAAAAAAAACAGTTACAGAAGCATATTTGATTAGAAGTAAAACATGAAACACAATTCTGATGGCTTGATGACCACATGATCACCTGCACATTGTTATCAAAAGATACTAATTTCCACCGCTCTTTTCATGTATGAGTGAAAGCCCTAATCGTGTTGTCCACGTGTCTGTCCTGCCCTGACTTCCACCTGGCTCATCTCTTCTCACTTTGTCTCTATTCATTGCTCATCCTAAGAAGCCATAGCCTGAGCACCATTATGAATATTTAATGTGCTCATCTGGTGCAAATGGCTTTATCACAAGCTCTTATCAGAGACGTATTGAGCGAATGATGGCAGTACAGGGATATTATCCAGGTTACGGCAGCATTGCATGAATGCCAATGCAGATAATCTCATTTTGGCATCAAGCGTCAAGAATAGAAATCTAAACTTGGCTTAAGGGGGGGCATTAAATGTTGCATATCAGGTATTTTCAAGCACAGTAATTCACAAACTTCACATGTGATTATAAGATGTGAATGTGCCCTTGAGCTTTAGAAATATGTTTTTGTGGTTTTATAACAGTCAAATATTTTGCACCACCAAATTGTTTGCCACATCTGTATTCTTCCATTAGGTTTAATTGTTTTCACATTGTTGTTTTGACAGTGGCTCAGTTGGTAGAGCATTGGCCTTCAGGCCTGAAGGTCGTGGGTTCAATTCCCACCTCCACACCTTCTCCACCGACTCCCACTGATGACTGCTGTCGTTGTGTCCTTGGGCAAGACACTTAACCCCACTTTGCCCAAAAGCCCCCACTGAAAGATCAAGGCTATGCTCACACTCAGAGAGCAGCCGTCCTCCTGTGGACTCACCACCTGCAGAGGGTCAGTGAGGGGCTGGTGCTATGCGACTTGGGTGGCATCTCTGACTGCCACCCCCCTGACCCAGAAATGGATTAAAGGGTAGAAAATGGATGGATGGATGTTTTCACATTATATAGTTTTAAATATAGTTATCATTAATTGCTGTATTTTAAATGTTGTTTACTTGAGGATTAAACAAATTCACAGGAAATTGCATTGCTCTTTTGTTTTTTCCCCTCCACTTTGCGTCACTTTTAGAAGATGACAATTGAAAACAGAACTAATGAGCTGTGGAAGGAGGCTCTCACTCTATATTAAACAATTTAAGTGGGTGGATGGAAATGCCTGTGCTCTGCTTATCAATATCTCACGTTAAAATTAGTTTTGTTATAACTCGTTTAAAGTTAAATCATATTGCACAGTGTTGCTCATAATATGAGGTTGTAACTGGGTTCAACTTTTCTGTCGCCTTTGTCTCTTCAAGAGCAGATTGAGCCTTGTACTGTTTCTACTGTCTTGAGTGGATCAAGCAAATACAAAGCACTTAAAATATGCCAGTTTCGTGGATCAAAGCCAGAAGTCTTGACAGCAGATGTCTTTCAGAGCTGTCAGTGGGACGTATCAGATTTCCCTCTGTCCTGTCAGCACAAGAAAGAAAAAGATTGGAGATAAAAAGGCAGTGTAGAACCGCATGGATTCAATGTAAATCCTTGGGGGTTTCCTGCTGCTGGTTAGAGCCTCAACATGTGGTATTGTTAGGAATGAACACAACAAATGAAAGAATACATCCCAAACCACTAACACAGCAACTGTTCTCAAAGTGTAATGCTATCCATGTAGACAGATCCTAATTATGCTCGCACAATATGAACATTCATTCTTTAATTAGAAGTCTCATACAAAGAAATACATTTTTGTTTTTAAAGACTGTAAAGTTAAAAGCTGAGGCTCGGCTGGACCTCCTGCGGCAGGTGGGTGTGGCGGTGGACACGTGGCTGAAGAGTGCTATGAACCAGGTCAGTGAACTCCCTCGGTCTTTTGCATGTGTGCGTCCATTTGTCTGAATGCTTCACCTTTTAGATCATTCCTAATTGCTCACTGTGTCTGCGCATGCTGTAGGTGATGGAGGAGCTGGAAAATGAGCGTTGGGCAAACTTCACACCCCATGATCCCTCACTGTCGGTAAAGAATTCCCTGACTGTGTTTTATGTACTAGTACTTGTACTTTATGTATAATATCAGTTTTTCAACAACTAGTGATTGTTTGACACATTTTTTGTAATCCTGTTTCACAACTCATATTCAAGCTTACCACCATTTGTATTGCTTGTTCTTTGTGTTTAATTTCAATTGAAGAGTTTAACTTGATTATGATCTAATTTTGATATGGGGTCCCTATGGGCGAGACATCGACTTGGTGTCAACTGACAACAATAATGTCTTTGGTGTTGAATATTGGCATTTCTTTTTCAAAAAAGCTGATGCTGAAAAGGGTTCTGACCGGTCGGCCAGCTCTGTTTAAAACTCTACCACTGTTAAAGGGATGGGTAACTTTCAGAACCTGCCGATATAATACATACAGTATATCGATTCTATACGATATATTTCTCAACAATAACATACAATTCAGTCCATTGATGCATTAATATGTATATAATTGAAGATTAAATGTTATTAAAGTCCAAATTATATTTTTTTTACATTCCTATAATGTCCTTAAAAATATGAAAAAAATGAAAAATCTATATATGTAACTATATATATTGATATTTCATTATATACACCAAATACCATTATGGCTTTTCGAATATATATATGTATATATATATATATATATATATATATATATATATATATATATATATATATATATATATATATATTACACACCTTTTTTACTATCACACCCGTGGGGGGTGTAATGTGACCTTTGGAACAAGATGCTAACTCTCATAACAGGTCCATCCATAGTCTGCTCTCCTGAAACCATTTGCATTCTGCGCACTTTCTGCTCACATAATTATACTGCTCACAGCTAACACACACAAAAATATCGGAAAATTCTGGACCGAGACAAATAAAGTTAGTGCCACAGCAGAGAGATGAGAACAATGAAGAAGGCTGGTTAAGATGGTGGCGAGAAGAAGTAGAGACTTTGTTAAAAGGAGACAAAGAGAGAAAGATGATATGTCTTGTCATTTTTCACAATTGGAAGTGGCTACTTATGCAAATTAGAGAAAGTTGTGTGAGACTAGGCAAGGCAAGGCAAGTTTATTTGTATAGCACAATTCATACACAAGGCAACTCAAAGTGCTGAACAAAACAAGAAAGCATTAAAATCATAAATAATCACAGTACATTAAATTTTTTTTAAAAAAAGATAAAAATATAAAATCCCTCAGTTGTATGCACAGCTAAACAGAACTGTCTTTAACCTGGTTTTAAACATTTTCAGAGAGGAGGCCTGTCTCACATCTTTAGGAAGACTGTTCCAGATTTTAGCAGCATGAATCTGATGCAAGAGCACAATTACAAGGTTTACTCAGTGAAAATAGGCTCATAAAAATGACTCTAATTACAAAGTCCAGAACTATAAAAGCAAATAAATGCTGAATTAGAAGGCAGAGATTTGCTTGCTGATTATTTGCAGGTCAGATTGTACCTGACGGCAAAAAGAGAGAAAAATGGTGATTAGAAGAAAAGCACAGACAAGCAGAGAGCAGAGTGCGGCGCCCAAACTATTCTATTCGGCTGTAATTAAATTCTGCACTGACAATGGGGCATCGATCTCATTTCCCCATGTAAATGAAAAATGAAAACAACGTGTATTCTACCCTCACAAGTTTTGGCACATAATAGATTGTGTTTATTGACGATGGCACATGACATGTTGGATTATAGTTTTGGCATTTAAATATTTTACAGTTTATACAGGAGGGAATTCAAATATTTAGTATGAAAATGAAATCCCCCGGGGTCACAATCCAGGTGGCGGTGAAGCCGAAGTCATAAACTGAGATTGTCCCATGGTTGGAGGGGACGGGGAGGAGGAGGGTGACTGCACGAGCTGGGGCTGAGGGCAGGCGTATAGTGATGGAAGGATTGTATTTAAACCATTTGTATCACGTCTATTGCAAGAAATTTGAGTCTTCCAGTCTAAACCTTTGCTCTTGCTCCATTTACCTGTTCCTTGTCCCTCTATCATGTTTTTTTCCGTGAATTGACATATATGAATTATAGCAGCTTTTGATTACTATTAATTAGAATCCAAAGCAAATGCCAATCATGCTGGAATTTGAGATTGCCTTCATATGTTTTGTGTGTCATCAGAAACTTGACATGACAAAACACTACAACCTAAAATCCTTTGTTATGGTGGGGTCAGTTTACTGTGTGATGGATCTTTCTACTGCCTTCATCACATGACCATTGAAATTCAGATTGAACAAAAGAGGGAGGGGACGTTTGAAACACTACTCTCGCTACACCTGCTTTCAAAAGTTCTAGCTCAGACTCAGACCAGCTCAGACCAGAAGTGAGTCTGGAAATCAAACATCAAACTATGGAATAAATGACGTGTTTGACTGTGGCGATTGTTGTCCTTTTGCCCTTGGAGTGATCAAAGCCCTGAATCTGTGTTTGTGTGTTCATTTAACAGGGCACCGTGGACTTAGACCGAGAGGACGGAGAAGAGTGCGAAGAAAACATGGAAGTGTTTGATGACAGCAGCTCCAGTCCATCGGGAACACTTCGCAACTACCCACTTACCTGCAAAGTGCTCTACTCATACAAGGTAAAGCAAACAGAGGGCAATTATCTACTGGAACAAGAAAGAGACATCCACAAATAAGAATACGATTTTTCTAAAGGCATCGCAGCCGGATGAACTGACCATCGATGAGCAGGAGATGTTGGAGGTCATTGAGGATGGGGACATGGAGGACTGGGTCAAGGTGAGACTTTCTCCTTTATTATGCTAAAGTTAGAGATTTTATACTTATTTTCTTCATTATGCTAAAGTCAGAGATGTTGTAGTTACTTCTTGCTACTTCATTAAGCTACAGTTGGAGATTTTAGATTTGCTTCCTTATTATGCTAAAGCTAGAAATTATATAATCATTTATATTGTGGTGTGTGCTCCCCATTCCTACTGTTCTGTAACCGGTGATGCAACACTGAAATTTCCCCACTGTCGGACGAATAAACGATCTTTTAATCTTAATCTTCGCTGCATGATTACATGTGAAATATTTGGGGAACTAGATCAAATGACAAAAAGCCTTGCAATGATTGATTTTGTTTCTTGCCTGATTGAGTACATTGCCAAAAATTACTTGGATTAAAGCTGGGGTATCTCACTTTCAAACCACAACAAATATGCATTTACAACCATCTCACTAAATCTTTGCTCTCAAAATAGTTTGGATCAATAGCTAGTTGTCACATGCATGTATTTTAGATCAGCCTTTACAGACAGTGAAGTGATAACGAGAGGACCGCCCTCACTCAGCCAATCAGCTCTCAGCCCTGTGAAATAAGTCCAATAGTGACGCACATGGCTCTTTCTAAAAGGTTGCATACCTTTTTAAGATAACATGTTTTGTTAGACAGCATGTCACAGTCTGATTTGTTAACAGCATTATAGTTTTACAAGACTTTCTGTTACAAACTACATGGGTTATAAATAGATAGAAAAACTTTAATAATTAGCTTCTTTTCATTTTCTCAACAACTTACTATTACTATTTGCTCCTTATTATGCTAAAGTCAAGGGTTTTGTACATGAGTCCTCCCTTCTTCATCATGCTAAAGATTTTATTTTATTTTAGTATAGAGTTATTCATTTACCTTAACACTGCAATTTCCCCACTGTGGGAGAAATAAATTATCTCTTAATTTTAATCTTGCAATATCTCACATACTTTTTTGGTAGAATTGTACATGTGCTTGAATCAAAATAACCAACGACTTTGTTTCTTTAGGCTCGCAATAAAACAGGCAAAGTCGGCTATGTCCCAGAGAAGTACCTCCAGTTCCCTGCCTCCAACAGTCTCCTGAGCATGCTCCAGTCCCTCGCCACTCTCGACGCACGTTCACACACCTCATCCAACTCAACTGAGCCGGAGCTCCACACGGGATGCATTAATGGAGACACAAACAGTGAGTGGTTGGTTTGTTGACAGTATATTTTCTTGGAGTGACGCTGCTGATCGATCCGTCTCACGCTCACGTCTCCTCTGCAGTGGTTTATGTGCGTGCACTTTATGACTACGAGGGTCAAGCAGACGAGGAGCTGTCGTTCACCGAAGGAGCAGTGATCCGGCTGCTGAACCGCGACACGCAAACTGACGACGGCTTCTGGGAGGGCGAGCTGAACGGCAGGGTGGGCGTGTTCCCCTCGGTGCTGGTGGAGGATGTCAATGAGAACGGAGAACACAGTGGTCTACAGGGAGACATACAGGTACTGGAACATCCCTCTGCTTGTGCATCTTGTTATGAGCAATGTCTCCAAGTACAAAAGCAGATCATTATGTATATTTACTATCAACACTCAATGAACTACTAGTGTAACTGCATCCAGGCACGGTGGGGAAAGTATCTTGAGAACACCACAACACAATTTATATTTTTACATAAAAAGAGACTATGGGCAATGTTCCAGAAATCAATTCATCTTTCCCTCCAAAGCGGTCAAGCCACTCTACAGACTGGCCACAACATTCATTGACTGCACATTGCATTTGACGCATTATGACATTGCATTAATGCTAAAACTTTCCTGTGTCGTTTTACTTTCACTTCACATACTAAATTAAACAGTAAAGCATGTGCTACTAAGTCTGCAGCAGTATGGCCGTATTTATCATTGCAGATGACCAAGAGTAGACTATACATGTTCAAACATTTCTTCTATCAGCTGTTTGTTACATAAACCAAACATCCAGCTACAAATGACCCCAAGATGATTAAAGCACATTGATCTGGAACACCTCAATCAAGAAGCGTTTTGATCGGTCTCGATATCTTGTCTCTCATGTAGTCACACCTGAGGCCAAATCTAAAGATTTTTGAGGGAACGCTCTGACCACTTGCACAAAAGCACAAGAGGCCAATACTCCTAAATATATCTTCTTTCCCTATGGCCATGCCAACCTGGTTGGTAGGCAAGGCACTTCACCCACAGCGTGGGTCTGATGTGTGAGTCAGCATTGCTTTGGCAGATATTCACCAGGTAGCTGTTGCTACAGTAATAACAACAGCTCTCTGTGTGTTGAGTTAATGAAACAATCAATTGTAAAGCGACACGCAAAAGTCCCCATTATTCTAGTTTGTTTCTTTAATCAAGGAAAATGTTGATGTTTGCTTCATGTCTGATGATTATGCAAAATACAGTGTTGCAAAGACAATAATCAAGAACAAAACAAAAAGATTCTTAAGTGCACTGCTCTTTCTGTCTGTCTGTAGTTGACATTCTTTGGTCTTATCAGCTTTTCCCTGGGGCAAGAACATTCTCTGTTAACAGTCTATGAATGTTACCATTTTCACCCCTTCCTCGTCTCCTTCCTGCTGCATTTTGAGTGGGTCTCAGCAGAGCAGGGTTCACAGACATTAGATCACAAATGCCTTGTTCTTGATAAAAGTGTAGAGTAATTAGAGTCCGGGGCCTTATCTGTGACTGGGTGACCTGCCCTGTTCGGAGCAAACGAGCAGGAAGGATACAACCTCTCCCTTCCTATGAGGCCAGAGACATAAGACATAACACTCATGGATGTATATGATTAAATGACTTACGAAAAGCCGGTGACATATTAATGACCTATATTTCATTGTTTGCAGATTTCTCCATGTGCAAAAATACCGAATTGCCTTCCTCCTCTTCCACTTTACGATCAACCTCCCATCAGCCCTTTCACCAGCCCTGAAACCTCCACTCCGCCTCCACTACCGCGTTCACCGTCTACTGCCCTCAACGGAGAACACAAGCCTCCGCTGCCTGCCTCGTCACATAAGGGAGCTCTGTCGTCCCACAGTAAGACTCAAACAACCACGGCTTCACTCCAAATCCTGCATCATATCTCGGCTGATGAAATTGTGTTTTACAGATCAAAGTTCTGGCCGTAGTCCAGTGTCTCCAGGATTTCCTCAGCCACTTCGATTCACATCTGAAGGCGGCCCGGGAAAATTACGACCAGTGAGTGTTGAGTCAATAAACAGGCTGCCGTCACTCGCAGTTTATCACACGCTTTTATTTTGTGGCCAAACAAATGCATTCTCACATTCCACCTGCTATGTTGTAGATTTACTCCTCAAGAGTAAATCTAGAAGGAAAGTAATAAAAGTAATAATCAGGTGTTGCAATAGATCAGGGTCATTTTCAAAGCATGTATAGATTTTACTGTATTCGCTCCAAAAAAGCCCCACTATTTTGAGCATGAAATATTCTACACTAATACTTAAATTTGGTGTTTGAAAAAGCACCTGAAAACAGAAGATGACAGTGAGAAAAAAACCTTTCAAGCTCTCAAAAGTTTGGTTTTATCATTTGCTTTGTATTTTGTTAGTACTAGCCCTCACTAGATATAGGCTCAAACAAAATGTATTTATGAATCAAACAAAAGGTTATGTACCCCAGCTTTAACAAGATAAAATTCACCCACAATGAGTACATTTGTTTATAACTTAAGATACACAGTACAAAGCACTCAAAAGACTATATTTCAGTCTGTTTATACTATAAACAACTAGACTAGCAGTAAGGGTTACAGATGATTATCATATTGTGATTAGGGGTGGGAACCTCAGGGTACCTCACGATACGATACAATGTGGGATACAAAGCTCACGATAACGATTATCTCACGATATGACGATGCAGCAATTATCAATATATTGGTCAAAAATATACCTATGATGATATGTTTCTTATATTTATGGCATAAATTCAGTGAAATAATACACTTTATTATTTCCAGATAAATAGATAAGTGTCGTGGGTAACATTAAAGTTAACAAGCAAAAATGCCTTTTAACCTGCACATTTTAGTAAAAATCGTACTTAATCTGTCTCACATCCAATAAAATCAATACAAACATTCTACAGAAATTGTAGATTGCGTAATGTAGCCAAATATTAAGTAGCAATACTTATTTTTTTCCAATAAAGCTTAAAAAAAAGTTTTTAAAAAGTTAAAATAATATATACATATATATATATCGATACTTAAAAGCAATAAAAGCATATCGATAATCGATTGCATGAGGAAGTATCACATTACATCACCATATCGATGTCACACTCCTAATTGTGATTGCATTGTAGCGATTGGATGTTAACAGTAATACCGTTTGACGAATTACAACATTTTACAAGAATACATTTGCATCGCTGTCCTCACTTCAGCTAAATAATGTAACCCAATATATGTTTCCCTGCTGCAGGTGCGTGCTGCCCCACCTCCCCCCAAACAACACGCCCGGCGACAGCAGGACAAGAGCGACAAAACAGAGGAGGTGGAGATCACACTGGTCTGACAGAAGATACACAACAAACACAACACGACATGTGTGGACCTACATTACAGTGAACTCTGCTGAGCTGATGAGAGCTAAAGACTGTCCTCCTTCAAATATAAATGCAGAAGTAGCCTCCCCTTAGTCTCAACCCTCTCTCCTTTTTTTCTTGCCTTAAAGCATTACCTCGTGGGGCAACTACATACAGCACACTGAAGACAAGAGGGAAGACTGCGTGTGGCTCCCTCACTTTGTATACAGCTGTCCATGTGTACTCAATGTGTTAGTTCAAACCATAACAGTCATAGGAATGTTATGCACAGTGTTTCATACACACAAATGGGACGTCCGATATGTACTTTTTACATATATTTAAAGGGCATTTGTAAATATGTTTAGGGGAGACGTCAGTAGGGTTTGGGGGAGAGGAAGGCTGGATCCTTCCTTGTCCCTCTTTCTCTGACTTTTCAGCCGAGATCATCATTTCTCCTAGTGTGAATCAGTGGTGGTCTTATAAATGCAAACACATCGTTGCAACTGTACGTGTTTATGAAAGGGTATATCAAAGACACAGAAATGGTCGGCAGTGTGAGTATTGTGACATAGAAATATTTAAAATGCTTGGAGGTCAGTGATTGGTATTTTTGAGATCAGATTTACATGTAAAGCTTTTATACATATTCAAATGCATTTCATCTATTGTAACACAGTCTGTGTTTAATATATCCTTACAGAGATTTCATACATGTGTTTTTATACAACAAACTAATGTTAAGATGCATCCTTTTGAAACAAAAGCAAAAGACATTCAGTTGGCGCAAGTACAATTCTGACATTTTGATTCATAGTTGTTCCTTCATTTTGCTCTTGAAGCCTTTAAGCTCCCTACCTTCTAGGGCAGTGTAGCACTTTTATTTATTTATTTGTAGCTCCTGTAAAAGTAGCAGTACTTTGACAGAGCATAAGAACACACAGAACATATTTGAAGTCTTTCTGTGGTCCTTTTGTTTCAGTCTGACTGATTTTATATCCTGTACTCTTGTGAAGAGAATGAGGTAGTCGTGTAAGGTGTAATTTGCTATTTACCTAAACATGTAAGAACAAACCAATTGGTCTTTTATTAATCTTTTAATACAAGCTACGAGTGAATGTGTTTTTGGTCTTGAATTTTGGTGTATGTCTGTGTGATGCTATAGAGAGGAGCAAATGTAGTCTGAGTCACTAAACGAGCCTGGTTCATTGGCCACACACTGCAGACCTGTGTGCTCAGATCAACTTCAAACATTCAACTATAAATGTGTCAGAAGTTTGATCTATATTAATAACTAACACTCTATGCCTGGGCACCATAGGCTTGTTTCTGACTGAGGTGCTAGTCTGCAGTGTGGACTTCAGGCAGCTTTCAGCGGCTCTTCACAGACAGACGGCTGAAGAATGGAGACAAGTACAGGTGCTTGGTCAAACATCATGCCCATGCCCCCTCCCTCTGCTCCAGGCAGCCTCTCCTTGATCTTCCTGAGATCTGATTTATAATAGTTTCAAACTTGTTTTGAAGTTTATGGTTTACAGCAGCTTATAACACAACTTCCCTACGTTTTTTGAATTAATTTCATACATGTTTGCAACCTTTTGCCACTTTGACCGTGTCCTTTTTAAAACCACACAGTGTTAAATCATTAACTCCACAAACGCTTTCACATAAATTCATTTTATACTGATATTGATTTGGGCAGTTGTGCGGCTGCTGTTGTTACCATGTGGTGGAATAACTGGCCTTTCCTCTCCTCAGACTGTTGCCATGGTGATAATAATTAGAGCAGGTGTACATGTCTTATCTGCATATGGGCTGTATAAAAACGTTTGTATTTATTGTGTACAAATGTTAATTAAAAAACGTGAAAAGCTTTTGTGTTTGCGTAGTGTGTGCGTTAGAGCGAGTGGGTGTGATCATAGTGAGTGCACAAACAGCTGAGGGCAGTGTTTCCTCAGTGCAGCTGCAGGAGCGCCACTGACTCCTCAAATCTGCCACTTTTGTCCTATTCCACACTTTTGTCACTTTTCATCTGTTTCTGCTGCACCAGAGGTCAGGATTGACACATGGCTGCACGTGGCGGCTGCAGCTCAACTTCTGTCCAACTTTATTTATGTTCCAACCCACTCGGTAAGTGAGGGACACAATTGTTTATTCCATTTGTTTGGTTGTGACGATGCTTTGTGTTTTTGATCCAGACAATGTGGTCGAACGTCGAGCCCTGAGAGAAGAAGTATTTCCTAGATTCAGAGCGCACTGCAGACATGAGCTGGGACTGGACCTCAGGGTGGGTAGCTCTATCTTTTTGAATTGTTGATAAAAGCAGACCAACAATGACTGAACAACTTCCTCAGTCATGGAACTGTTTGTTGTTGGTCTACCCTCAATTTTGCCTTTTTATTTATCAAAGCTATTTCTGTAAGCCTGATTCTTTAGAGCCTACGAATGGATTGCAATACGGCTTACTTTGTACTGTGATTAATCAGATCTGTAGTTAATAGGCCCTTAATCTACTTATTGTGCAGTATTCCAGTGAAGCTTGAATGTTTACACAAACGGACAGAAATTTCAACAATTTACTGTCAAATAAAAACATTTTCTATTTTAAAATGACAACCATATAGCTAATTAAATGACCCTGTTCAGAAGGTTCCATCCCCCAGTTCTCAAAAGTGTGTGATTTTTTGTGGTAGTTGAGGATGAGGTTCTTTTATTGTTGTCTGGTAAAGCTTCCCAATCTTCTTGTTGTGTTCCTGTAAATTCCTGGGTTGCTTTGCACGAATTGCACATTTGAGATCTCCCTAGAGTGGCTCGATGTTGTTGTTACGGCCCTGGTTTGTTAGAAAACACAAACCATGTTTTGTATTCAGACTTCCCTAGTATCCACACACTTCCTCCCGCTCATCCGGGGGAACCCCAAGGCATTCAATGTTGTTATAATATAAAAATGTTAACGGCATTTTTTTTTTGACAATATATGGCTTCACACAGTTACTAAGAATGAGTGGAGAAAAAATGTTGTTATGTATAATCTGAGAAATATGGCCAAAATAGTGACATTTCTGGGTTTTGTAAACTTTCAAACACAATTTCATATTGCTTGCATGTACGTATGTATGGAAAAACCAATACATTGCTGGTAGAATTACTAGCAATGTATTGGTTTTTCCATTGGTGTTGTTTATTATTTCAGGTCATTGACCCGTTTGAATCGCCTGAGTGTGACAAATGGCCAGATGAAAACAGCAGAAAACAGATGATAAAAGAATGCAGAGAGAGTTCTGTTGGGCCATGTTTACTGGTACGTAGCTCAGGCTTAATTCCTCTTATGTGCTTTAACTATAAACATGTATTCTTTAGGCTCTGATTGGACCCGAGTATGGGTCAGTTGGGCTGCCCTCTCAGGTGGCAGTGCCTGAATATCAGCTGCTGCTACAGGAGAGCCAGCGGGGCGGGGTCAGCACTGCAGAGCTGGAGAAAGTCTACAGCCGTGACGAAAACACTGTCCCACCATCCTACTGCCTCCAGCCCCAGGTCTCATTTAAACCTTTTATTCATATTCTGTGGAAATGTACCTTGTTTGCAATTATAACAAATAAAAAAAAATGCGGATAATCAGGGTGTCCAAACTTTTATCAGTAAAGCAGAGCATGCTAAGAGCCAGTCTAGAAGTTACAATACAGTTTACCTTTCAAAACATCTTCAACTGATCCACCAGACCTAAAGGCTTAAGTAGTTCCTAAATAGTGTTAATATTTGTTTATTTTAAAGGTAGATTGTTAAAACTGTCTGTAAAAAGTACAGCTTAAAGCAGGGGAACGCAACTTTCAAATCACAACAATGATTTGAAAACAGTAGACGGGTCTTGAGTGCTTCTTGGATGTAAAAATGAAATAAGGACCTGAAGAAGGCCAGAAAGCTGAAACGCATAGGCATAATTTTAACCTCTTTTGCCATGTGTAATAAAGGCTTTTACAGATTTTTGCAACTTTTGAGTGCCTCAGTCTTCTGTCTGAACTCACGACAATGATTTATTAAAAAATCTTGTTTTTTCAGACATATAAGTGAAAAATAGTAGACCACTCTCACTCACCCACTCAACTTTCAGCCCAAAGAGTTAGTGACTGACACTGCTCTTTCTTACAAGTATGCACAAGATGAAGACAACATAAATAAATAAATGTTATTCCTGAAACAAAACAATAGTCTCAGGGCTGTATTTTGCCAAGGGGCTGTAGTTTGGAGCTGCCCAGTCTATCGAGTACATGCATGATTGAACTGGCTGGATCATAGTGCCCCCTTCTTATCTTTTGCAACCAAAAACCGACCAATTTACAAGAAAGAAAGAACACGTTCTGCATCAAATCCAACAGGCTGAAAATGAACTGGACACGTGTAAAAAGGTGTTTGAGACAGCTGTGAACCTGTGCGTACTGAACGGAAAGATGACTCCGGAGAAAGCTCAAGGTTACTGCAGATCAGGTGAGCTGAGGGCTCATGTGTGAATGTGTTTAGAACGGCTTTAATGTACCATCTGTTTGTAATCGTTCCTCAGCTCTGGATGCAGATCTGCGCTACGCACTGGATGAAAATGCTCAGGGAGACATCAGTGGACGCTGTCTTGTTTACATCCACAAGGTCATTGTCGGCGCCAAAGTGAAGCCTCCCCAGCAAACTAAGTCCCAGGTACATTCAAGTCAATTTAAATTTTTGTATAGCCCTAAATCTCCACAGCAGACATCTCGGTGGTTGTTGGTTGTCTGCTTCTTTAGCGTCCGAGATTCTTGCTTTTTATTATAGATTATAGACTGCTTATTGACATGACATTTTATTGTATGTCATTTTATGTACGTAGTAGAGAGTGTTGAATATAGTTATTTAGTATAGAGTTAAGTATAGGGCTGTGTTAATCTATCTTTGTGCTGTGTGCTCTTTCCTCCTGTTCTGTAACTGGGGCTGCAACACTGAAATTTCTCCACTATGGGACGTATAAAGGATCTGTTAAAGTAAATGAATTCACCGACGACAGATCAGAAAATCCAACAGCAAACGCAATAATAACTAAAACAAAGCAATTGGTCCATAGGGAGTATAGGATGACCAATGTCCATAAATAATAATAGATGACCATATACGTTTTTCAATAAATCTGATTATATTTTCCATGTAAGCTGTAGTAGTTGTTATCAATGTGTTATTTGTACACACTAACACTGATTTGATGTTTTTCCCCAGGGCAAAGATAATGCCATGTCCTCCCTCCTCACTCCTGAAGCATTACTAACATCTCTTTGTGACCACTTCCTCTTTCGCCTGATCTCACCCTGCAACCTCCAAGTCTACACCACCACGACCCACTGTCCCCACACGTACACCGCAGCCCGGAGGAGGTGCTACGCCGACTCCCTGTGCCACCAGATGACCTCCGACCTTGTGAAAATGACACAACATTTGGAGATGCCCAAGCTTCTATTTACAAGTGATGCGTTTGCCCGGGAGCAATCAGAGCAAGAGGAACTGTGCAAAGTCACATCTCGGCTTTATGAAATACCTCGCCCAGAAGAGAAAAATGTGAGATGATTGTGAAACATTGATTTATTTACATGTACACGTTTCTCATGTGAAGCTCAGAATGTGTTGGTGCCTGTGTCTTTGTGTGTGTAGCTGAAAACGTATATCCAAAACGAACAATGGCGCCCTCTAGTGATCATAGGTGGTCCATGCACTGGAAAAACTGTGCTGCTGGCTCACTGCTCCAGACAGGTAACTATTGCAACCAGTTATGACCAGTGTCGGGGAACATACTTATTTGTAAATTATTATTGTGTAAAAATGATACTATGCACCATTTTATGCATGTTTTGCATTTGTTAATTATAAAAAACAAACTTGAATACATCTCTAACTGGGACGTTTCTATTAGTTGAATAACAAAATCTATTCCTTGTATACCACCAAAGGTAATATATTACAATACAATACAATACAATTTATTCTTGTATAGTCCCAAATCACAACAGCAGTCATCTCAGAGGACTTAACAAAACCATTGAAATCACCAACTCCTGAAAGTTAGGAATTGTATTGTATTTAGGAGAGTGTGACACCCATGGACTGCCCACTACAGAACTTAAGAAGCTGATCTAAAGAGGTCATAAATATATGAATGTGGATACAAAACCAAATTGTTTTGACAGCTAGATAATAATCCATCTATGATTATATTACATCGCTCATGTTTTTGTGATTTGAAAGTTAGGTAATCCAGTTTTAAGGAGAATTGATATCAAAGCCCCCAAAAATACATGAGACTATTCAGACTGTAATTACGCAATAGTATTCCGAACAGTTCCTAGTACAAGTATTTTGTTACTTTTCAACACTGGTTATGACAGAAATACATTCAATACTTGAGTGACAAAAAATGTATCAGTAACAAACATCTTTGTCTTTACACAGATAGAATCATGGCTCCCAGACACTGAACCAGTGGTGATTCTGTATTTCTGCAGTCCATCTGTTAACCCTTCCCCCAAACACCTCTTGTCCAGCTTGTGTTCTCAAATTGTGAAGCGCTACGACTGCTATTTTCCTCCTAATTCTCAGGAAGATTCCAACTTTGGCAAAGACGACATCTCGGAACAGAGCTCTTCTAACAAATATTGCAACTTTGATCCACCTCGTCCCAACTCAGACTCTGACACAACCATCTCAGAGCTGAAGACACATCTTTTATCACTAATGTCCTCGTTGCCTTCTGCCGAGCGCCCTTTAGTGATACTTATAAATGGCCTGGATCAAATTTACAATAACTATGGATGCCAAGTTGTTGAGTGTTTCTCCTCTCCGCTTCCTCCCAGTGTCAAACTCATAATCACTACTTCCTCCAAACAAAAGCATATCGTTGAAGCTGTTGAACTACATTACCCACAGTGCAGCCTGTCTTGCTCTGAGCCTGAAGTCGGTCGAGAATGTTTCAGTTTGCAGTTAGGGCTCCCATCCAGGAAGGAGAGCGTGAAGATGCTGAGCTCTCTGCTGTCTGGCTTTGGGAGGAGGATCACGTCAGGACAACAGGTCGTAGTGAACCAAGCACTGGATACATGTCGCCTGCCGCTGTACGTCCGCCTGCTGCACCTGCTCACCTCACTCTGGCACTCAGGTATACCGTTTATTCTTACAAATGTATCGCATTTTGTTTGTTCCAACAGAAAGAGTCATGCCACAACCTACTGTCTTTATTGTATTAGAAAACATGTTCAGAACTAAACATGGGGAGGCTGCTTTTCAGATTCTTTTTTTTTTTGTTCAGCACTTTGAGTTGCCTTGTGTATGAATTGTGCAATACAAATAAACTTGCCTTGCCTTAATCTTTTGCATACTTTTAAGAGAGAAATGAGCTGAGTGTGGGTAAGGGCCCTCTCGTTTTCACTTTTCTGTCTTAAAAAGCTCATTCAAAGAGGCCAAAAATACATGCATGTGGATACATAACCATACTGTTTTGAGAGCTGGAAAAGTCCATCTAGGATTATATTACATCGCACATGTTTTTGTGATTTGAAAGTTACAGTAGGTACCCCAGTTTTAAGGGGAATTCATATCAAAGCCCCCCAAAAGACTGTGAACTCCATACGCACACAGAAAAATGACATAAAAATGGGAGTTTTTCTGTTCCTTATTATGAGCCAAACTGAGTGACATTCCGAGCCAATCAATAGCATGTTAATGGAAAAAAAACATGTCTTGGAAATGAGCCAGAGTTCATGAATGCACCTTAAAGTCGAGAAAAACAAATGTAGTAAGTTAGTGTTTCTTGTGTGGCTTTCTGTCTGAATGTTCTCCCTGTGTCTGAAAGTTTCTGTGTCCTCCAGTTTGCCCTACCACTAAAACCATGTACAATAAGTATTCATGTATTTTGTGAGTGAACGGATGGAGTTGGCTGGCGTCTCTCTTCTGTCATCACTGTGTATGACGTGAATGGAAAAATATCTGTACTCCCAAAGAACATGTAAAGCGCTTTGGTCTGTGAAATGCCCTGTTTTGATAAAGATGACTTACATACTTCCATTCGTGTTTCTTGCAGACTCTGAGGTGATCAAGGGGAGCCTGCCTGATGGAGTCCATGCTGCTGTCTCCTCTCTGCTGGATCACCTGGAACTCAAACATGGCTCGGTCTTGGTGGCTCACGCTGTCTGCTTCATGACCCTCTCCAGGACCGGACTCACAGAGGCCGAGCTGGCAGATCTACTGTCCAATAACAATAAGGTTTTAGCTCAGTACACTAAACAAGGCTTCTTCCCTAAAATGAGGGCCCCACAGGTTGATGTAGAGAAGCTTATTTTAGATCTCAAGCCTTTTCTAAGTAGAAGCACAGTTGCAGGCTCACTCGGTCTGTTCTGGGTGTCAAGGCATTTTGGGTTGGTCATAACAAAGAGATACTTACATTCTGAATTAGCAAGAAAAGACCTTCATTCGGAGATGGCAGACTTTTACAGTGGCCGATGGTCTTGTGGGTGCTCCAAACCATTTCATCAGGACAGCAGCGAAGACAAAACATACATAGACAGGCAACCGTCCAGTCAGCCATTTTTCTTCACCTCATCCTCACATGAAATTGAGCGTACAAATTTGAAAAAGATTCTCGAGTTGCCGCACCACTTGAGAGAAAGTGGGCAAATTGAGGAACTACACAAACTTGCTCTGACGTTACACTTTCAACAAGCGATGGTGGGATCAGGTTTGCTTTCAGATCTGGTAGCCATCTTGGAAAGGGATGGAGAAGGATTGGGTAAAGAGCACTCATTTTTGGCGAACATTTTGAAGTCCTCTGTTTGCTTCTTGAATAGCTTTCCCTCTGAAATCCCTTCAGTGATGGAATTGCTGCTTATGCCGTACAAGGCCTTGCTTCCTGATCTAGAAAGTTATGTTAATGCAATAGAACAGGACAGGAAAAAGAACGGTGTAACGCTCACACTTCACTCTGCTTCACCCACGGTTCACGCTTTTAAATGTGTCAAGCCTCAAGTAGAAGGAATTTCTCTTGAAGACGCAGTTGTAACTTCTTGCGGAACTGTCGTCGTAAATATGGGAGATGGCTCCGTCTGGGTGTGTAAAAGCAATGGAAATGAACTAGTCAGACTCAGACTGAGCAACGAGCACGGAGAGATCACGTTCTGGCATCTTCACAGCTGCGGTGACTCAGTTCTATTGTCTTCTCTCACTCACAAGCATTTCCTATGGGATGTGACGTCGACAGATTTTTTGCACAAAGTCAAAGATTCAAACGAAACACCCAAAGCAATTGAACGTATCTTGACAAGTCTGGAACAGTTGTGCATCCAATGGAAAGGCGAACATTTTGTGAGTTCATATGACATCTCAAGTGCAACAATGACCCATTTCCATTGTCAGAAACTTGTGACTTGTCTTGGATGTTCTTCTAAAATGCTGCTTTGTGGTCACGCCGAGGGCACCCTGTCGATATTTGATATGAAAACAGCCAGTCTTCAACATACCTGTTCGAACACCAAGCTGGAAACAGTTGTCGCAACCGTTGTATGTCATAAAAATCATCAAATTGGGTGTATTGATGAGACCGGCAATACATCTCTATGGGACATTTCAACAGAGCAACCTAAGCTTGTGAAAGTAACATTTCCAAAAGAAAAATCAAATATTATGAATACAGATTATGCTAGTGATATGCAGGCTTTATTAGTGTGCCAATCAAAACACATCACTCTATGGAACACCTCGGATTGGGAAGTTAGCGACCAATTTCTGGCACCAAAACAAAATTCATTTAAACAGGCACTTTTGTCACAAGATGGTCATTTTCTGCTCGCTCTCCTCGACCAATCCCCGTCTGTTTTTGTGTGGAAGCTTGGTACTGGTGATTGCATTCTATCTTTGGAAACATCTCGGACACCTCAAATTCTTTTGAAATCAGCCTCAGAAATTGTTTGTGTCAACTGTGATGGGAGTATGGCTCTATGGGATTCAGAAATGATTTACGTTGCTGGAATTGTAAGCAAAATGGGCCGTGGAGTCAGGCAAGTTGTTGTTGACGAAGATAACGATTGCTTCTATACGAGTGATGGCGCTCATGCCGTTTGGAAATGGATAGTTGGGATGGAGAGACCTTGTGCACATCTTCTACATTGCAATCCAGTTAAAAAAATAATTATTTCACCCAATGGATGCTATCTCGTCACCGTCTCGGCTGAAGATATTTACATTTGGCAAACCGAAAGCCGCCAAAACATCATGCGAATAGGTGGTAGCAAAGCAGCAGACATTTTAATTACCCCGAATAGTAAGTTTGGGCTGAGTCTAAGCATGAATGGTCTATCTCGCGTCTGGAAGCTTGTGAGTGGTGCCACCATCTGCACGATACGGTTATACCTATCAAATGCCCAAATATCTGCCGAAAGCACCTTCCTGATTGGTCTTCACCGTGGGGAATTACTTGCAGCCAATCTATGGTCCGGCTTCATCCACAAGCGTTTTTCTTGCGTCGAAATTTCAGAGACGGTTGTTGCTTTTCAGAGTCTTAGGAATCATCCAAACTTTGTCTTAGTCCTGCTGACGTCAGGGTCATTGTACTCGTGGAACATAGCTGAAGAAACTGTTTCTAGGCATTTCCAAATACCAGTTCACTGCCAACCAAACAATCTCCAGATGCCGAGCAATGGGAGATATGCGCTGCTGTCCACTCATCATGAAACTCTAACAGTTCTGGATTTGTCCACGTTACAGCTCTGTTCCTTCAGAACCAAAGGGGAAGTGCTGGTATCTTGTTTGGACTCATCAGGCTGCAATGTTTTCTGTTGTTCAAGACAAAAACATAACTGTGAGTGCTTTCTCCACACAAGGCCAATACTCTCTGCAATTCAACTGAAAGATGGGAACACAATGGGAAGTTTGTATCTTCCTAAAAGTCCCTCGAGTTTAGCTGTGGGTAAGGGTCTTTGTGTGGCTGTAGGCTTTGAGGATGGTGCAGTGGGAATGTATTCTTTTGATGGGCAGCAGCCTATTAGCAGAGAAGAGAAGTCACATGGGCCAAAATGCCCCTTCGATCTTTCTCCAGTTACATGGTTGGCTCAAACGACACCAAATATTATTTGGACCTAAAAAAGGTGAATATAAGTTTGTGTACACCTATGTTTTTGTTTGTCTGCAGTTAGGAAATTCAATTAAATAATCTAATGCAATTCCAATTCGCCTTTGGTGTTTTGAAGTTTGTAGTTTTGTGATTAATGTAAAAGTTGAGATAGAACGGACACATGGCTGAAACAAAGTGCCCGAAAGGGGAAAACAATTAAAACATATATCATACTTTCTGGACCAGGGGTCATCAACTATATTTGTCAGAGGGCCAGAGTTTTACCACAGCCTCCACGGGGCTGGACCCCCCCCACAGAGAAAATTGAATCAGATTCAGATTCTTTTTTTCCATTTGCAATAAAACCACATTGGAATACATCAGCAAAAGTCGGGTTGCACAAGACTGGTACATAAATAAAAAAAGTTTAAACGTACAGAAATAAAACAAACCATTGACACTGGGAAAATGATCAACTAAAGCAGATTGTATACAAAGGCAAGATCATTTAAAGTGCTCTGTTTAAACTATGAACAACTTGTGGAAAGAGCTGTCCTGCATCTCAACAAACAATATCTTCTGCCAGAGGGAAGAAGCTGGAACATGGCTTTTTCAAGGTGGCCAGAAGAGTCATTGATCATTATTATTATTATCATTATTATTAATATTATTTTTAAATCACAAAAATGTTGCAAAACAGGAGCAAAACAGTTTCGGGACAGAGCGAACGGCTTGGCGTGTGAATGATCAGTGTCGAAACACACCTGTATATAAGCCGCACCAGCAACATTTGAAAAGAAACATAGGCCGCACGTGAATATAAGCTGCTGGTTTTCATGTTGCGTAGCAGATAGTCAACTGTTTTGACGTTGAATTTGTCACAAATGTATGTAATAACAAGGTGTGTCATATCTTATCTGTTAACATCCATGAATCATTCATCCAGTTTATTGTGTTTATTGGACAATAAACGAGTATCGTATAGCTACTAAAACTTTATTTTAAAATAATCAGCCCATTAATGCTTTTCTGACCACTGCCCAACTCTCATTAAAATTACACATATTGACTGCAATGCTATATCAACCTACTACAATATACATGTAAGGTATACTCCTCAGATCACTTATCAACCCTGAACATGTTATTAAAATGTCATAATAATTATTTAGGAATGGGACATTGTACTTCCGGAAATCTGCTAGTCCCGCCCTCTTCGCAGCTGAAAGCTCCTTATCTGATTAACAACATTAATATTTACACTCGATGGATTAACATTTTCACCAAACTTTGGATTAAAGGAAATATAGTGTTTCAAATTGTGCAAATGTTTATTTATTAAATAACTCCCGATTGTGACTAGACACACTTTACACACGTGGAGAGATACAGTAATTCTTAAATGTAGAGTCATTATGAATGCTATCCGGTCCTGGCTTAGTTCTTTTAAAAAAAACTAAAAAAATGCTTGAATGTCGCACAGAATTTACATAAAATACAAATGAAGTCCGTGTATATCGATGCGTTTCATGATCCCGAAAGCCAAAGCACAGGTCAGCTGATTTCCAGTGAACGCCTCACAAGTCAAAACAAAACTCCAGAGATCCACACGTCTCATCAGTGAGACACCGCAGAGCAGACATGGAGGTGCAGTGCTGGGGAGACGGCTCCAGCGGCCAGCTTGGACCCAGGCAGACCGCCTCTAGTCCCGTGTCCTGGATGGTACCACAAATGATTTCCAAAATAACATGCGGAGAGAAGCACACTGTATTTCTGACCCAAAGTGGGGACGTTTTATCCTGCGGACGCAACACATGCGGACAACTGGGCCGAAAGATGAGCAAAAAGGGAGATGTGATTGGTAAGTTATAGATAATGTGATCAACGAGGTTAATAACATTGACATGACAGAATAGTAGCTGTAAAACATGATCTTGTCATAATTGATTAAGTCTTTTTCAAACGTCACTATATAGGTAATTGTGAATAAGTGAGTCATTAGACGAAAAGTTATTGTTGTTATTATTGTTATTAACTGCAGCTATGTCTGTGTAGTAAGACTATTACGTTTGATCTCATTCAGTTAAGTTTCAGTTTCCTTTCTGTTCTATCCGACTGTGAAACTTATATGGAGGGAGGGAGGGAGGGAGGGAAAGAGAGAGAGAGAGTGAAAAAAAAAGCTTTACAATATCATTTTAATTCTTCTTTTTAAGCATGTAAGCAATAAATAAGCATTAAAATGATATTTTTTGTGATGTCATTGTTGCTTCATCCCTACAGAGCAGGTCCAGGGCCTGGGCCAGGTGGAGACTGTGGCGTGTGGACAGGACCACTGTGTGGCTGTGTGTTCTGGGAGGATATTCTCCTGGGGGGCTGGAGAAGATGGGCAGCTGGGGCTACCAGCACATGAACTGGGAAACCTATACAGGCCCCGGTATGGAACTTACCAGAATAAGAATTTAAAATGACCGGAATTGTATTTAAGTTGTACACCTTCTAATATGTTTCCTTTACAATGTAGCCATGTGTCGTGGCCATTCTCAATCCCAGTGGTACAAGTGGCTTGTGGAAAATCCCATTCTTTGGCTTTGACTAAAGGTAAAGAGAACGCTGCATCTCTATATGCTGAGTCTCTAGCATATAGAGGTAGTTCTATACTTTCTTTTGTTGCATAAATACAACTTGGCTATTGTCCTTCTATTCCAAATCACTTGCATAGTTTAAATATGTCTGTAACAAAAGTTACAGAAAGATATAATTTGAATCTGACAAAGTGATAGCATGTGTAGGTCATTTAGATGGTTTAGATGGTTAGATGGATCTATTTTGACATTAAACCAGGGTCCCTATTGCTACTAAAACTTGATTGAGTCAAAATAATAAGTCCATAAACTCTAATAACATATCTATGCGTCTTCTGGAGGTGGAGATGTGTACTCCTGGGGTCTGAACAGCCATGGTCAGCTGGGCCAGGGCAAGACTCTGTCTCTACAATACAGTCCTATGGTGGTGCATCAGCTGAGCGGAGTCGCTGTGAGCATGATCTCAGCTGGATCCAACTTCTCCCTGTTCCTGACACTGTCCGGACTGGTGTACTGCTGCGGGGCCAATGATGTGGGACAACTTGGACTCAACAGGGTCGACCAGAGAGGTACTCAAGTCCATATTTGATAACCAGTCTGACTGTTTGTATCCTGACATATCTGGTGCACTTGCATGTGCTTTAAGGACGGTTCAATGTCTGTGTCGTACCTGCCCTGCGACCGCTGGAGGTGTCTTTTGTCAGCTGTGGAGAAGCACACTGTGCCATTTTAACCAAGGTTTGTGGCCCAAAAGATGATCTGATAATATAGCAAGGAGAACAACTTTGACAGTTGTATCATCAATGTGTCATTGTGTTGAGTTACAGTAAGGTTTGGGATTAGGGTTTGAGGTTCGGAATAGGGCTAGGGTTAGGTTTGGGGTCATGACTCCTCCCAGTTCGGTCTGATACAGGTATTAGTATCAGTCAGTATCTGCAAATATTTACTGATACTAGTGTAGACACTTTTTTGTTACTCAGATGAAAGGTAACTCCATCCATCCATTTTCTACCCTTTAATCCATTTCTGGGTCAGGGGGGTGGCAATCAGAGATGCCACCCAAGTCTCATAGCACCAGCCCCTCACTGACCCTCTGCAGGTGGTGAGTCCACAGGAGGACGGCTGCTCTCTGACTGTGAGCATAGCCTTGATCTTTCAGTGGGGGCTTTGGGCAAAGTGGGGTTAAGTGTCTTGCCCAAGGACACAACGACAGCAGTCAACAGCAGGAGTTGGTGGAGAAGGTGTAGAGGTGGGAATTGAACCCACGACCTTTAGGCCTTAAATGAAAGGTAACTTATAAATGAAAAAGATAAAAAATATGGATTTAGAATTAGCCAGTGCTGGTGGTAGTATCTTGAATATTGTATAATTAGGAAATGTAGAAAACACTTGCAAACAAATGCAGTATAGATTTGGTGAAGTTTAAACCTCAATGGATCATTGTATAGAACGGCCAGGTTTGGACATTTGGAGAAGGCACCCATGGCCAGCTCGGGCACAACTCGACAGCCAACGAGCTGAAGCCGAGACAGGTCGATGGTTGGGATGGACCAGCCTCACAGGTTTCCTGTGGAAGGTAAAGTGGCTACAAATATCTATATCATTCAAAATCATCAGTTGAAATATGATCTTGTCCTAGACGTCACACTTTAGTTTTGAGTTCTTCTGGTCAGCTTTGGGCATTTGGCGATGGGACCAAAGGCCAGCTCGGAAATGACCAAACAGAGTTTAGCCTGGTTCCTGTGGAAGTCCAGCTCACAACGACCACAAGATCAAACACAGACTTCAAAATATCGGCTGGCTGGGACACAAACTTTGCCTACACATCACAGGTAGTCTTGCACACAATCAGAGCATTCATTTTAAAAGCTATTAATATAATTTTTATCAGAGTTCAAGGGAAAATCAAATCATCGGCCGGCTCGGGGAGGAAACACTGCAAAGATGGGTGTCAACATGTCAACCGATTCCAGAAGTAGTGAAGTATTTACTCATTCTATGGAGTACAGTAATATTACATCACACAGCTTTCACTATTTTTAATGATGTTCTGTCTTCACCAGAGAGCTGGTGTGGAGAAACTACTCACTCTCAAGTCTTGTTGCCAGTTTTACAAAGCCTGAGTAAGCCCTTAGTGGATGTACATTCTACAACATACTCCATTTCTAACAAATACACTTGTGTTTTTACTTTTTGGACAGGGGCTCGGTCATGGAAGCAGGAAGCATATCAGTGGATCTAGAAGCAGCCAGTAAAGCATTTGACAGGATGGTGGCAGTTCCCTGGATCAGAAATTCAGTTAGGAATCTTGAAATTGAGAACACGTATACTCCGGATCAAAGCATGAAAGAATTATGTCCTTCGTTTCTTTACAGCTGAATTTTGAGAGGTTGTTTAGCCTTCTCCTGCGGTCCAGACTCTCCATGACCTCACCAGAGTTCATCCTGCTCGCGCTGAGCTGCCCCTTGCTGCAGGAGGACTCCAATGTCATGAGAGGGGTTCTGCCGCTCGCCATCATGATCATGGAATTACAAGACGATACTCTATCTAAACTGAGTAATTCATATTGTACTGTATACTAATGCTACAATGCTTAGAATCCAAGTGTGTGATTGAATGTACTCTCTTTCTTCCCAGAAAAGTGGTGGTCTTCTGTTTCACCCACAATTTTGATGAAGCACATTCTGGTTTTCAAAAATGCCTTAGTTTTTATGTTAACAAATAACCTTTTATTGACCCACTACCCAGGCATCAAATACACGCTGAAGGTCCTCAAACTTCTCTTCAAGGTCACAACGTCACAAAGACTACAAAGCAACTCCAAATGCAAAATGTAATAGTCTGTTTTTCTATTGACAGGCAAATAAATCAGGAACGCCTTATAAAGTCCCCATCAGCACCTTTTATGTGGAGGATGTTCTCTTATGCACTGACCCACAGGAGGATATACTGACCTGGCTTCACCCTTTGGAGCAAGAGGAGAAGGTACAACTCACTGCTCTGACAACATTCATCTGAAATCATTTTCATTTATGTTTTATTTTAGGATGAACCAAAATCACCTCTCAGCTTCTGCAGCTATCCTTTTGTGCTGCCACTCATCGGCAAGCTCGCCGTCTTCAGAGTCATTACCACAGCAATGAAGGTACCAAACAACATACGATATGCACTCTTGGTGGTCTTAGATCTAGTGTAATTGTCATTACAATTTCAATGCAATGCTAAAATCAAACATGCCGGTTACAAATGTGACTTTGCAAAATGATACAATCCACCTGCTGAGGTTCAGATAGAAACAATACACACTGTTTATTATGTATGACTTATTGCACTTATTTCTGTACCTGATTTAATTTAAACAAATGTGTTGTGTAATATAAAAAATACACAACTGTATTTATAGACAGTCCATGAAGCTGCGCACAATCTCTACAATGTGTGGTCCCCTGAGTGGAGGCTTGTCGACCCTGACAGTGTCCCGGACTTTGCCCCAGCCCCGGTCTTCCAGCTGACCATTAGACGCCCCCACCTGGTGGAGGACACCTTCCGACAGCTCTATGCTGCTGACGAAGAAGCTTTCCAAAGAGAGCTTGTGGTAAATGCACATATTAATATTTACTGTGTAGTTATTGTGTAGTATCTCTTGCAACCAGTGGGTTCAAGTGTATATTCTTCACAGGTTTTTCATCATTAATTTAATTTGTTGGGAATAAAATGTTAATTTAGCATGAATACAGTTTGGTAAGAAAAGCAGACAGGACACACCATTTCAATTTAAAATGTAAACTTTATCTCAATCCTCCTGAATCTGAATCATATCGTTCATATTGTCTGGAGTTTTTTTTTGCCAAGTCTATGGTTGCCCCAATGCTTCCTTCTCTACAACAAGTTATAATCCGGTGAATTGACATGCTCCTTCTGCTGTGTGTTCCAGGTGCAGTTTGTGGACGACAGAAAGGTGACCCTGGTGAACAGAAGAGATCTTTTCCTTCATGTCTTTGAAGAACTCTTGACTCCACAATCGGACATGTTCATGCACAACGACAGCAAGACTCTGTTTTGGTTTCCTCCCAAGGCAAGTCTCATGACTTTTTTATGGGACACAGAACTGACTCGAGTTTAGGACTGGACTGTCTGCTTTTGTTTCTTTTTTAGGAAAGGCAAGGCAGGTTTATCTGTATAGCACAGTTAATTCACAAAGCATAAATAATGACAGTGCATTTAAACAACTAAACATAACTGGATTTAAGCAGCCAGTCCCTGTGCTCCTCAGAGTCACAGCTGATCTTTGTGAGGCCATGGATACAATTGTACACAAGCAGAGTCTATTCTCTGCGATAGTGTAGTGGAAATTTAATACTTCAATGAATGGATCCAAGGGAGACAACTTGTATTTGTGCAATTAAATGAAAAGGTGATGAGAATAAACAATACAATTAAACTCTGCAGAGTCAGAAAGGAGCGATGCAAACCGAAGCCTGCGTCGTCCCTCTCTGCCCTGCTCACATTCCACATTCAATAATATAGTTGTGTAAAGAAAATTCAAAGGACAAGACATGACACATGGGTGGTGGGTAAGGTGGCTTTGATTTATGCAGGAAGAGGAGATAGGACTAAGGAGGGGAGAAAAATAATTGTGCTGCACCTGCCATAACATACGATTTAATGAACCAAAGCGAGTCTTCTTGGTACTGCCTGTCCCAGGCTAAGGCCATGTGAAAGTGACCCCAGCACAGGAGGCCTTTGTTCCAATGTATCAGTGAATTTGGTCCAATAGTATTCAAATGTGAATTTTGCCATAACAATAGATAGATGTATAGATACTTTATTATCTCAGGAGGAGAAATTCAGGAAGCCAGAGCAGTCTTGGTAATCAGTGCCCTCACAGAACCAATACACTCTCTGTGTCTAAACAATAACATGTTTTCTGATCCGATAAAGACAGCATGTTGTGGTCTGATTCGTTCACTAGAGCTTCAGTGAACTCGGGACAACAGAGCTCCATTGTCTACATTATGCACTGACTGTGAATCTTTCCGACTACTGTCCCTAATATATCGAGAATATTCTTAAAATATTTCAAGTTTATTCTCATAATATTTCAAAATTAATTGTGTAATATTTTGACGTTGACATTATCAGGCAACAGACAAAAAGACAAGTTAGTTTAACAAAACAAACAAAACAAATTAATTGATCATTCTTAAAAGCTAACAATAGTAATAATAAGAAACAGCACTTCAGGTCACAGCAGCAGAGGTGGAGCAGCCGCTGGGTGGAGCAGGACAGGTCACAGCAGCAGAGGTGGAGTAGCCTCTGGGTGGAGCAGGACAGGTCACAGCAGCAGAGGTGGAGAAGCCTCTGGGTGGAGCAGGACAGGTCACAGCAGCAGAGGTGGAGCAGCCGCTGGGTGGAGCTGGACAGGTCACAGCAGCAGAGGTGGAGTAGCCTCTGGGTGGAGCAGGACAGGTCACAGCAGCAGAGGTGGAGTAGCCTCTGGGTGGAGCAGGACAGGTCACAGCAGCAGAGGTGGAGCAGCCGCTGGGTGGAGCAGGACAGGTCACAGCAGCAGAGGTGGAGCAGCCGCTGGGTGGAGCAGGACAGGTCACAGCAGCAGAGGTGGAGCAGCCGCTGGGTGGAGCAGGACAGGTCACAAGGTGGAGTAGCCGCTTGGTTCGAACCATTTTCTCTGCTCTAGTCCAAAGTAAAATGCTAAATGTTCCATCAGCATTTTTCAAAAAGTTAACATTCCTCTAGTGGATTTTTGCCTGATCCTGATGCCTGATGTTTCGGACCATGACTCCTCTCCGCTTCACTCTGGACCAGTGTAAAACCATGAACACTGTGCTGCAGCAACATTTCAGGTAGAAAAAATCAATAAAAATAACTATTGTAAAGCACAAAAACAACAACTGTGTCAGAGCTACTTAGGACTTGCTGCTGTTTCCATCCTTTCAACCCACGGAGAATCTGTCTCTTATAATCGTCTACTATTTGTTATGTTTTTTCCTCTATGATTTCAGTCTTCCAAATTTAAGGTTAAGGTCTAATTGTTCAATAGTTAATCAACCATAATGAATAAATAAATGATGTTACGTCAGCTGAAGGTGGCAGAGAAGCAGTACTATGTGTTTGGCGTGCTGTGTGGCCTGGCTCTGTACAACCTCAACATCATCCACCTGCCCTTTCCTCTGGTCCTCTTCAAGAAACTGCTCCGAGTGAAGCCTTCTCTGGACGATCTGAGGGAGTTTGAGCCGACAATGGCCCGGTAACACACACACACACACATACGCTACAACACTTTATATAGTACAAGAATTCTAATAAGTCATACTGATGTGTTTGTGGGGGTATTTTACTCTGCAGGTCCTTTCAGTGCATCCTGGAGGAATACACGCCTGAAGTGATCTCAAGCCTCAACACCACGTTTGCTGTACGTTTGCTTGTGTTTAGCATCTCAGTCAAATTTGTTTAATCATTTGTACCATTTTTAGAGCTACTTATACAGACATAACAGTGAACAATTTAAGTAAGGTCATAATGTGCAGTATGGGCCACCTGTATCCACTGTTACTTACTTCAGACCTTGGGGGCTCTTTCTTACTATGTAAAAGATAACATGTTGGCTAGTAAGAGGTTTTGGTCATGACAAGGCAAGTTTATTTGTATAGGACAATTCATACACAAGGCAACTCAAAGTGCTGAACAAAATGAGATCATGTTAAAATCATAAATAATCACAGAACATTAAAAAGAAAGATAAAAATATAAAATCCCTCAGTTGTATGCACAGCTAAACAGAACTGTATTTAACCTGGTTTTAAACATTGTCAAAGAGGAGGCCTGTCTCACATCTTCAGGAAGACTGTTCCATATTTTAGCAGCATGAATCTGAAAAGCAGCCTCCCCATGTTTAGTTCTGACTCTGGACACTAACAGGAGTCCCTTCCCTGTGCTCCTCAGAGTCCGTGTTTATAAAATGTTACTTTGACAAGATATAGTTTGGTGCCGCAGCTTTAATCGCACTGTGGTAAATAAGTGGGAATTTTATTGTGTTTTCATCTCAATAGAATTAAAATCACTATTATATATCTATTTTGTTTTCAGGCGCCTTGGGGAGGTGAAGTCGCAGAGCTAGATCCAAAGGAACCTGGAAAACCTGTCACAAGTTCCAACAAGTATGACATTAGTAGTAATAATAGTAAATGATGATTGCCAGTTATAACAGTATTTTAGAATATACATGTATGTTGCAACAGAAAAGCGTTCGTAAGCACGTTCATCAACCACGCTTTCAACACATCGGTGGCGAAGGCGTACGAGGCCTTTGAGAGAGGCTTCTTCAAAGTGTGCAGTATGAAAGTGGTGGATCTGTTTGAGCCTCAGGAGCTGCAGGAAGTGCTCATAGGGAAGGACTCCTGGGACTGGGAGACTCTAAAAGAGGTACATTAGTTTGATATGAGTTGAAAATTTGGAGTTGGGGTCTTCAGGAAAGAGGTTTAGTGTTCCCCGTTGCCAACTGAGCAGATATAAATACTTTTTCTATTGGCCTTTTGAACAGAGCCATATACAGTAGATTAAGCACAGAGCGTCAGGTTCAATAATTGGGACGGACATTTGTGTGGATGATGGAGATTATGGATTGTTTTGTTGTTTAATTGCTATTTTTTTATTTTGTATCTGTTTGCTTCTGAATAGTTGTTTGTACACTGGTTGGCTGCAGCATGGGTGAATGACAAAGACAATTGTTCCATGTCTGGGACGATAAAGTTTATCTTGAATCTTGGAATTTACCAGCTACAAACACAGTGTCTTGCAAAGAAAGTATTTTCACTTGAGAAATTGCCACAAAAAAATTACGCGCAAGACTCATGTTTTAAAAGGCAGAAATCTTTTCTTGAGTGTGATGTCGCACCGGTGCAATGACATTATACTATTACAGGACTGAGACTGGAGCTTTTAGACAGAAGGGGCGGAGTTACATGTTTGTTGAAGTTCTTGATATTAGCGTGAGTGGATCTAAAAGCAACTCCAGGTCTGTTTTAGATGATATACTAATGTTGTCAAAAACAAATGTGCATAATGTCTCTCATAAACCATCATTCCAAAAGTTGGAAGTTAAGAGTAAAAACTTACTGTTATAAAAATGTGCAAATTTATTGTAATTATCCTTTTTGTAATTATTTTATAGTGGTACTAGAAGGGTGCTATTATAGACATGTTCCACTTCTAAATCAGTTTTAGGAATAGTGTTTTTTTACTCCTGTATTCCAGGTCTTTGAACCTATATCCATTTGCCCCTCAACAGTCAGAGTGTGTGGAAACCATTAAGTCCCATTTGTTATTTAAGAATTATTTGATGATGCTAAAGTTATGTTTGTGACCTCTTGTTTGCATTGTGTTTGTTGTACGCAGAACACAGAATATGAAGGAGGTTACCATGCCGATCATCCCACCATCATTACGTTTTGGCAAGTTCTGTTTGAACTGACGGAAGATCAGAAGAAGGGCTTCTTTTGTAAGTTAAAACGGGCAAAAGACTCGCATACCTAACTTTGTTTCATATGTACAGGGGTTTTCCCAACATAAGAGTCTTGTTTAGGTAACATTTTGTGAACAAATCAAAACACAACTTTTCAACGATTTACTGAGCGTGAGGGCAGGTACTTTTTGTCACTGAAAAAGCTGCAACATACCTGTATTTGACAGAGGCTAAAGATACATATGTGAAAAACTATTTTGTGAGTGAGGAACTAGTTGGATAACAGCGTTTTGTTGTTGTTTTCTTGTGGTTTCAAAGATTGGTACTCCAGCTGTAAAAATGTTCAAATCCATCTTGTACATTAAACATGTTTTTTCCCAGTGTTTGTGACCGGTTATAGCCGTGTGCCCTTCATGGGGATGAAGAGCATTAGGATGACCATCGCTATGAAGCAAGAAGGCACAGAGGAGCACTTCCCAGAAGCCCTCACCTGCCACACTCTGCTGATCCTACCCCTGTACCAGAGATACCCCCTGGAGAGGACCATGAAGGCCCGTCTGCTGCAGGCCATCAACCACAACCGAGGCTTTTGGAAGGAATAGGTCCATAACTGTATATCCATCTGTTCAGTTTTAATTCATATATTATTACATGCTAGTTTATCTGGCTTAGATAAGCAGACATAATGTATGGTCTTGATTATTGCAGTGCATGTCTTATTTTAAATATAATCCAAGTTACAGTCTATTAAACAAAGTTCCCAAAACTGTCCTTTGGTTTCAAATTATTTATTATTCCTGAAAAGTCTCTTCAGTGCATTTTAATTTAAACGTGTTACACTTGCTTTAGTATCATTAAGAGGTTAGAAAAACAAAAACTGTTGTATTCTTGTTTACAACGTAAGCTCGTGTTTTTAAATGTTGAAAGATATTGCACTACTGAACATAAAACCCTGTGCTTGCACTGCCGCACACGACAGCATTGGATACATTTGCATATTTAACTAAAACCGTTCCAACAAGTTTAACCAATATCCTTCCCTTTCTTTTTGCCAATTCTTATCAATTTTCTTGTTCAATGACTACAGTGGCTTAATAATAACTACAACATATGCAAACAGAAGATGAGATACAAGCAGAATTAGCCCTATTGTGCGTGTGTATGTGTGTGTGTAATGTTGAACTGTGGCTTGAGGTTCATGTGCTTTTTCAGTGTAGGCTCAGATGAAGTCCTTACAAACAAAAATACTTAAATAATCTTTAAAAAAGTGACAATAATTACACAATATAGAAAACATGTAAAGCTCTTGCTACATATCACATAAAAAGACATGGCAATACTAGAGACACGGCGCTGCTATGGCATAACCGAACCGTGGCCCATATTGTCTAATTATGATTTCTATAAACACATGACTTGAGAGCGAATGTCCTTGAGTTTGGGAGAAGTGGAGAGGACCCATGTTGTTCCCTGGGAGGGTGCTTGGCGCAGAGTTGGGGTTGCCAGTTCATCGTAACAGTTTTATCTGACCAGGTGGAAGGTGAGCCAGTACATGAAGACGGGTTGTGCGGCTGCTATGGCCATGGTCAGATACATCCTCAGCTGGTTTCTCGTCCCTCGAACCAGTCTGCCCTCAGCCGCCGACTCGGAGAGGAGCTTCAGGCGCAGGGTCCGAATCTGCGGGGGACGGCGTGGGTAACCGTGGATAAAGCAGAATTAAAGATTAAGATGAAGAAATCCTTTATTGGTCCCACAGTGGGGAATTTCAGTGTTGCATTACTGGTGATGCTAAAGCAGGAAAATGAACACAACTCTGTACTAAACTCTTTACTAAATAAAATAACATAACATAAAATCTCTAGCTTTTGCATAATAAGGAAGCAGTCAATAATCTATAATATATAACTTCTTGCTATGCTCAGTGATCAATGCAAAAGGATGCAAGCACGAGTCAGGTTTGTGGAGAGGCAAGCAGACACTGAGAGGAACAGGCTCTACCACTTGTTTCTATGGAGGTTATGGCTGCACATGATTATGGTGATAAGGACGGGGCTAACGATATACAAAGCGATAACTTTCTTCTCCAAAGGCATCAGTCGTTTCAGCCATTAGACCAAGTGAGTCCGCAACAGCAAATGGCAGAACTTGTGCATGAAAAAAAGCTTTGATCAATATTGCACTTGTCCATACTGTGACAATTATAATTTTTCTTTACATTACAGAGTTACTGCTCCTGGAAAGTTCTGCATTCATTTTTAAAAGACTTTAAGACCTGAAACTACTGTAGATCTGCGCCATATTATATCATCCTAAGCAAGCGTTAGTATGTTCAAATTGAAAGTGTAAAACAAATTTAAAATTGGTGGCTGGTCTTACCATGAATACAAATATGGCCGCACAGCACCAGAGTAGGGAAAGGTAGTAGACTAGCCGCCCAAATAACAAGCCCAAGACTACGCCAACAATCATGCTGAAAAACAAAAATCAGGTTTGGTTTAAAAGCAGGGTTATGATAAACATTGTGAACAAGCAAAAAAAAAAAAGACATACCCAACATATTTGTAGCCAGCAAAAGCCAGCAGGTCTATAGTGGTGAGGTCGGTGTTAACGGTCACCAGGTACAGGGACAGAAGGACAGCGAGCACCTCCATGACCAGCCACACAAACGCTGAGCTGGCCTGGACTCCCAGCAGCTCTGGGGAGAATCTGAGGACCACAGGAGAGATAAGGTTTGTCCCCAGCCCTCCAACAAAAGTGAATCAACTTTTTATACAGAGTTATTGTCTGAGTACTTGTTCTGTGTGCCCAGTGCCAGCCCAGCAACCAAAATGTACGTGATGAAACCCATAGTCGGAATGTACAGATCAGGAGCGTTGACGTCGAAGCGTGGGGCCACAGGGATGTCCTGTTGGTAGTTCACCTCCCAGTTCTGAGACACAAACATACATTACAGATACAGCTCTATATGGGACAATGTGCAAAAGAAAGCATTTTATCTACTCCTTTCTGATCATGGAAATGTTCAAAAAATAAAGTGGAATGAAGATGTTACTTGTACAACTATACATTTTTATGAAAAGTATAAAATAACTTGTGTCTAACTGCCAAACACAACAAGCACCGTCATACCTCATGCATGTAGGGGAAAACAAGGAGGCCTAGTTTCTTTCCCACATAGACCGTGTCCACAGCAAAGTAGTATTTGAGCTTTGAAATGGGAATAAACCTATCCAGCTGTAAAGAACAAATACACATTCATTTTATTGTGCCCTAAAATTATTATTTACAATAGTTGGAGAGTAATAACAAGCAGAGAAATGTGTGCCAGGGCTTACGTTCTTGTCCATTAACTCCTTCCCCTGAGTTGCCAGTGAGCTGCCATAGGCCATGGCCAGGTTAGACATGGGGTCAGAGAAACCAGGGAACCCGTGGTCCCCAGTCTGCGGCCTGGGGATGCAAAAGAATTAATCAATACAATACCATTATATATCTATACAGTTTAGCACTTTATTAATGGTAATGGGAGAAGCAGCACAACAACACATGATAAGATCACAAGAAAGCCTAAATTATCTTCAGTGATTATGAATAAACTCTCACTTGTATCCTGCTTGTGATCCATGGCGAGCTCCACTTGTGTCTTCAAACAGCTGGCTAGCATCTGACGCGTCCATCGAGCTATTCCGTGCAAGAATGTTTGGTTCTACAGAAAATAGTAAAAATGTTTCAGAGTTCATAACAAGAGACAAAACCACAATTTGGAAAACAAACACATGACTTTAAAAGACTTAAATTGTTATTGAAATGATGTCACTAACAATCAAAGTAGAACAAATATCACCGTCTGCATTTTCAACACAGCATGCAACGCTGAGATCCTTAATGGTTAAAAGTGAAAAGACACATGAGACAACTTATATAACTCAAACTTTAAACTGAAGGCTAGTACCGCCCTAAACTATTTCCAGTCATTGACAATCCAGAAGAACAAGTAGCTCAGTTGAAATACTTTGCGGAGTGTTTCTAAATTAATTGGTGCACAATAGTAGTTTTTAATTATTCAACCTATATTAGTCATAATTATACTGTCTTTGCATCGATATCCAGTGTACCTTTGGAATTGTACACCTGGTAGTATTTATATTTTTACACTGTTCCTTCCATTTGGATTGTGGTGATTTTTAATAGACTTTTAGCAACTCTCTAATCTGTGAAAGTACACAGATTAGTAGTCTATAAGTGATTATAGTGAACATATGGACAGTGACATCTGGGATCAATCCAGTGTTTTGAAGCAGTCCTTGTTCTAAAGCCTGTGTCCTGGATCTACAGCCAGTCCGTACGTGGGAGCGGATCCCTCTCTCAATGTCTTGTTTTGAGTCAATCCTTGCCAACACAGTGGGATCTGACAACATGTATGGACATTGGTCATCCCACTCTCTATGGACCAATTGCTCCTATGTGTTTGTTGTTATTGCATTTGCTGTGCTGTGCAAAAATACATTGAATTGAGTTGAATCAGCATTAACGCCTGTTGTTACAATACTAAAATGATTGAGCTGCAGTTAGAACACAAATACCAACACAAAAATGGTATAAACAGATCTGGGATAACGTTACAAGACATGCTCAGATATTGTTACAATGTGTCCTGTTGACCCATTTCTTTCAGTATACTTTCAGAAAAGAGTATCCATTTTGATACCATCTTTAAAAAGGATCAATCTGATTTTCGATACTTCTGAGAGCCCTATCTGCAGAGCAAACCAACATGTTAGAAAGACATTGGTAGTGACAGCAGCAGCCAGGAAGGCACAGGCGAGCTTTAATATTAGCATAACACAATCCAGTCTGTAATGAAGTCAGGCCTGGATGTTTTTGCTGTAATGTAATAAAGTCATTGCATCTAAGTGGTGTCTGGCGGCTACAGAACACAGTGGTATGTGTCTGAGCAGGTCTTTTTCGCCGGAGGGAGCTAAAAACACATGCTAACAGCAGCTCATTTTACATCCAGTGCAACAGAGTAGAGCCATGTGCCACAGCATCTTATAGACACACATGACGGAAGAGGCACGTACGTAACTTACGCTGTCTGAACCCACTCTGATCTGCGCTGTAATCCATCTGGAGAGGAATAAGAGAGAAATGTGAGGGTTTAAACGGTACGATTATGGGAAGGGGGAGTCATTCATAACACAGCACGGAAGTAAACACAGTGGTTTTATCTGATGTGGAAATTCACTGTCGCCATCTTGTGGTAACAGTCAGTAACTAACGGCAAGGTTGCATCTGAATCCGAATGGGCTAAATGCACGGGGAGGCGTGACGTAATTTCCTGTTAACAAAGCACAGCCCTTTCAATTCAATTCAATTCAATACTTTATTTCGGACACAAGAGTAAAGGTCCATATTAGAAGACATACAACAACAACAACAACAAAAATACACATAAAAACAAGTAAAAAGTTAAAAGATAAGTCATTTCCTGTATAAGCTCTGAAGCCAGTGAGTCCATATACTGGAGAAATAACGCACCGAGCTCAGACCTTGGTTGGTCAATACAGCAATGATGTTGTTGACAGAGTGGGACAGTCTGCACATGCACCTGTACATGAGATTACACAGTACAGCAGGACAAGTGGGCACACCTGCATTTACAAACATGGCACTGGCACTGCTCCATTGTGGGACCCTCAGCAGCATCTGCATGGGATCATTGTATGCCACAGATAGTTTTTGCAGACTGCTCTTTTTATAGCACCTCCACAGGTGGGCTGTGTACATGGGAGTGCAATATGCCTTAACTCATTGAATGCCAGCCTATTTCAGAACAGGTACTCCCACAGTGCCAGCCATTTCTGATGATTTTTACTGATTTTTCAAGACCCACAGAATATTGTGTACTATGACTATCTGAAATCCGACACCAGATTCTAAAAGAATGGACTGTCTACTTTCCTCAGCAAAAAGAATTTTGTTTATAGCTTTTTTCGTTCCCCTGTTATCCTTTGTTGAGTAGAGGGAAGTTTTACTGAAATCACCAGAAATCACCAGAAAGCTGAGAAAAAAGAGGCACAACATGTGCACCTACATGTTTTCAAACCATTCAGAGAGCAATGCTGCCACCTGCTGGCTCGATAAAATATGGTCTCAAGTCATCCCCATACATATTAGATACAATAGACATCTGGGAACGTGAAAATAGCGAAAAAGGCAATTGACGGATTAATGCGTCAATGGCACACGACGTTACTATTTGCTTTGACGTATTTGTGCGTCAATGGGACACAATGAGAGTCTTATCTTGACAGGTGGTGAGCACATACCAAACATGCGGATCAGCATGTTGGCCTGGCCATAGAGCATGCGACATTGTCTGTAGATGTCCCTGTCGTCTGATAAGTCAGCAGACATGTAATGCCCCAGGTATTTACATTCATCTGACACACTCATTCTGTTTCCCGACAGAATGAAATCAGGGAACGACAGCTTGGAGTCCCCCCTGCTCCGTACTATCATAACAGTGCTTTTCTTTGCGTTGTACTTTATGTCAAAGTCTGTTCCATACTGGGAGCACACCTGCAGCAGCTCTTGTAGCCCAACACTATACGGACTAAAAATTGCAAGGTCGTCAGCATACATTATGTGGTTAATTACACTGTTGCCGACCCGACAGCCAGTCCCACAGTCATTTAAAAGTTTTGACAGATCGTCCATATACAGATTGAATAAAAAGGGAGACAAAATGCTGCCCTTTCTCACTCCATTAGACACACAGAAAGGTGCTGATAAACAATTTCCCCATTTAACAAACATTGACTGTTGGGAGTACCAGAAAGCCAAAATTCTTACTAAGTAAGTAATAAGTAAGTAATTATTTATATACCGCCTTTTCACTGCAGAGCTGAGTCTCAAAGCGGTTTACAATTGTTATTTTTTTGGGCATTAGTCTCTCACTCCACACAGAGATGGGAGCGGGGGCCAGTACAGGAGGCACATGCCAGACCTATTGTACATATTTTTAGTGGTAGGGGAAACCGGAGTACCCGGAGGAAACCTACGCAGACACGGGGAGAACATGCAAACTCCACTCAGAAACTCCATTAGACACACAGAAAGGTGCTGATAAACAATTTCCCCATTTAACAAACATTGACTGTTGGGAGTACCAGAAAGCCAAAATTCTTACTAGGCATTTCGGAACACCTCTCATGTACATCTTAGAGAACAGTTTTTCATGATTTACATAATCAAAAGCCTTTCACTTCCTGCCTATGCTATCCTATGGTTTTAGGCGGGTTTTAGTGACGTTTTTTAGTAATTAGATCGATACATTCAGCTGAGACTGACCCAAAAGTGTCACTGTGCTTTCTCTCTGAGGTAGAGCTTCGACTGTGGCCACTCAGAGAGATTTGTAAACTTTATAAAAACACAATGACAGCACAATCAAAGAGCACTGCTGTGTCCCAAAAATGCCCAGTATCCTACAGTTTAATTCCCGTCTGAGCATTATTTGGGAAATACGTGTAAACCACTGCTGAACTCCAGTGAAACTCAAGCCATTTCCCGCGAACAGGAAGTGAAGTGGGGTAGTAGCTAAAACGCGGAAGTGGTGCATGCATAGAACCCATTTAGCAAAACATCCTTGCTCTAGCTTTAAAGTAATAGTCTGTAACTCTAAATGAATTAAAAAAAAATAAGAATTATATTAAATTGACCTCCTGTCCTTAAATGTTGATAAAAAATAAGTCATTTTATTAATTCTAATATTACGGGTAAGTCCCGCCTTCCCTTCTCTTAGCTATAGCTAAGAGTAAGTTAACCAATCAAGTGATGCCAAGGGCTGTCAATCATCGCGCTGATGCTCGGAGCTGCTCATGCTCAGTTGTTTGTTTTCGCGGGGCCTCCGAATCAAGCCTTTATAGGCTCTGGAACTACATGAAAACTGAACAAAGAATTCTGAACATCTGCGCTGAGTTATTTAAATACTGAACCTATATCCATAATCATTTATATACTGAACCTATATCCCTAATCATTTATATACTGAACCTATATCCATAATCATTTATATACTGAACCTATATCCATAATCATTTATATACTGAACCTATATCCATAATCATTTATATACTGAACCTATATCCATAATCATTTATATACTGAACCTATATCCATAATCATTTATATACTGAACCTATATCCATAATCATTTATATACTGAACCTATATCCATAATCATTTATATACTGAACCTATATCCATAATCATTTATATACTGAACCTATATCCATAATCATTTATATACTGAACCTATATCCATAATCAGATCCTCTGCAGATGTGTCCGGTAATGTTCAATCAACGTTAATAGCTACTTCCGGGTTTGCCTCAATCACATTTTTTGTGCATTAAAACATTATCTTTGTCATGAAAACTTTAACAAAAAATTCTGAAAACCTCAGTGCATGTGTATTAATAATATATATGTATAATGTGTTCTCTGATTAACATTTAAATGTGTTACGGAAACGTAGGCATAGACCAATCAGAAAGGAAGGGGGAGGAGCTTGGGTCATTTTTTTCAAATCCTGTACCTCTCTCTCTTTTTTCTGACAAACTCCAGACAATCACTTTAACATTGATATTTTATGGGATGAGGTAGCTCCAATTCTTGTTAAATGAAATGGACAACCTCCAAAGATGTTTTAATGGTCAAACTCTATACTACAATGGTTAATATACATGAGAAGGAACGATTAGAAAGGAAGCACATTTTTCTTTTCTGTGGACATTTGTCTGTGAATAAAGATGTAGGTGCACTTTATTTATCCCCGTAAGGAAACGTATCCCAGGCTGGGAACCTATTTCCAGATGTTTATAAATGCGTAGCTTGGTTAGAACTACCACAGTTGGAGGATTTTACCTATACATAATCCGGGACATTTATTGACACATATTGTATAAGTTTTAGTGGTATAGGAGAAACTGGAGCACCCTGAGAAAACTTATGTAGGCATGGGGAGAACATGCAAAGGGGCAACTGTTTCATATTTTGGATGAAAGAGTTTGTTTTAAATGTTTTATATTCCATTTAAAATAGAAAAATCCCAATTGTCAGATAAATTCTAGAAAATAATAAAAGTGTGCTGACTCCCAGTCCCAACCACATAAATGATAAACCATATACAACTTTACACAGACAATTGTAACTACAGTAGCTGAAACATTTCCGTGAAAAGGGCCTATTATTTTAACAGGGTTTTATTTTTAAGGTTACGATCAGGCGTTAGGTTTGTTTTACTGGAAAAATCACAGGAACTTTCCTTCATGTAGATTGTATCAGCCAGGCATGCAGGTTTGCTGCCAAACGTGTTCTTCTGTAAACCATGTAATTAAAGAACAGCTTACACAAAGGTTGTAAAGACCAAGACAGTCTGCATCACTGTCACATAGGTTCCTGAATGATCATCTGGAAACATGGCAAGACCTTCTTCCATAGGTGAGTATGGATGAATGCCGGCTTGTCTTTTTGTGTATACTGTTATAGATGATAGCTCATGTTGTGATTGTTACAAGTGTAGGGCTTCATCATCTCATATGTTTTACTGTTACTTATTTTATTTTATACTTCATATCATATTCTATCAATTTTTAACCTGTTTACGTAGAGCCCTGTTTCAAAATGTATTGTTGTATTGAATTAGGACAGTGCATTGGAAAGTAAAAATAAATAAATGCAAATATAAAAGATTTTAGCCGACACATCCATTCATTAACATGCATATGTGATTGTTTCGTATACTGAGACACATTTGTGAATTTTATGTTATTGTTTCCCACATAAAAGATCCTATGAATCAAAATAATAATGCATCGGTTTTATATAGCGCTTTTCTGGACACTCAAAGATGCTTCACATGTCATTATTCTTTCATTCCATACACGGTGGTGATAAACTACTACTGTAGCCACAGCTGCCCTGGGGCACACTGACAGAAGCGAGGCAACCAGTCTGTGACATCAGCCCCTCCCACCACCACCAACCATTCACACACACACCAGACTCATTCTAGGCAATGGGGGTGAAGTGTCTTGCCTAAGGACACAACGGCAGTTTGGCACTTTACAGCCGCCCCACTGTGGCTGCTGTTCCCAAAGGTTAAGTGTCTTGCCAAGGACACGACAGCAGATGTCAGTGGGAGTCGATGGTGAAGGTCGGGTTCGAACCCACGACCCTCTGGCTCAAAGGCCAATGCTCTACCAACTGAACTACTGTCGCCCTGTAGTCCTCTGCTTTGTGACAGCTCTTTGTGTAATACTTCATGGATAATGGATATTGCATATTTGTACAGAAGTAAATGTATAATAAATACCATTTCTATTTTTGTCTTGATCGTTAGATTCAACTTTTGATGGGGAAATTCGAGTTGTGCTGATTGGAAAGACTGGGAATGGGAAGAGTGCGTCTGGTAACACCCTCCTGAACCAAAACGTGTTTGCTTCAGTCCTCTCTCCATCTTCAGTCACTTCAGAGTCCCAAAAGTCCAGAGGGACAGTCCATGGGCGGAGGCTTGCTGTCATTGACACCCCAGGGATCTTTGACACCAAATACAAAGAAAAGGAGGTTGTGCAAAAGTTGAAGACGTGTATTTCCATGTCTGCTCCTGGACCCCATGCCTTCCTCATTGTGATAAACCTGACACGGTTCACCGAAGAGGAGCAGAAGTCAGTGGAACTCATCCAGCATTTGTTTGGGCCCAAAGCCACAGAGTACTCCATGGTCCTCTTCACACATGGTGATCAACTGGGAAACACAACCATTGAATCCTACATCCGTCAATGCCCAAAGCTCACCAGGTTAATCAGGAAATGCAATGGTCGCTATCATGTCTTCAACAATAATAGTTGGACAAGCACACAGGTGCCAGAGCTTCTTCAGAAAATGGAAAATATGGTTGCAAAGAACGGGGGAAGCTACTACACAAACAGCATGTTTCAGGAGGTTGAGAGAGCTGTCCAAGAGTCTATGGACAAGAATTTGAAAGCTAATGCTGAAAAAAAACGCAAGCACGAAAAAGCACTCAGGGCTGAACTGAAAGGGGAGATTTTACAGACTAAGTTAAAAGAGTTACAATATGAATATAACATACAGGCAAGAGAAAAGGCTGAGAAGAAAAACAAATATATTTTCCCCGGTTTAGTTCTGGCCTTTGCTGAAGCGGGTGTGGCGATTGGCACAGGGGCAGGTACTGTCTGCGGTCCGGTCGGTATGGGTGTGGGGGCAGTGGTGGGGGGTCTGGCCGGGGTCGCATTAGGATTGGTACCAGCTGCAGTAGTCGCCATCAAAAACCAGTGTGTTACACAGTAAAAAAAACACATCAAGTTCCTGGACGTTGAATGTTGTCTGTCTGGAACTTGGGCATTTCCCCAGGATAAAGTTGAATGACTGGTTTGTGTTTTTTGATTTTAGGTCATGTGTGTGTGATGATCTTTTGTAAAAAATCTACCAAATGAAAAAATAATTGTACAAAGATAAATGTACCTTATACCAGTTATAATTGTATCAATACTTTTTTTTTTTACTTTTATCTACAGACATTTTTCTGTTGATAAGTGTTAAAACTCCCACCAATGTTTATATGTCTTTTGCATCAGTAAATGAGCAACATTTGTAATTTCAATAAAGCTAAAAACAGCATTCCAGCAACACTCCCTGCAATAGAGAGATAACTTAAATAGTCAATCATGAAAGTCACAACTCTCCGACTTCACAAATGATTCTAAATATTATTGTTTATGTAATATTGAAAAAAAAATAATAATAAGAGAAGAGGGAGAGAAGAAAATGAAGGGGAAAGGAAGGAAAAAGGGAAAAAATAGCAAAAATAAGTTCTCTTCCCACATGCATCTCAAGCCTACGCTTTTAATGCACAACATCTCAAGTCTGTGATTAACGCACCACACATTCACAAGACATATTATGCAGGGATGCTGCCGGAAGAGTACCACCAAAAATATTAGTATGCCTAGATATTGTCATTGCTTCCCTCTTCAACATTTTGACCACCTTCTTCTAAATGATCACAGCCCATTGATCCTGTTTTTTTTTTTCTCTCCTCCCTCTCTCACTACGAGTCAATAAATGAAAACCATCAACACCTTCAGATACCTAAAAAGTGATACACAAAAAGTGAATATGCACATACGCACATACACACAAGCACGCACGCACACACACACACACACACTGAACCTCCTTCCCCCCACTCTGACCCTAAGTAAATGCTGTATGCTTGTGTTGTATTTGTATGGACGAGCTCCTAAAAAGGTAGTGACGTTCGTATGTACAAATGTGTTTGAATGTCCATGTTGTAATACTGTATATTGTGTACGCCTATAATAAAAAATAAAAATAAAGAAATAAACAAGGACTTTGTGTTTCCACGTGTAAAGGCAGCAGCTCTATCAGCACTTATGCAGATCGGCTGTGTATTCATCATGACACTCTCACATACTGTACAACACAGAGAGTGTGTGGGAAGAGGCTTACATGCATGCATACTATTTTAGGAGCTCTATGTGCAGGACTAATTGCACCTAAAGCTAGTGTACAATAGAGTTCTACTGCCATCAGATTGTGTTGTGGCTCTGCACACGTGACACATCTGCAGCTTCACACACAACAACAAGGCGCCAAACAGGAGAGAGGATTAACTGGAATCACATCACCGGTGGAATCTGAAGCAACACAAACACAGCTAAGTGGCAAGTTTTAGAAATAAGTTTGGTTCATTTGGAATATTGTGATGTACTTTATTCTCAATCAATCAAAGTTTATTTGTAGAGCGCCTTCCATACACAGGGCAACACAAAACGCTTCACAGTACACATCACCCAAATCAACACATAAAACAAACACCAGAATCACAATTAAAACATTAAAATCACACAAGAAATTAAAATCATTAATAAAATTATTAGAAAATAAATAAATAAATAACCACAGTGCATTAAAAATGGAGATAAAATCCTTCAGTTGTGTGCACAGGCAAACAGAACAGTCTTTAACCTGGATTTGAACACTGTCAGAGTAGACGCCTCTCTCACATTTTCAGGGAGACTGTTCCAGATTTTTGCTGCATGGATCTGAAATGCGGCCTCCCCATGTTTAGTTCTGACTCTGGACACTAACAGGAGGCCAGTCCCTGTGCTCCTCAGAGTCCGAGCCGGTTCATATGGCACCAACATTTTACCAATGTATTTTGGTGCAAGGCCATGGAGAGACTTGTAAACAAGCAGAGCTGCTTTAAAGTCCACTCTCTGAGCCACAGGAAGTCTGTGAGCAGGTCATTGCAGTATGTCACTCCCGTATTCGTCCCGGAAACCGGATTCGTCCGGAAGTTCAGTTTGCGCATGTCAAAAAGTGTAATAAGTCCTTAAGTGGTGACTGGTTAAGTTTAGGCGTCTGATTAAGGTTAAGTTTAGGGTAAGGGCTGGGTTGGGGTTATTTTATGGGAATGGCTGGTTAAGTTTAGGCATGAATAGGTAGTTTTTTATATTTACTTCCACTTCTGTCCAGATTCCGTGACGTAATCTACTGCTGCGTATGATCAGTGGATCAAACTGAACTTCCGGACGAATCCGGGAGTGACACAGTAGTCTAACCTACTGGAGACAAATGCATGGATAAGAATCTCCAGGTCTGCTTTGGACACTATGTTTCTAACTTTGGCAATGTTCTTCAGATGGTAAAAAGCTGTTGATGTTATTGATTTTATGTGGCTCTCCTGGAATCAATACATTTTCAGAAAGATGAAAAGTGACGTTGCTATTGTGATTGACATTTCAAAATAAAATATCAAAATAATTTAGAATTTCTCTTATAGAAAAATGTAGCATCAAACAGGAAGCTGACACTCATGGATAAAGGGGAACTGTCATGGTTTAGGTTTATGTTTTGTTTTGTAATTTGTCAACCCCTGTATATTCAGTTGTACTTCCTGTTTCCTGATTACCCGCGCTGCCCTCGTTTGTATCACCTGTGTCTCGTTAGGCTTTTGTGTTTAAAAACTGTGTATTTCTTGACTTCCTGTTCAGTCATTGCCAATGCCATGTCCCTTTTAGTTTTTGTTTTCGGTCAATGTTTAACTACTTTTTGCGTCGTTTACTCCTGATATAGTTTTGTATTACGTTTGATTAAGTTCCAGTCGTGCAGTTTGGGCTCATTTAATTTGGACACATGACAGAAACTTTAAATGGAATTCAATAGGTCTACATTTAGAGAAGAATCACAGTTCTTTCTTCTCACGGTGGTTAGATGGTCCTGGGTTCGAACTCCAGCCCGTCAGATCTTTCTGAGTGGAGTTTGCATGTTCTCCCAGTGTCTGTGTAGGTTTCCTCCAGGTGCTCCAGTTTCCCATGTACCACTACACACATGCACAATAAATAAAATCCTCCAGCTCTGGTCCTGACTCAGCAGAACATCAACATCTCAAATGCAGAGCACAAATTGCGCTACGGGGATAAATAAAGTGTAACTAAACCATAAACTATTTCATCCATCTTATTTAACAGTTTGCATCAAGTTGCTAAAAATAATACAGAATACATAAAAAATCATAATACAGTTGTATTGATACACAAATCAATACAACTAAATTTAGCAACCGTTTACTGCCCCCTCACCCACCCTCGACATTCAGCCACGTACATTCTGTTTTCTATTGGGAAGGATGTCTTAATTTATGATAAACATAAAAAAGGAAAATAGAAAAGGACCATATGTTTTTTCTAGGGCTGTCAAAATTATTGCGTTAACACACGTTCATTAATGTTTCATTAACCGCGTTAAAAAAATTAACACATTTGACGCATGAAGCGAATGACCCGCCCCATAATAACCATAGACTGTATATATTAACAGACAGAGTCACGCCTATATCCGCCGTTCAAACAAATGGGCCAAAACATGTGCTCTACTGGAGCTATCCAAAATGGCCGCGAGTGGTCCCGCCCACAAGAAAATTGTGAAAAAACACATCTGCACATGCGTCAGCCGGAGAGAGCTCCATTCATTTGAACGAGAGACTTCACAGCGAGTAAACTAGAGTGGACCAAAAAAATCCACCCCCCTCAGCATTGACACACATGTGGATTCTTCTTCTGGGTCCACCCCCACAGGCCCAGGGTGGTATTGCAAGCATGTCAGCGCACGTCATTTTGGCCACTTTTGAGCTGAAACCCGCCCCCACAGATAATAACACTCAGAAAGGACGCGGACACATGCGTGTGTGAGATGGCGACAGAGCAGGCAGGCATTAGTTAGCATTAGCATAAGTTCTTGTAAGCTGTAATCACTGATGAAATGATACAAAAGCAACGCACTGCTAATAAAATATACAGAACAATAACTGAAAGATTACCACTAGTTTCGCATCCAAAGTTAGTCCGAGGCGGTCCCGCTCGCAGGTCTCTCCAGAGGACACGATGTAAGCTGGCTATATTCACCCGGGCTTGATTTGATGAGCTCAACTTTTAATTAACTTTTAATAAAACTTATAAAACAGCTCCCCCCTGGACTGCCACCTTAACGTGGTGGGGGAGTTTGAGTACTCGGATGATCCTGGGAGCTATGCTGTCTGGGGCTTCATGCCCCTGGTAGGGTCTCCCATGGCAGACAGGTCTCAGGTGACGAGTCAGACGAAGAGCAGTCAGAAGCCAACATGGACAGCACGAAAAGAAGAACCGTGACGTCGCCCGGCATGGCGCAGCCGGGGCCCCACCCTGGAGCCAGGCCTGGGGTCGGGGCTCGAATGCGAGCGCCTGGTGGCCGGGCCTTAGCCCACGGGGCCCGGCCGGGCTCAGCCCGAAAGGACGACGTGGGCAGTCCCTCCTGTGGGCCCACCACCCGCAGAGGGGTCCGTGGAGGCTCGGTGCAGAGAGGACTGGGCAGCAGTCGAAGGCGGAGACCTCGGCGACCCAGTCCGCACACCCAACATCTGGCTCTTGGGACGTGGAACGTCACCTCACTGGGGGGGAAGGAGCCCGAGCTTGTGGGGGAGGTCGAGAGGTACCGACTAGAGATAGTCGGCCTCACCTCCACACACAGCTTGGGCTCTGGAACCCAACTCCTTGAGAGGGGTTGGACGCTCCACTTTTCTGGTGTTTCTCGCGGGGAGAGGCGGCGAGCTGGGGTGGCCATACTCATTGCCCCCCATCTCAGCCGCCACGTGTTGGAGTTCTCCCCGGTGAATGAGAGGGTCGCGTCCCTCCGCCTTTGGGTGGGGGACAAGTCTCTCACTGTTGTGACGGCCTACGGGCCTAACAGCAGTGCAGAGTACTCGGCCTTCTTGGAGTCCTTGGGGGGGT